TTTGAAATTTTTTTTTTTTATTTTTTCCGTTTTTCGGCCGATGTTTCTGCATAACGCGATTTTTTTTATTCCAGAATTTCATTTTTTAAACCAAATATTTACCTTTTACCATGTCTAAAATCAAAATTTCAGATGTCAATTTCCGAATTCCGCTCCCAAATTACCTGAACCTTGATCTGGAAGCGCCTCCGTCGGTCTCTTTGTCCATCCGTTCGCTCCACACTTCCGTGTTTATCTTCCCCGTTAAATGCGTTTTTTGCGCGAAAAGTTATTATCCCGCAAGTTCTTCTTTCAAGTTTTTACGTCGAAAAGATCTCAAATAAAAGTTGCTTTCGTATTTTAGCGAGTGAAAGGAGATTTTTTGCACAAATCTTCCAAGATTTTCGATAAATTTCAAACTTTATTTTAGTCAAAAAATGGATAATTTTGGAAAAAATTGTTAAAAATCACCGAACTGTTTCCACCCACATCGTATTTTACCTTGATTTTAAGTAACGGCTAATTTATTTTAAGATTTTCACGAATTCTGAGCAGAAAATCTCTAAAAAAGTCATCATTTACCATTAAAAACGCCAAAAAATTGCTGTTTTCTCGATCTTCTGGACTTTTTTTAAACCATGTCCGTTATTGTGACACCGTATTTTACACTATTTTAATCTTTTTCCCTATTTTTTCCTCAAAAAGCCCTCTTTTCCTTTGATTTTATCTTTCCCCTCCCCCTCTCTCCGATCCGGTTCATTTCCCGAGAGCCCCGGAGCGTCTCCCATGTGGTCTAGTGGTTAGGATTCGTGGCTTTCACCCACGCGGCCCGGGTTCGATTCCCGGCATGGGAAGTAAAGTTTTTTTGGGTTCTGGAACTGATTTTAGTGGTGGAAATGGATGTAAATTCTCATAATATTGCTTTTTTCGAATCTCGTTTTTATTTATTTGAATTTTGAAAGTTTTTGGACCATGAAATTGACACAAAAACTCCACTTTTTTTGTGATTTTGATGATTTTTTGATTGATTTTGGCTTACAAAGGCATTTTTATCAATTCCACGTTGTTTTCATCGTAATATACGATGTTCGCTGGCATATAAACATGTGAAATCTCGATTTCTTAGACAAAAATCTTAGCTTTTGTCAAAAACCCCACCAATTTCCCATCATTTCCCCCTAATCTCCCCCTAAAATCCCATTTAATCCCCACCTAGCACCATAAATCTAATTTCCACTGGTCACTCGAGCCAAAAAAACCCCACCTAAAAACATTATTAAAATAATGGCGTCGTAAGCAGGGAATGACATAAGCCCGGGGCGGAATAAAGCCCTGACTCATTGCCCATTCTTCGCCCGGAGGGGATCTACCAATAAGAAACACAGCAATGTGTGTTTTTTATTGTCGTACAGTCATGGGCGGAGGAGGCGAAGAAAGTGGACGCGAGTCAGGCTCAAGGGGAAGATTTTGTCGTCGAAAAGTTGAAAAAACTCCGCCGAAAGAACGGCGATCAGCTTTCTGGGATGGGTATTGGATTTAGTGGAGTGACCACCAATTAAAATTTTGTTACAGTATCCGAAACTTTTGGATTTTTGAAAATTAAAAATTTGCACTGTGCGAATTTTTATTTTAGCTCGCACAGTGCTAATGATTAATTTTTTGCGTTTAATTTTTTGTTACAGTAATCCATATACCCTAATTTAGCAGTGTCTAAACCCAATTTGCTGATTTTCACCCGCACCGTGCAGAAAAATTCATTCATCTTTTCTGCACTGTGCAGTCAAACTTTTTCGAGTTTAGCGCACTGTGCGAACACAATTTTTTACTGCACTGTGCAATTCGTCCATCTTTACCTTTCATTTCGCACAGTGCGAAAAAATTTTGGTTTACTTCATTGCACTGTGCAGTCAAAATCAATCGCTTTGAAATTCCTCGGACAGTGCGATCCAGTAGATTTGTTGTTCGCACTGTGCAAGAACGTTTTTCTTTTCTTCGCACTGTGCAGTCTTTTTTGCAGGGGTTCGCACTGTGCAATCGTTTGTCGCAGGGTTTTCTTTTTTTCGCACTGTGCAATAAATTTTTTTTCCTATTTTTTGGACTGCACTGTGCGAACTACAATTCGATTTTGCTACGCACTGTGCAGTCTTTTTTGCAGGGTTTTGCACAGTGCAATCGTTTGTCGCAGGGTTTTCTTTTTGTTCGCACTGTGCAATTTTTTTCCTATTGTTTGGACTGCACTGTGCGGATTTAATTCTTATGCACTGTGGAGAGGAAAAATGAGATTTTTACGGAAAATGAAGGGAAAATCAAATAAAAAAAGTAAGAAACAAGTAAAATACGAAGTAAAAATAATGCCTGTTGATTTTAAGCCAAAAATTTGCCAAAAATACCGCTGTTTTGATTACTTTTCTCACTTTTGTTCTAAATTTTTGTCCTTTCCTCAAATTTCACCCGTTTTCCAGACCTTTTCATTACAACAAACACCTGTTACCAAAACTTTCCCTTCATTTTTCGCCCTATGACCTCCAAATTGCCTTATAAAAATCGCGTTTCGGATGAGTTACGGCGCCATTATACAGCCAAGTACAATATGTGTCTTTTCTTTGCTTTATTTTATTTATGTCGCGTCAAAATAAACTCTTTGGGGCGTCCATTCATCACGTCAAAGAAGTGCTGACGGATTTACGGCTAGCGAAAAGGGGAAGGTGCCAAAAGCCGAGAGGAATTTCAAACATTCCACGGCCGAAAGGTGACGTTTTTGGGGGAATGCAAGGGAATATGCGGGATTTTTGAAAGTTAAATAGTTGTAAAATTGTTGTAAAAGTACAACTAGCGTAAAATAATTGGGAAAATATCTTAAATTATACGATTTTTACCTTATTTTAGGCCAAAAACCGCAATTTTTTCATATTTTTCCTTGAAATTCTAATTTTCACAAAAAAATTTTTATTTTTTCTGATGTAAAATTTAATTTCAAAGAGTTCTACGCCAATATTTTCGCTAATTACCTCCAATATCATTAATTTTCGGCCGAAAAAACCCATTATTTTGGCCATGAAACCTTCTTGATTATCACGATTTCCCTTGAAAACTTGGCGGCTTAAAACAAAACACGATCGTTCACAGGATTTATGATGTGTTTATGCAAAAAACGGATCACTTGGTTTGATAAGAAAAGCCGTTTTTCGGCATTTAATCCGCGGATTAATTAGGGCCCTTGTTACGAATTCAGCGGCCAAAACGGCCGTCCGACTGGCGGGGAAAAGGTGCGTTCGTAATATAGGAGAACGGTATGGACCTTGGGCTACGGTTTGGACTGGGTTTCGGCTAATTTTTTGGTAAAATATTAGTTGAATTTGAAATATTTTAGTTTTTGGGAATAGATGGATAAAACAAGGTGAATGTATGGGAGTAAGGTGCTGAAAAATAGCCAACAATAATTTAGAAAGCCAAGAAATTTTATTGAAAAGCGATTCCTGTTATTTTGCCGATTGCTATTTTAAAATTTTGAGCCCCACCACGAAAACTTTGAATGCCAAAATTTTTGTGGCATTCCGTTTTAATGCCAAAAATTATTTTACATTTTTCCCACAAGTCTTTTTTGCCCTAAATTTGCGTGCGCACGCCAATTTTATGGAGAGTTCGTGCGTGTTCAGCTGGCAATTCACCGGTACATTATACTTGACCTTTCAGATTCCGGCTATTTTTACTCTGATTTCTCGAGGTTTGCCGAGGATTTTTTTGTTCGTAAATGGGGTAGTAGACAACGTAGGAGCTGTGAATTTGTTTTTAGGATGTAGAACATGGTATTTTAACATATTTTTATTCGATTTTTCTAGAATAAGGCGAAGATTTTGATATTTTTATATTTCTGATGGTCTTTTGATGGAATTTCCGGGATAAAGATGGTTGTAGAGGTAGAAGAGGGTGTGTTTTATGTTTTGAGGTAAAATACGCGACATAATTTGACGGGGTTGATTCAAAATTTTCTATTTTTCTTCAAATTTCTTCTAATTTTGCCGAAAATCGCGGTTTTTAGAAGGAAATTGAAGAAAAATAGAAAATTTTGATTGAAATACCACAAATTATGTCGCGTATTTTACCTCAAAACATAAAATACGCTCTCCTCTCCCTTTTCGACCATCTTTATCCCGGAAATTCCGTCAAAAACCTATCAGAAATATAAAAATATCAAAATCCTCAGCTTATTCTAGAAAAAGTCAAATAAAAATAAGTTAAAATACCATGTTCTACACCCCAAACACAAATTCACAGCTCCTATCTTTTCTATTACCACTTTTACGAACAAAAAATCCTCGGCAAACCTCGAGAAATTAGAGTGAAAATAGCCGGAATCTGAAAGGTCAAGTATAATGTCCCGGCACGTCAATCCAGCGTATTTTCTGAACCGTTTCGAAACGTTTTCATTGATTTAAAAGAGAGACGAAATGTCGCGAAATTATCGGCGCTTTTTCTCACCCAAAATAATTGCTTTTTCTCGAAAATGAAGAAGAAAGATAAGAAAATGCTTTTTATCGGATAGTGACATTTCGTTTTGAACGAATCACCAAAAAGGGGCGGGAATTTTTTTTTCTTCTCTTTTGGTGCCCGGATAATTGTCTATTTTCCTTATTTACGAAAAAAATCGTCTGAAATGATCCCAAATTTGTCAAACAGATCGGCAGACAGTTAGCCATCCATCCGTCGCCCGATCCTCTTGTAATCCACACTTGTCTGCCCGCAAAGATCGCGCGTTTTACGGCGATTTTCACTTTCATCCCCCTCCTCTCGCCTAAAACAACATGGGCAAAGGGGCTCTCGACGAAGATCACACTTCACTTTCCCTTCCCCCATTGCCGAAACAGGAGATATTTTGGAGAGAAATTTGGAGGAATTTTTTTTTAATTCCCCCAAAATTTCGCCCTCTTTTCAGATATTTTTGTTGGAGATTTTGAGTGTTTATATTTTGAGTGGCTGTGGTGTGAGGGTGTGCGGAGATAAAACATGGATAAAGGATCAGAATGAGGGGCATTGACAGGGATTTGTGAGGTTTTTCGCCCTTGGGGAACATCAAGTTATATTGTACTTGACAGTTGTTGGTGAATTCGTCGGATTTTTTTGATGTTTATGGCTCTATTCTTTGTATAAGTTTCTAAAATTGTCTTGAATTTTTTTGCAAGGCTTTCGGTTCGAGTGCAGGTCGTATTTTACCATTTTCTCCAATTTTCTCAATCTTTTTATAATTTTGTCCAAAAAGTTAGATGATTTTCTGGTCTAAAATTGTTTCTATTTTGATTATTAATTGAATAGGCATTTATTTTTGTCATTCCCTACAATTTACAGTACTTTTTAAGGCATGTACTTCTGTAGTATATTGGTAGTGAGTTGACTTTTGGCCCAAGAGGTCGCAGGTTCGAATCCCACTTCCTGTAATCCTCTTTTTAAGCGGGAAACGGTCGCAAAAAATATTCGCACGGGTAATTTCTCAATTGTAAAGGTTCGTTGACCTTTTTTAACCTTGTTTTAGTTACCATTATCATAGCTAAAGTCCAAAAAAATTAAAAATTCCTTCAAAAAATCTCTTTTTCCGTTAAAAATACACCTTTTATTACTCTCACCTTCGCTTTCTCCCCGAAAATAACGTTTCCCGATCCGCCGAGCTCGGATTTCCGCTGCATTTGACGTACCTTTGCATACCTCTCCATTGTTTTCTTCTTCTTTTTGTGGATTTATTCATTTCCTCGGGGGCCATAAATAAAAACGGCCTCGGAAAAGCGGTCGGAATCGCCGATTATCATGGCGGATTTGCGGATTGGGGCCGGAAGATTGGGGAGTTTACGAATTTTTGGACATTTTTCCCCAAAACTCGCAATTCAAAGGCCTTAGGGCTTAATTATACGTGGGAAAACGACTAACAATGGCGAGATTAAGTGAGCATTTGTCTGGAAAAGCGTTTTTGGACGTCTAAAATATCAAAAAAAGTTTAAAAAAATTGAATTTATAGTGTAAAAACGGGTGAAACACTCTAATTTTACCCAAAAAATTGCTTTGAAAAGTGAAAAAAAAATTGGGTTCCGGAATTCAGACGTTTTTTCGGGCCAGACAATAATTCGCGGCCCCCTTTTTAACTGATTTTCGTTTTTGTTTTGAGATAAACACACTAATCAAGAAGTGTTGAACCTGTCAGCTGATCCTAATCAGCGATAAAAAGAAGGGAAATTCTCGTCATTCATCACGGCATCGCTTCGGAAGGCCGTTTTATCGATGATTCTATAGATTAGAGGTCAAAAAATGACTGTTTAGGGGGTTTTATGGGAAAAATGGAGAATTTTTTGAGCTAAAAGTAGTAGTAATTGCAATTAGAAAGATTAATTTTCAAATTACAGGCCTCATGGTGTATTTTGGCAGGTTTTGAGCCCATGTACCCTTTTGGTGTAGTGGTAGTGATTTGAATTTTGAGTCAAAAGGTCGTGGGTTCGAGTCCCACTGGGGGAAAACCCTTTTTTGGCTAAAAATCTGAGGATTTAAGTTCAGAGCCTTATTGATTATTATTTTGCAAGCTACTGGGGGTATTTTGATATCCTTTACCTTACACTAGCACCTGTAATTTTTGAAAAAATCTCGATTTTCCCCCTTTTTTCCAAATTTTTGCTAAAAAAGTTTCAAAAATGACTCATTCTGCCCCAATTTCCCAACTGTTTTGTTTTCTCTCCTCACATTGCGCAATATTAAACTGATGTTGCGACCTGAAGCCCAAGTTTTGAAACTGATACCGGTCAAGATGTGCTGACTCACCGATCAAACTTTCACTCCTCCCTTTCCGTGGGTTAGAGAAGAGGGCGGCTCTGAAACAGTATTGCTGTCGGATCGGTTTTTTATACACTCATAATGTCAATTTTGTTTTTTGGGGAATTTTAATGGGAAAAATCAAGGACTGTTTTGGGGTTTTCTCGATTGTTGTAACAAATAAACGTCAATGAAAAGGTGTTTAAGACTTTTTTCGCCTTGGTCTGATCGTTTCTTCTTTCTAAATTTGGAGTTTTAGATAACCGACTGGCGGTTTTTCATTTTTCGAGAGGTGAAATGAGGTTTTTGGTTTAAAAAATAGGTAAAATACGGAATAAAAATTCGCTAAATTGAATTCTGAGGTCCCTATCAGAGATTGCCACGGTCAAAATTTTGGCTCCGGCTCCGGCTCTTAGCTCCCAGAGCCGGAGCCGAGGCCAAATTTGCAGCTCCGGCTCCGGCTCTTGGCTCCGTGCAAAATTTAAAAAGGCCTCCGGCTCCGAACCCCGGCTCCTATGCAAAATGTTTTTTAGAAATATTTTTCCAAAAATAAAAGTTATTAGTGCCAGAGATCATACAGCCAACGTTTTGGCAGTCAAGTCACATCCTCCGCAGTGTTTTTTCAAGCAATTTGGTTTAACAAGATCACGAAATTTTTACTTTTCTGACCGCTGGGAAGCCTGGCTCCGACTTTGGGCTCGGGAGCCGGAGCCGACCCCAAAATTTCCGGCTCCGGCTCTGGCTCCCGGCTCGGAGCCGGAGCCGCTCAGAGCCGGAGCCAAGAGCCGGCTCCGGAGCCGTGGCAATCTCTGGTCCCTATAGCAGACAGAATAAGTTTTTGAAACTTTTCGGGCACTGTGTCTCTGTGGTTTAGTGGTAGTGAGATGGATTTGAAAAAAATTTGGCGCAGGTTCGAATCCCGGTATCTGCAAGTCAAAAAAATGTGGGAAAAAGGTTGAAATATGAAAGATTACGGGGTTTTGTGTTTATTAATTTGATTTTAATATTGTACTTGACATTAAATTTAAATTTTTTGACGATTATTTACAATTTTTTGCCTGTTTTGACGATTTTTTGATATTTTCGTGGATATTTTGACGAGTTAGCATCTCCAATGACCTTTTTTATATTTTTTATGTTGTAGACTACAATAATTTGCTGTTTACAGGGGCACCGCGGGCAGCACTCACCCAAAAACAACGAGCCGAACAGCCATATCTCTCCAATATCACACGCATTTTTGCTGGTTGGGCCTTTGAATAGAGAACCGGAAGCCTCGCACGAGCATCCCCACACACAAACAACTAATTCCAGGCTCTACACTTTGCCTTCCCCCCAACTTCTCACTTACAATTACCGACTTTTTGATTATGATGCAACGATCGTTTTAAACGTAAGTTTTCGCTGAAAATTTGAGCGCCTTTTGGGGAGAAAATCATAGATTAGGAGAGCACAAAGTATAGGAGAAGGAAATCCGCGGAAAAGAAGTTGAATTCGAATCAAAATAAAGGGATTTTTGTGGGAAAATTGCGATTTTTACTGTAAAATTGAAGACTTTTGTAAAGTTTGTGCGATTTTTCATAGAATTCACCCTATATTCCGTATTTAAATTATGTGTCATGGCGTGTATTTAAATTATTTTAAAGTACAGACATTGAAATGCCCGTATTTTACCCAAAAAATTGCGATTTGGCCGAAAAATACGTCATTTTCAAAGAAAAATTTGAAATTTATGCAAATTTCGTAAAATTTTTTTTAAAGTTTTTATTGATAAAGACTCTGAATGGCTCGTAGAACATATTTATAGTCCATAACATTGAAATACTCATCGTATTTTACCCAATCTGTCCAAAAATCCCGTTTTTTCGTTCAAAATTCAAAAATATTCAAATTTCGCCTAAAATCAAACAATTTCCCAGCCAAATCAGACCTTCTGGATTTTAGAAACTTTATCATATCAGATTTTACACAAAAAGTTGGGGATTTCTGGGACGAAAATGCGGCGGAAGACGTTGTAATTCGGGTAAGGTGATCCAAATCTTGTCTCATCGCCCTTTTGTAGCCCTTTCCGTTGTATAAACATTATTCAAGGTGATTTGGAGTGGGATTTTTTCGTTTTTTAATTGAGTTTTGCGAAAAATTTTATTTGCCGCAGTGGGATTCGAACTTGCGAGGTTTGGATTGAAAAGTTGACTCGCTACCACTGCGCCATAGAGCTACGGGGGCGGGAAATTAGTGGAATTGAGGGAAAATGGTATTGGTATGAATAATATGGATGTTTAGGATTAAAATTGCGACTTTTAGTTTACCAAACATTTATTTTTGGGGAAAAATTTGATTTTTGGCCTAGAATTTATAAATTTTTGTCGTATTTTGGCTAAATAATGGTCAAATTGAATTAAAATTTGATGATAGGGTAAAATACGGTGACTTTTGCAATTGAAATAGTAAAATACACGACCTCATTTTACTGGTAATGTAAAATAAAAAAAAAATTGTAAAAAAATCCAAAATTTTTTTTTGAATGATTAAAAAAATGTCCTAAAAATACTCTAAATCGCAGAATAAATCTTCCTCAATTCCAAAAAAGGCCTCAAAAACGATTGTTTGACATCAGATCCGGCCTGAAAGTTGTACTTGAGCCCTCGGAACGGCCGGTCTCTTTGACCGCTCGAATCCGCTTCCGGCCAGCCCCTAATGACCTCCTCGTTTATCCAGACGTTTTTTCCCTTCCCCCCTTGCTGCCCTAATTTGTCCCAAAAGACGAAAAATCAAAGAATGTCGCGCTAAGATTGATTGCGCGGAAGAGAAAAAAGAGCACTAACCCATGAATTGAGAAGGATGTAAAGTTGTAAATAGCAGGCAGAAGAGGCTGTGGGTTGGGGAAGAGATTTGAGCTGTGATTATGGTACGATTTTAGGTTTGCACAGGGCGAAATTACAATTTTTTAATTTTTTGGGGAAATTTGAAAAAATGATTTTTTTTTGTTAAATTGCCTTAGGGAATGTGGTTAAAATGCCATTATAAGAGACTAATAGGGTGAAGAAGTGATTTAAGTTTTGATTATGGGTTATTTGAGGCTGATACAGTGCGAAAATTGAAATTTTTTTGAATTTCGGGTTAAAATCTTGAATTTTTTGTTAAATCCCCTTAGGCAATTGAGTGGAAATGCTTTTTGACGATTCTTGAGTCCTATAGAATTGATTTAGTTTATATTTTCATAATTTTGACTGTCAAAAAATCAAAAATTTGGGATTTTTTCGGCAAAATTGGCAAAAAATTGGGGAAATTGATAAATGCCCTAAGGCAATAATGAATTTTTGAACGGAAAGTGGCATGTAATGACGAGATTTGATTCACTAGACTTCTTCAATTGTGCCAGCATTAAAAATTAAGCTCTTGGTATCAATTTTTTATATTATTTACCATGTCTAATATACTAGTCATGATTTATGCCTCGAAGGCTTGCTTTAAAAAGCCATACTACAGATTTTAAGAATCTTTTTTGCTTTTACAATTTCCAAAGTTTCATTGTCGTAGCAGGTCTTCTGAAATCTGTTTCTGGAGCTTTTAATTACATACCAAACTTTCAAACCGACAAGCAAAAATTAATCAGAAATCATAAAAATTGTTGTTCCATTTCCCTCAAACTTTGCATATAAAACCCTCAGGGTATGGTTTCATTATTCATAGACCGGCTGCTTGAACGAACCCGCAGGGCATCAGATATGGGTCTCGGAATACCTAGTGTAATATCGTGTCTGCAAGTCTGGGTTCCTTCTAGAATTGTACAATTAATATCGAAAACAATAGATTAGCCCATGAGACATAATACCCGCGCCGGAACCAAGTCATTGCCTCAGGGAATCCACTGATTTTCGAAATTTTTCTCCCAAATTCGGGATTAATCCCCACTCAGACGCGGAAAACCTCGCTGTTCTCGGAGTGTTAGGTAATTTCGAGCACAGTGGGGATTCCCTGAATGTCCGCTGGGCTCATTGTTAGGAAAGCCGGCTAAGCCCTCCGGCAATTATGTATAATGCACGGGAAATCCGCGGAATCGGAGGTTATAAATGAATTTTGATGTGTTGGAAGGTGAAATCTTGATGAAATTTTGATTTAGAATGTACTTTAGGGGTATATGGCGTGTGAAAAGTGGGGTTTTATTGAGTAGTAGTTCAAGTTTTAACCTTGTTTGAAGATTTTACCTTATTTTAGGCTAAAATAAGGTAATTTTTGGTGTTTTTGAAGAATTTTTTGATAGGCGAAGGTTGGACATGGTCGTAAAAAGCGTAGTAAGGCAGTATCTAGAAGTTTGGGGTAAATACGAGATAATACAGATGATGCTTTTGAATTTCGACCGTGTTTTATTAGGTTGTCCCATAAATAGTGTCCCTCTTCCGAATATTTCCTTAAACTACAAAATTTACCGCAGTAACAGCGATCTATTTAATCAAAATCATTATCATCCGTTTGGGCACGCTTAGTAGAATGTACCAAGAGCTTTTTTTGCCGGTAGCTTCAAAACTCCGGATTCTGGAACCGATGAAACTTTCAAAGGCCTTTTGAAGGGTGTCTTAATTGACGAATTCCCTACCACGGATGAAACGTGGTAGATCCTTGAACAATTGGTAATCTGTATAGGCTACGTTTGACGAATGCGCCTAACGGGGGAGAGTCTCGTATCTTTGTTAATTTGGATTCCGGAGGGTTATTTTTGCAAGGTGAGGTTCGGCGTTCTCGCCATGAACTTTCGGACCTCTGCAGTGTATTTCTGAAGGCAGATTGTGCCACAAATTGTCCATGTAGGTACAGTAGAGGACGCTATTTACTGTTTGCCCAGGTTCTAGGAATTTGTACTGTGCGAAGCTAACGTTACGCCATCAAAAAAGTGGTCGTGACCGTCTTCTAGTGGAACTCAGAATTTGGGAAGTGCTGTGGTAGTACTCCGGGGTGCTTCATTGACCAAATCTTGTCTAGGTGTCGTATTTAATCCACTTTTCACCATGAGCCATGGTACGATCCAGGAAATCTGGATATTCGGCTCGGAAAAGCAAAAAACCCGGTGCCTTCATTCTGGGCTTTGGTCCACTAATATGGGAAGAATTTGTCGAGCTTTTTCTTGAAACTATCGGCATCGAACCGTTAACCGCTGATAATTTTGATACCACAACGATCCCAGAAAGGCGTCGGATGTTGATTTCATGATTTTTGTCTACCAATGACCTCAGGGTAAATTCGCAAAGCTGAGAGGGCGCACTTTGTCTTAGGGCTCCCCGCGGCCAGGTCGATTTTTTTTAAACCATCGTTTCACCGTTACCGGAATTACAGCACAGTGACTGAACATGGTGTTGATACTTCGTGTAGGTTCTGAAACCGTAGCACCCTGTTTTTCCTCACACAAGTTGATGGCACGAATCTACCTTTTTTCGGCAATTTTGAATTGGCGCTAAATTACTGTAATTTCATCCAAATGTGGCATACGATACATTAAACGAAAGCCTGAGATCACAGCTACAAAACGGTAGTAACATTGCAAAATTTGGCTGGCGCTTACGTTTTTTATAGACGTTTGATTTTGCCCCTCTCGAAGAGGGACACTATTTATGGGACAACCTAATAGCTATCGTATGTTAATTTTCGATGGTTTTGTGGAAATTCTTTGATGAAGTGAAGTCTCATAGTGTCGGAAATGCGTAATAAGTCAGTATTCAACATTTTTAGGGGTAAAATACGTCTCTCGGAGACAAATTTGTGATTTTTTGCCTTATTTTAGTCTAAAATATGGTGATTTTTGATGTTTGATCCATTTTTTGCCGAAAAACCTTATACAGTGGCGTACCTGATCCAGTGGCAAAAAACGTACCGTTTTGCGTCCGAGGAGTATCAAAAAATGCGGCAAAATACCTCCATTTGCAAGTGAAAATGATTTCAAAAGCGCGCCCACTCCTTTTAAGGGCGTGCTCTTCAAAAGGGTTTTTTTAGTTGCAAAGGGTGGTATTTTGCTGCATTTTCTGATACTCCCCGGACGCAAAATTATGCGTTTTCTGCCACTGGATCAGGTCCGCCACTGTATGGCCTTTTCTCGGCAAAAAATGGATCAAAACGTCAAAAATCACCATATTTTAGACCAAAATAAGGTAAAAAATCACAAATTTGCCCTTTTGAAAACGTATATACCTCTTAAAATATTAGATACTGACTTGTTACGCATTTCCGACTCTACGAGACTTCACTTCATCATACAATTTCCACAATAACATCGAAAATTACTTTAACATAGCTAAAATAAGGTGGAAATTCAAAAGTATCATCTGAACTATTTCGTATTTTACCCCAAACTTTTAGATACTGCCTTATTGCGCTTTTTACGACCATGTCCAACCTTCACCTATCAAAAAATTCTTCAAAAACACCAAAAATTACCTTATTTTAGCCTAAAATAAGGTGAAATCTTCAAACGAGGGGTTAAAGCTTGCACTACTACTCAATAAAACCCACTTTTCACACGCCATATACCACTAAAGTGCATTCGATATCAAAATTTCATCAAGATTTTACCTTCCAACACATCGAAATTCATCTATAACCTCCGATTCTTATTTTAGTCCTCTATTCGGAGTTTTTTTTGCAAAAACTTCGAAGTATTAAGGCGATTTTCAAAAATTCTATGGCCTAAAGTACGATTTTGAAAAAAGAATTTGATTTTTTTTTTTTTTTTTATTTTTTTCATCAAAAAAAAATTTTTTTTCAGAAACTCCCCTCACTAACCGCCCATATGAGCTCCCCGTGCCCGTGTCGAAGGTGGGGCGCCTCGACCCCACTCCCCCCGCCCCGCTCAACTCCCCTTTCACGGGCCCTTCTCCCCGTTCTTCTGATCTCATTCCTGGCCCTCTGCACCGTGCAGGCCGATCTCACCTCCTCCCCCACGGGTCCCATCAAACTCTACACCAACCAATGGGCCGTTCGAATAGCGAACGGCACCGAAATGGATGCGCAAGAGCTGGCGCGAAAGCACGGCTACGAATTCGTGGGCCGCGTGATCCCCGGAAAGGACTATTTTTTGTTCAAAGACGCCCGAGGCAAGAGCCGATCGGTGAGAAGGTCGAGGAGTCTGGCTTCAGTCTCGCTGCAAAGGGACCCGAGTGTAAGTTTGAGGGGTTTTTTGAGTGATTTTTTGGGAGTTAAAAGTGGATTTTGAGGGAAAAGGAAGGATTTTGCGGATTTTTTTTGATTTTTGGAAGAAATAATGGGGAAAAAAGTTGATTTATGGATTGCTAGGTAAATTTTATGCTCTGATTTTTGATATACATACTATTTATGTTTGAATTTAACGAAAATTTATCAAATTTTGACTAAATTATGTAAAAAAAGTCTTATTATTTTTTATTTTTTTCGCTTTAAAATTTGATTTTAATCAAAAAATTTTAGCGAAAAACATAAAATTTTATGAGCTTTTCAACCTCAAACTTCATTCCTCTCGAATTTTAGGTGACATGGCTCCAACAACAGGTGGCGAAACGACGCGTAAAACGCGACTTCTTCTCCGACGACCGTCCCCACTCGTACACGCCGCGTCGTATCGACGCGTCCCCCGATTACCGCGTCATTCATGACGATATCTTCCACAAGAACAACGAACTGGGCGGACAGAACTATCGCAAGAAGTATGGGACTCCGAATGACCCGTATTGGAAGGACATGTGGTATCTGCATCGGAGCGACAATCGAGACGGAACTTTGCTGGACCACAATGTAAAAGAGGCCTGGGATCTGGGCTATACGGGCAGAGGAGTGGTCGTCACCATCCTAGATGATGGTCTAGAACATACGCATCCCGATATCGAACCAAATTATGTGAGTTTTTGGGGATTTTAGGAAGTTGGATTGGTCCCACCACGAAAACTTGAAATTGCAAAAAATTTATTGGCATTGTGTTTCAAAAGGTGAATGGGGGCAATTGGAGATTCTATGTAAAGTCTTGACGGCGCAGAGCTGTCCTGAATAAATTTCTGGAGACTATTTGGGTCCCACCACGAAAACTTGAAATTGCTTGGCATTGTGTTTCAAGAGTTGATTTCCATTGATTGTGATTCAAAATGGCTTTTCGAAGCCTTCCGTTGTTACCGGACCTTATTTATGGTGAAATTCTGATGATTTTTGGGTACCACCACGAAAACTTGAATTTTAGAATTTAGCTTGCGGAATTTGCAAAACGAATGAGTACTTCGCTTGTTTTTTTTTAATTTTAAGGTCAATTTCATTATACACGCCGTATTTTAAAACTTTTGGGTCCCACCACGAAATCCTGAAAATTCTCCAAGACGTCCCAAATTACTAAATTCGACTTTTGCAGGACCCCCGAGCATCCTACGACGTCAACGAAGGAGACGCCGACCCCACTCCCCGCTACGAATACACCGATGAAAACCGGCACGGCACTCGGTGTGCGGGCGAAGTGGCTGCCGTCTACAATAACTCCCTTTGCATCGTCGGAATCGCCTTCAACGCCAAAATTGGCGGCATCAAGATGCTGGACGGAGAGGTTACGGATGCGGTGGAGGCGTCTAGTTTGTCCCACAACCCGAATCATATCGACATTTACTCGGCTTCCTGGGGTCCTGATGATGATGGCAGAACCGTCGATGGACCGGCTGATCTGACAAGACAGGCTTTTGAAAATGGAGTTAGAGAAGGTAGGTAGATGTTTGGAATTTTTTTTTTGGGTTAAGAAATTTTTTTTTTAGTTTTGAGTTTTGCACTGTGCAGAAATTAAAATTTTAGAGGCTGCACGGTGCAGAGAACTTTTTTCACACTTGGTTAAATTTTGCACGGTGCAGATAAAAATTTGTTGCACAGTTCGGAGAATTTTTTTCTTTGCACAGTGCATTTTTAGGTTGTCGCTGCCCTTTTTTTGATTATTGCACGGTGCAAACTTCCAAATTTTCTGATTTGCACTGTGCGCTTTATTATTATTTTTTTTTATTTTTGCACTGTGCGGAAATTAAAGGTTTGGAGTCTGCACGGTGCAGAGAACTTTTTTCTCACTTGGTTAAATTTTGCACGGTGCAGAAGCAAGTTCACTGCACTGTGCGAAAATTTTTTCCTTGCACAGTGCGGTTTTATTTTTTCTGCACCGTGCAAACGAAGTCAGCGTTCTATCTGCACTGTGCGGAGAATTTTGTTTCTTTGCACAGTGCATTTTTTAGGTTGTCGCAGGCCTTGTTTTTACCATTGCACGGTGCAAACCTGCAAGTTTTCAAATTGCACTGTGCACTTTAATTTTTTGAATTTTTGCACGGTGCAATTTTTTGGATATCAGTTTTGCACTGTGCTAAAGTTTAAAAAAATCCAGAAATGAATAATTTGAATACCGGATATTAATTCCAAATAATTTTCAGGACGTGGAGGCCTCGGTTCGATTTTCATTTGGGCCTCGGGCAATGGCGGGAAGGACGCGGATTCCTGCAACTGCGACGGCTACACGAACTCGGTCTTCACTCTCTCCATATCCTCCGCCACCGAAAACGGGAACATCCCGTGGTATTCGGAGGCCTGTTCCTCCACCCTGGGCACTGCTTATTCGTCCGGAGCGACCGGCGAGAAGATGATCGCCACCACGGATCTGCATCATTCCTGCACCAAAACCCACACCGGAACCTCGGCTTCGGCCCCATTGGTGGCCGGAATCGCGGCGTTGACGCTGGAATCGAACCCAAGGCTGACTTGGAGGGATCTGCAGGTAAATTTCGGGGAGATTTTTGGGGGGATTTTGGGATTTATGGGAAAAAAATTTTTTTATTTTTCAAAAAAAAAATGTTTTTTTATTTTCAATTAAATTTTTTTTCTGATTTTTTCTCCAGAGTAAGTATGAGTTTTAAAAAAAATTTTGGGGAATTTTTGGATTTTTTTTGGGGTTTTCCAAAAAAAAAAAAAATTTTTTGACTTAAAATTTTTTGCTGATTTTTTCTCCATGGTAAATACGAGTTTAAAAAAAAAATTTTTCTTTTCTTAAAATACGATTTTTTTTAAATTTCAAAAAATTCAGCTCAAAAAATTGATTAACACAAAGTCCTAAGCTCGTATTTTACATCCCAAAATTTTCTATTCACTCTAAAAAGTTTTCCTTTCAGCATATCGTGGTCCGAACTTCGAACCCTAAGGGCCTGAAAGCGGGCGATTGGAAGACGAACGGAGTCGGTCGGAATGTCTCCCATTCCTTCGGCTACGGCCTTCTGGACGCCGGAGCAATGGTCCGTCTGGCTCGCCAATGGAGAACAGTCCCTCCGCAACGAGCCTGTCGCGCCTCTTATCCGGCACCCTATAAAACCATACCAAATGCGAATCGATTGCATTTGCAGATGTTTACAACCGCTTGCACGGGCGACCCACAGAATGAAATACGGCAATTGGAGCATGTACAGGCCATTATCACACTAAATGCACCGAAACGAGGCGATGTTCAGGTAAAAATTTTGGATTTTTTACAATTTTTAGAAATTTTTCGTTGAAAAATCGGTATTTTAGAAAAATTTTTGGATTTATTTTGATGGGAAGGCGATTTTTTTGGTAGTTTTAGTCAAGAACGTTTTCTGGACGACGTATTTTACGATTATTTAAATTTTTCGCACTGTGCATCGACCTTTTGTTGGCGTCTTTGCTCTTTGCACAGTGCAAAAAAAAATTTGAAAATTTGCACAGTGCAAATGAGAAGCGGCTCAAAGTTTTGTCGCCGATTTTGCACTGTGCATTTTCGAAAGTTTTTCATCTGCAGTTTGTCGCACAGTTTGCACAGTGCAAATGATGAGATGTCAGGAAAATTTTTTGGTTTTCGCACTGTGCGGTTTAAAAAATTTTTTTATTTTTTCGCACAGTGCAGTCGGAAATGTTTTATTTTTTTTGCACTGTGCAGTGGAATTTTAAATTTGCTGTTTAAAATTACGCACAGTGCAAATTAAAAGGCCGGATTTTTCGCACTGTGCGGTTTGAATTTGATTCTGGGTCTGCACTGTGCGAAAAAATAGAAGACTTTGTTTTTGCACAGTGCAGTCGGAAATGTTTTGTTTTTGCACGGTGCAGTCGGAAATGTTTTGTTTTTGCACCGTGCAGTCGGAAAATTTTTTGGTTTTCGCACAGTGCTGTTTGAAATATTTTATTTTTTCGCACAGTGCAGTCGGAAATGTTTTATTTTTTTGCACTGTGCAGTCAGAAAAGTTTTTTTTGCACATTGCAGTCGGAAAACCGGGGAATCGTGGTAAAAATCAAAAAAACTTATAAAATAATTTGTATCATCCTAAAATTTTTTTTGTGTTGAAAATTTTTTTTCATTTTCAATTTTCCTTTCCAGGTGTACCTAATCTCGCCAGCCGGCACTCGCTCCACATTATTGGCGAAAAGAGTGCGCGACACGAGTCGGACCGGCTTCCGCGACTGGGCCTTCATGACCACTCACTGTTGGGGCGAGTCGGCGACGGGGACCTGGTCGCTGGAGATCGACAACGACGGCTGGGAGGACGCCGAACTCCTCAAATGGGACCTTGTCTTCTACGGGACCTCCGAACCGGTGGGACCCTTGGGCGGAGAGGGGTATTACATCAGCGAACGGTCCGTTGACCACAGCTTTCAGCCACAATCCGCGGCAGGGAATGCGATAAAGGCCACCAACACGATATTGATCATATTAACCATGATAGCAGCCAAAATTTTGATGTGAATTTGAGATTTTTAGGTATTTAAACTAATTTTTTTTATGATTTTTCTAATGTCTAAGAGTATTTACTTGTAAAATACGATCATTTTATGTTTGTTTTGTTCTAATTTTTGTGCTAATTTTTTGAGATTTTTTTCAAAATTTTTTTGAATTTTTATATAATTTTAGGTAATTTCTAGGCAAAATCAAGATTTTTTTGATGTTTTCGTAGGTCACAAGGTGTAATTACACTTTATTTTTGTTTTATTGGCAAAAATTTTTAGATTTTTAAAAAATTTTCGATTTTTTTTGCAAAATTTTTGGAATTTAACGCTAGAAAATCTCAAATCCCGTCTAATTTTATGTCTTGGTGCTCCCACCCTCCACTAGGTACAACGATAACTGTAAAAATGTAAACATTTTGACCCCAAAAACACGGTGCACTCGTCCCCCCTCCCACTCAACGCGAGTATATCACGAAATCATTCCATTCCCAGAAAATGTACCCGACGGGATTACGGTAGAGTACGGTAGATTAAATTTCCACTTTTCTCCACCCCCCGCCTCTCCAGTTCCACTCGAATTTTTATATTGTACTTGTCGTTAAAAGAGTATTTCCGGGTCTATTCGTGAAGGCATGTGGAGAACAGAGTATTGGGATTGTTACAGTAGGCGCAAGAGTTATTTTGCTTGTCTTTGGAAGCAACTTGAACTACTTTTTCATCGATTTTTGACAATTTTTTGAGTTTTTACCTTATTTTAGCCAAAAAATTCGATTTTTGCCTTCATTTTGTATTTTTAGGAAAAGTTTTAAGTGAAAATTGTAAAATACGGTCTTGAATTTTGTGTTATAATCATTACGATGGCAGTTTAAAAAAAAAATCCTAAAATTTTTGCGATTTTTACCTTATTTTAGATTAAATTTTTGTTTTGGCTCATTTTTTACGATTTTTGGAATAATTTTCGATTCTAAGCGTAAAATACGAAATAAAATTTTTGATGTAGCTTCTGTAACATCTCAGCACCCGACTCCAGAATGCCCCATTTTTCTTTCAAAACCCCCCTTCATATGTCACTTTTATCCCCGCTTTCAAAAGGTATACTGTCTGATTACCGTATTTTTCTTCTCTATGGTTGGTATTTCTAATCTTGTCAAGTGTCAAAAGATGTATTTATTTGCGGATTTAAATAAAAATTTAACCTTATTTTGGAGATTAATTTTTAATTTTTTGAAAAAATTTGGAAAAATTATCTTGTTTTAGGTTAAAAGTAAGGTTTTTGATGAAAAGTACTCAGTCTACAAGTACGTATTTTGAATTACACAAAAAATGCAAAGTTTTACAGTAAAACGGTCAAAAAAACGTTTCTTCCCATGCCGGGAATCGAACCCGGGCCGCGTGGGTGAAAGCCACGAATCCTAACCACTAGACCACATGGGAGACACTCCGAGGGTCTCGGGAAATGAACCGGATCGGAGAGAGAGGGAGGGAAAAAGATCAAATCAAAGGAAAAAAGAGCTTTTTGAGGAAAAATTGGGGTAAAATTACAAAAATAATGTAAAATACGACAAAGAAACATACTTCATCTTGAAAAATATCTAATATTTTGTAAAAAATAGCCATTTTGTAATTTTTTTAATCGAAAAACTAAAAGTGTCCTGATATGCCTATAATATACCAAAGATATGTCCGGTGAGTGGATTGTCGATGACTTTTAGACCTTATAATGGTCGCTGGAGAATCTGGAGCTGGGCATATCAATATACCCGACCAAAGAATCCCGGGAATCGCGGTGATACGCGGCCAATTTCTCGATGGGATTGGACGGGGTGCCCAGCGAATTCCCCACACTTCCAATGATGATCTGAGCGCGAGTGGCGCGACTCAGCGCCACCAACAGTCTCTGGGCGGTCCCATAAGCCGGCCATTCCTCGGGGGTTCCATTCATGAATCCATTGGAAGAGGTGCGGACCAGGTCGAGGAGCACAAAAGGAGCTTCGGTGGAGACGGCGCGGTCGATTGTTTGGCCGCGAATAGAGCCAGTGGCGCCGGGTTTGCTGCGTCGATGGTGGAATTCGGACTCTTGGACTGGAATTTGCATAAATTTGCGGAAAATTTTTTTTAAAAAATCAAAAAGAAATGTGAATTTTTAAGCGATTTCTCAGGGGAAATGTTATTTTTCAATGAGAAAAATATTATCATAACTATCTACAGAGAGCTGAAAATTCATTTTTGAACTAAAATTTGCGCATTTCAGAAGTTGGATTTCTTAATACCCACTTTTTCTGACATTTTCTCCAAAAACGCACAATTCCTCTCAACCTACCCCGATACGGCGTCAAATAAAGGCAATCCTTGTTGGAGATGTCCGAATTCCTCTCCAAAATCGCATCAAAAATGCAGAGTGCATAGTGGATATTGCGTCGATTGATGAGATTCAATCTTCGGTCCGGCTCGGAGTCCCGTCTTCCGTCAGCGGCACAGAAATGGTTTCCATTCGCGTCTTTGGCGGGTAAATTAATAAAAATTGAAACAAATTTTGGGTGGACAATGCGGTGAAGATCACAAAGGCCGCCGAAAGGATCGAAACGAAGGGCCAACGGTCTGGCGAGGGCGGTGAGATCAGCTGAGATGGTGTAGTCGCTGAAAAATTGGGAAAAATCAAAAAATTCGAAAAATAATTCAGAAATTCAAATTTTTCAAAATTAAAAATTTGCATATTTAAATAAAAAATTCTGTATAAAATCAAGATTTCTCTTCAAAAAACAAAAATTATCAAAAATATGCAAATTTATGCTAATTAAAAAATTTTGCGAAAATTTGCATATTTAAATAAGAAATGCCGAAAGGTCGTATAAAATCAAGATTTCTCTTCAGAAAAAGAAAAATTATCAAAACGGCAAAAATATGCCAATTTATGCTAATTAAAAAAATTAAAAAATTTGCATATTTACACAAAAATCAAAATTTCCCCTCTAAAAATTAACATAAATATGCAAATTTATGCTAATTGAAAAATAAAACAAATTGCATATTTCAGACCAAAAATCGCATTGAAATTGAACAAAAATTAACTCACTAAAAGGGCTGGATAATCTTGCACAAGGCCTTGGGAGATCTGACCGTGCTTTTCATCTGGGTGCACGGTAATTTGCACTTCAAAAGTTGGACCAAAGCCGACTCATCGAAGCCGAAATCTTTCTCGTCTTTGTCGCCAAGGAAGGTCTCCTTCGAAAAGCGGGCACTCAATTGGAATTGGTCGCCTGAAAAAGCAAAAAAATCACTAATCATGTAAATAATGTCATGTGTAATATCATCGAATCCGAATATCTCACCGAAAATGGTCAAATGTTGTGGAAGATGGCGTTTCTCCATGTTCTGCACAGCCAGAAGCGTATAAAAATTCAGCGTGGAGACGGAAGAGGCCTCATCCATGACGATGCGATCGCATTTGAAACGAAGAACCGGTGCCGAGGTGAGGAAATTGAGGACCGCGACGAGCATTGTGATCTGCTCCGGATGTTCATGATCAAACGAACAGACGTCTCTGATCTCAGGGTCTTTGTGTTCCAGAAGGCTGTCCTTCTCCAACTTACACCAGATGTATTGTCGCTCGTTGTTCAGATGTCTGAATTGGGGGAGTTCGAGGAGGAATTTGGACATTCGAACGATCCGCAGGGTGATTTCATTGGCTGCGCCGCGACGAGTGGTCAAGAGAAGGGTCTTTCGCCGGAGGGCGAACCAGTTGTAGATGGCGAGGAAACAAAAAATCGTCGTTTTTCCACTTCCAGAGGGACCCTGAAGATAAGGTAAGATTAGGTGGGAAATACCAAAAATCAGAGTGCTAAGGTGTGGAAAATTGCCTTTTATGGTACCGGAGACAATATCAGACAACAATTTTGGAATAAATTTGCAAAATTTTTAACCCGCGATTTGCAGAATCCTTCGGAATTTGAAAGCCAAAGATTGGCAAAAATTCAATTTTTTCGGAGAAAATCTTGGAAAGTTATAATGTATAAGGTAAGGTTAAGGCCAAAAAATGTCAAACGAACTCAGTTTTTGAATCCAAGCTTGCTCATAAAGCTATTGATACCACATAAACTTAAATATGACATAAATTTCGCCAAAAGTTTGATAAAAAGAAACGATTTTTTTATGACTAAAATTAAAAAATAAAATAGTCAAATCTGGTAAAATCTCCCCAAACTCACCAAAATTGCATTCATTTCAAACTGATACGCCATCACGGCACTTTCCAACTGCTCCGGAAACAGTTTATACGGACTTGGCAAGAGCTCATTGAACTTTCCGAGATCATCCCTCGTTACATCGCTGTAAACTCGGGCAATCTCCATCTTTGGATCGTAGAAATTGCAGAGAATACTTTTCAAATTCTTCGGGAACGTCTCAAGACTCCTTAGTTTGTCGATGAACCTCCTGATTCTGCGAGTTTCTTGGCAGAATCGGTTGGCATGATAATTGAAAGCGAGGAAGATTTTGCCCGGAGAGACAATTCCAGTGCCCACAAATGGTTGGAGCTCTTTTAATGGATCGATGATTAGTTCTGAAGAAATAAAAGATCATTAATAAACTGACTGCGAAGTACTCCAAGTGCGAGTCAGATTTTGATGAAACTTGGCACAAATTTAGACCAATTTTTTAGGGCAAAAGTCGGACAAAAAATTAGGAATTTTTTCCGAATTTCCGCAAGAAAAGTTAGATACGTTCAGTGGCGGACCTGATCCATTGGCCAAAAACGTACCATTTTGCATCCGGGAAGTATCCAAAATGCAGCAAAATACCTCCCTCTCCAAGTGAAAAAACTCCGATTTCAAAAGCGCGCCCACTCTTTTTGTGAGAGAAAGGGCGCGAAGTTCAAAACGGAGTTTTTTTTTAGTTGGAGGCATTTTGCAACTTTTTTGATACTTCCCGGATGCAAAATGATACATTTTTTGCCACTGGTTCAGGTCCACATTGGTAAACCGTAGTGTTCAGTCTGACCTTTGAGATGGTCTTTCTTGGAATATCATCTGGCCAGCTGGCGTCCGCGTTATGCCACTGAACACTGTGGTAGTCTTCTCTGATACAAATGAAGATCGGAAACCCATAAACTCCATTGCATTTCAGCTTCCCTATAAGCAGTTTTCAAGTGCTGATGATAACGAAACTTATGGATTAACAAAAACAGCGTTATACTGACTTCTCAAAGCAGCAACTTCCATTACGGGTTCACCAAATCCCCCAGGACTTCCGGTGGAAAAACTCAACTCATATCCTCGGAAATTCTTGTCGCCATCGACTGGAATGCGAACCTGCTCGATTCGCAAATCATGGAGTTTGAATTCGAAGGCTTCGGTCACACTAAGCTTCCTCCAGAACAGATCATACGCCACAACCAACGATCGGCCTACATACAAGCAATAAAAACAAGGGATGTTGTTCAAAATGCCGAACCCATGCCACTAAAACCCACCGCCCATGTTGCCAAACCCTTCAATTGTACGAAGAATGTTGCCGAATTCCTCTTCAAACTTATCTTCCGTGCCCGGAGTGAGTTTGCCCAGGATCTTGTAGAATTTGCGCACTTCCGCAGCAGATAGCGTTTGATAGTTGGAAAACTTTTTTTCACAGTAGAACTTGGTCTTGGTCGTCTCAAAGTTCCACGTCATGAATCCCTGAAGGGCATCCTTGCATTCAGCGGGATGGTAACCCTTTCCCCAGTCCGTTACCGATTCCCTGCATTTGAAACACCGATCGAGAAGGTAAGAATGAACCGACAATGGATCACGGGATTCAACGAAACAATTGGTCTATAACACGAAATCACAAATATCGAGGTATTACCTTACCGTGAGTCCCAAGACACCCACTTCTTCATTGGAATTGTGGCCAAACCCTGTACTATTACACGGCGATTTCTCAGTGGCAGCAGATAGATGGAGAAAACGAAGTGCTCCCGTGACAGTTCCTACGCTTTCAATCGTAACATCTGTGGATCCGCTCGTCCGGCTGCTCCCGAGTTGGCGTGGCCTAGTGCGTCCTCGGCTTCCGGCAGAACTTCTATCAGATTGTGTTTCAAGGGTTCCAGATGGGTCATACATGTCGTCCGATTCTACTTTTCCAAATCCGTTGGATATCCGGTTTCGATTTTTGAGTTCCCGAAGTCCAACATGCTGCTCGGACTTTTCACCAAACAAACGGCTCCCAAACCCGCGCGCTCCAGTTGATTGTACTAAAACAAGGTAAAAAACTCAAAAACCACTCTTACCGGCAGCGTTCTGGTTTACCCGAGACGAAAAGTGCGAGTACCGGGCGGTTTCGAATCCGTACGGGGAATTGTGGCCGAATGAACGTCCAAAACCTTCGGAAACATTAGAAAACCCACCTGATTTGCCAGAATGTTGTGTTTCCTTTTGGACTTCTGGTTCCGTTGGCCGTGATTTTGGACGTCTGGTTCCGTTGGCCACGTTGTCCGGGGAAGAAAAACCAGTATAACAGAACCCCGACATCTGCCAAAAAAACATAAAACCGGTAAATTTATTTTTTAAAGTCAAAATACTCGATCAAAATGTAAGAAATAAACATGAATGGTCTTCCATGACCGAGAAAAGTTTTTAAACGCCCGATTGGCGCTAAAAAAATTTATTTGGCCGCTCTCGCTGCCGACGGCGACCAATTGATCCTCTTCGTGCTGGGACGAAAGGTTCTCTAGAAAATCTGACAAACGCTCCAAAAAATCCGTCATCTTCAAGTCCGGTAAAAACAAATGACAGTAAACTCCATTTTTTGAGTTGCTGTTGAGTCCGATTCGAACAAAAAGCAGAAAAACAAATGGTTCACTATCAGAAAAATTTTGAAATCGAATGAGTGATATCGGATATTTCAACCCAAAACTTCTTTTCCCACGTCAGCAAAATTCACAAAGCAACAACATCTCTTTTTTATTTCAGCAACGGTAACGAATAGAATAAATGTCATGAAAACGCACAACTCCGGATTCCGGGTAAAGTATACTGTCAAAGATTTAAATATATTTATCAAAATTTCCTTTGGAATCACTGGAACGGCCCAATTCAATAAGAGAAACCAGTGGATCTCGCGATTTGAGATGGTATTTGGCCAGCCTGTCGATGGGACGGGAGGCAAGATTCTTGACATGGAACAAGTCCACGCTTCCGATGATGATCTGAGCGCGAGTGGCACGACTCAGCGAGACCAACAGTCTTTTGGCCGTGTCATAGGCTGGCCATTCCTCGGCATGCCCGTTCATAAATCCATAGGGGCCGGTGCGAACCAAGTCAAGGAGCACAAAAGGAGCGTCGGTGGAGATGGCGCGGTCGACTGTCTGGCCGCGGATGGCGCCCGTGGCGCCGGGTTTGGTGCGACGATGGTAGAATTCGGACTCTTGGACTGGAATTTGCATAATTTTGGGGACGAATTTGAAAAAATAGGGAAAAATTATTTTTGAGAACTTTTTTCGTGCAAAATCTAGTTTTTTAAATGAGAAAAATGTTATCCTAACTATAAACAGACGACAGCAAACTTATTTTTTGACCTGAACCTTGTCTATTATAAGGTTTGTCAGTAAAAAAAAATACAAAAATCCCCAAAATTAATATTTTTGAGCCATTTTTTGGCAAAAAATTTTATTTTTTTCATGCTAAAGATTAAAAAAGAACGGTCGTATTTTAGTTCCACCCATTGGAATTTCAAAAAATTCAAAAATTTTTATTCCCAAAAAAACTTTTTACAAAAAAAAATTTTTTTTGCCAAAAAACCCCAAAAAATTCCATCAAAAAATCCGTTCCAATCCCCCTCAACCTACCCCGGTACGGAGTCAAATACAAGCAATCCTCGCTGGAAATGTCCGGATTATTCTTCAGAATGGCGTTGAAAATGTGGGAGGCGTAGAAAACGTTGCGGCGATTTGTCAGACACAACCTCCGGTCCGTTACTTCATGAGATGATCCATGATGAAGGCGGCGCGGACATTTGTGATCATCAGCATCACAAAAATGGTGTTTTTGGGGATCTGTTCGGGGCAAATTGATGAACAATGAGACGAATTGGCGCTTTTCGATCTTCAGAAGATCACTGATGAGATTGAAACAGCCGGCAAAGTCAAGGAGGAGAGGACGGTCAGGGGGGCAGAGTGCGGTGTGGAGGGTAAAATCACTGAAATATGAAAAAATTTTTAAAAATTTTAAAAATAAATTTGCATAACCAAAAAAATAAATTACATAATTTTAAAAAAATAATGAAAAAAGACCTTGTAAAAAAAAATTTCGCAAATTTTTAAAATTTTAAATAAATTATGCAAATTTTTCAAAAACAAAAATTTGAATATTTAAAAAATTTGCTTTGCATAATCAAGGTCAAATTAAAATCTTCGTTACAAAACAAACAAAAAATTCTAATAACATTTTTTTAATTTATACAAATTTTCAAAAATTTAAATATTCAAAATTTTTCAACTTTCATAATTAACCCCTAAAAACAGGAATAAAAAATACTAAAACCAACTCACTAGAAAGGCTGGATAATTTTGCACAATGCTTTCGGAGTTCTGACAATCTGTTTCATCTGAGTAGACGGTAAGTTGCACTTCAAAAGCTGGACCAAAGCCGATTCATCGTACCCGGAACGCATCTCATCGCCGTCGGTAAGGAAGGGCTCTTTCGAAAATCGCGCGTTCAATTGAAACTGATCACCTGAAACATCAATTTTTACATTTTAATTCCATCAATCTCATGTGTAATATAATTAGACCCCAACATCTTACCAAAAATGCTCATATGTTGTGGAACATGGCGTTTCTTCTCATTCAACATGACCAGATGGGTGTAAAAGTTGAGCGTGGACACGGACGAGGCCTCATCCAAGAGGACGGAATCGGCTTTGAACTGAAGAACAACGTCGGCCGTGAGGAAATTGTGGATCGCGACGAGCATTGTGATTTGCTCCGGGACCTCGTGGCTGAACGAACAAACCTCTTCAATCTCGGGGTCTCTCGGCTCCATTGCCGAGTCCTTCTCCAACTTATACCAGATGTATTGTCGCTCGTTGTTCAGATGTCTGAATTGCGGGAGTTCGAGGAGGAATTTGGACATTCGAACGATCCGCAGGGTGATTTCATTGGCTGCGCCGCGACGCGTGGTCAAGAGAAGGGTTTTTCGGCGAAGGGCGAACCAGTTGTAGATGGCGAGGAAACAAAAAATCGTCGTTTTTCCTGTTCCAGAGGGACCCTGAAGATGGATAAGGTAAGATTAGGTGGGAAATGTCAAAAATCAAAGTGCTAAGGTGTGGAAAATTGCCTTTCATGATACCTGAGACAATATCAGACAACAATTTTCGAATAAATTTGCGAAATTTTTAACCCGCGCTTTGCAGAAACTTGCGAAATTTTAAAGCCAAAAATTGGCAAAAAATCAATTTTTTCGGAGAAAATTTTTGAAAGGTATGATCAGATGGACCCTGAAGATGGATAAATGTCAAAAATCAGAGTGCTAAGAGTGTGGAAAATTCCCTTTCATGATGCCTGACATCATTTTCAGATCCCAATTTTTAAAGAACTCACCAAAATTGCATGCATTTCGTACTCATAGGCATTGATGGCATGCCCCATTTGCTCTGGCATCAACCGATAAGGCTTTGGCAGAAGATCGTTGAACTTTTCGAGGTCATTTCGTTTCACATCAGAGAAGATTTTCTGATCTTCAATCTTGGGATTGTAAAAGTTGCTGACCATCTCCTTCAGATTCTTTGGGAATGTCTCTCGGTCGTTGGGGGAGTCAATAAAGTCTCTCATTTTTTTCGTCTCCTCGCGCATTCGATTGGCACGATGGTTGAAAGCGAGGAAGATCTTGCCTTTAGGCACGTATCCATAGTTGAGGAAGGGCCGGAGATCTTTCAATGGGTCAATGGTCAAGGCTGAAGGTAAAATAAATAAGTTGGCAATAGACAAAACTATCGAATTAGATCCATTTATAAGCGAAAGAAACAGTTGACTCATAGAGTAATTTTTTGAGTCAAGTCTTCCTTTCAAATCGCAATGTAAAAAAAGCTGTTCATTTGATGATTTTCGCAAAAAAAATGTTTGAAAACATGTTTATAAACTCGAGAGAAAAACTTGACCCAAAAATAACCCGTTGAGTCAAGTCTTCTCTCAAAAAATAAATCAACGCAAACTTACTACAATATTCTGATGTACTCGGAGGTTGACATCGATAGGCCGTGGCGTTCAGTCTGATCATCGACACCTTCTTTCTGGGCAAATCGTCTGGCCAATCAGCATCGAACTCATGATCTTGAATACTGGTCGATTCCTCCCTTATGCAAATGATGATCGGGAATCCGTAAACCCCATTGTGATTTAGTTCTCCTAAAACAAAAAAAAACAATAATTTCGGTGTCAACCTTACTTCTCAGATAGGACTGCTCACTGTTCAGCTCCTTGTTCTCCCCTTTATCTCTGATATTGAAAGTCAAATCAAATGGCCGAAAGTTGGAGCTACCAATGTTAATGTTAACTCTAGCAGGCTCGATTCTCAGATCAAATAGCTCAAATTCGAAGGCTTCGGTTGCACTGAGCTTTCTCCAAAGAAGATCGTGAGCCAAGACCAATGATCTTCCACCAAAATTTCCAAATACTTCGATATTGCGTAAGATTTTTTCGTGGAAGCGCACCCCAAACCCATACTCATTCGCTGGCGTCAAACCTTCAAGAAGCTCATAGAACATTCTCATCATTTCCGGAGACAACTCCTGGTACAACTGATGCTTGTTCTCAAAGTAGAACTTGTTCTTTCTTGGCTCAAAGTCTGGACGCATAAATCCCCTCACCAGATCATCGCAAAGCTTTGGATGAATTTTGTAGGAAACTCGCCAATTATCAATGAAGGAACGGCATTTAAAACAAGTTTTGATTGGGCACTCAAATGTACGATGATTTTCTCTACAGTTGTCGCATACTCTGTCTTGATCTGGCGGCTGAAAGATGACGACAATCAACTAAAGCCAAGAAGTTTTCGAAAATGGCTGGAATAAATCGGCCAAGACAGTACCTAAACATAACAAGTCGTTCTCACTTACTGGACCAAGATTTAGAATTCCAAAATCATCATCATACTCTTCAGAAGCCCTAAGCAGCGAGCCTTCACTTCGACTTCTATGGCGAAATCCTCTTCGTTGATTGTCGAAAACCGATGCTCGTCGAGGCCTGCGAGTATGCTCTACATTGTTGCGGCTCCTGTCTCGACGAGGGCTGTGCCTTCCCTCGTTCTCCGCAAAGCAAGCTCTGAGAGACCTCAAGTTGCCCCGAACGCTGTTATAAACCGTTCCATTCTCTTGGTTCCATCCAAACCCTCCAAACCCATTGTTGGAATTGTCTTGACGAGTTGCAGTTGGCCGTTCGCCGAAGCTGTGCCTCCCCTCGTCTCCCAGAAAGCGAGCTGTGGACGACCTTCTGTTACCTCGAATGCCATGATAAACCGCTTCATTCTCTTTGTTCCCTCCAAACCCATTGTTGTAATCGTCTTGACGAGTTGTAGTTGGCCGATCTCCAAATCCAAAGCCTCCTCTTCCTCTGAACATGTTCTGCGAGAGTCCACGTGCTCCTCTGGCCCCAATTCCTTCAAAGAAATATAACATTCTCAAACCTCTCACCCCTAACTGTGCCCAAGCTTTCCACAGTAACTTCCGTAGATTCACTCCTTCCACTGCCATTTACAATGCTTGAGCAGGTGCTTCCTGCAGCAGTTACAGAAGGGGTACTGTGCCCAATACGAGAACCACCTCTAGAAAAACCGGCCGACAGAAAAATAGGTACGCGACGTTGGTCCTCATTGCATTCGACGACACGGTCGTGTGTGGGAAGGTTTGAAGCCATGCGCGGTTTTTCGGGAATACTTGCGAGGCCGAAGTGTGAAGACGCTAAAATTGCGGGTTGAATGCGGTAAGGCCGAAAAATTACAGGAGGACCGGCGGGAACTTTGCAGCAGGCCTTCTTGCTCTGAGATCCATTCATGAATGCGTGTGGCCGTCGAAGAATTGGAACGTCTGGCCGTCGAAGAACTGGGATCGGCCACTGAAAACAAGGAATTCTCAAAAATAGACCTAAACTTACCGTTATTCTCTCCTAGAGTTGGATATATGCGAGGTTCCGGCGGGCCAAAGTTGCTGTTTCTTTCTTCGTCGATTTTTGGAGTGGTTGAAGTTGATCTGTCGCTGGTGTTGAAGCCGTTAAATCTTGTCGTTGGTGGCCGCATAGTTGAATTGGGGGAGGAAGTTTGTTTCGTCGAATGGCTTTCGGTGGAGTTCAGGACACTTGACGGCCGGGTTCTCCTATTCATCTAAAAAATATCAAAATAACAAATGCACAAAAAAGTATTTTACGCAAGCACAACACAAATAGCTTGAGAGACTATTTGCAATAAAACGACAAACAACCAGAAAATTGCGAAACCTTCCCGTCGGCAAAACAGTTTTTCGTTTTCGCGCCAAGACCGAAATCCTTGAATTTTCTCAGGAAAGGCGGGAATTAAAATTATCTGAATGTTAAAAATCAAACGAGAGCCATGTCTGTTAGACATCGAGGAATTACTTATCAATTATCTCAATACCAAAGATAAATTTTATATATTAGGTTGATGCAAAAGGAATTGCGGATTTTTTAATTTATTCGTATTTTTTCATAGGATAGCTCAATTCAAAAATGGAAAAAGGTATATAGTAGTAAATTTTAAGAGGATTTTTCTGTATATGTGCTATTCTTATAAAAGTTATCAAACGTTACCATAAGTTACCACGAAAGTACCCTAAACATGTTAGTATATTTTAAACCAATTTTTTTACATATTGTTTTGCGGCGTTATCCATTTTCGAAAATATTTTGATAAAATACGTTATATTCTATCAAAAAACAAAAAAAAACCCCATTTTTGGCAAAGCGTTAAAACGCTATCCCAGAAATTCAAATTTCAGCAAATTTTACAAATCGTGTCATATCTTTTTTTTAATAAGTCCAAAATAAAAAATTCTTTTTGCTTTCGATTAGTAACAACATTTTTAAGATTTTTGTGACAAAAAAACATCAAAATCAAAAAAATTTATTTTTTGACATTTTTTGACCAAAAAATAAAATTCAAGATTTTGATGTCTTTTTTTCACGAAAGCCTTAAAAATGTTGTTACTAATCGAAAGCAAAAAGAATTTTTTATTTTGGACTTCCTAAAAAAAAGATATGACACGATTTGTAAAATTTGCTGAAACTTGAATTTTTGGGATAGCGTTTTAACGCTTTGCCAAAAATGGGGTTTTTTTTGTTTTTTGATAGAATATAACGTATTTTATCAAAATATTTTCGAAAATGGATAAAGCCGCAAAACAATATGTAAAAAAATTGGTTTAAAATATACTAACATGTTTAGGGTACTTTCGTGGTAACTTATGGTAACGTTTGATAACTTTTATAAGAATAGCACATATACAGAAAAATCCTCTTAAAATTTACTACTATATACCTTTTTCCATTTTTGAATTGAGCTATCCTATGAAAAAATACGAATAAATTAAAAAATCCGCAATTCCTTTTGCATCAACCTAATAAAATTCAGCCATGGCTGTAATTTACCCTCTCTTACCGGAACGGGTTCGAAAGCTTCGGCCTCATCATCAGAGAAAGAATTGCGTCGTCTAGGCAGTCCACTTTCACTTCGACTTCTCCTTGATCTGAATCCTCGCCTTGTCTCGTTGCAAGTTGAGGGCCGGCTATATCTTCTTGCAAAGTCCTTGCGGCTGCTGAAAATATTGTGGCGTCGAAGCCACTCGTCATTTATTCTAGGCCTTCTTGTGTAACGTCGATCATAACCAAAGAACAACCTTTCATTTTCGCGCCGCCGGGTTTGTTGTCTAAGTTCTTAATTCCGTATATTACTTATTTTTCTTGGTCTTCTTGTCACCGGGTTTGATGACCACCTACCTCTGAGTTGAGCCTCACGTTTTTCCTCTTCTTCTTTACGCCAACGTTCATGACAACTTCCAAATTTTCCGCCTCGAAGATGAGAACTGCCGCCCCGAGTTGGCTCACTTGATCTGCTCATTGTAGCTGAATAAGCCCGAGGAGTGTCGCTTTTGATAGTAGAGACATCACTTTGGCCTCCAAATGAAGTGTGAAAGAACCGGTTGCCGATGTTTCGATAATGGCCTCTAAAAGAAGAGCCTCCACGGTTATTTACTGTGTTATTTGGAGGGCTAGAGACTTCAACAGGCTCTTCAGTAAGCGTATTGGTACTTCCAAAGTCCGGCGATGCGATTTTGTTAGTTTCATCTTCGTCACTAGCCATGTTCTGGTCAAATACATCACCATCGGCCCGGCTACTAAAACTGCTATAAGAATCTCTGTAACTAAAGCTCTGATTGCTATGGCTACTGCTTGAAGGTGACCAAGTAGACCTGGAAAAGGGGGTATAGCTACTTGCAAAGTCAGATGACTTATAGCGATCTGTTTTGGCTTCTTCTAGCCAATTTCTTTGGCCAAATATGGCGCTATTGGAATTGTTCTGGCTTTGGAATCCTCCTCCCCCAGAATGAGTTGAATATCCACTTCCGTTTTGAAGCCCTAAACACTAAATTTTGAGCTTAAATATGATGACAAACCTCTGACAGTTCCCAGACTTTCAATAGTAAGATCGGTGGTGTCACTTTTTCCACTGCTCTCTTTTCCATTCACACTTGAACATGCACTTGTCGTAGAAGAGTTTGCGGTTTGCGACATGACGGTTGTTGAGGAATTGTTTGCTAAAAACAGTCATTTTTACAAAGGATTGAGGGAATATGAACTTGCATGTAGAAGGAAAAGAACTCGGCGATGCTGCTTGTTGCGCAATCCATTCATTCAACCGAGGATTTAAGGGATCAGCTTGAGAACATCCAGCGAGAGTTTCTAAAATACGAAAATGTCCGTGCAGGTTATGACAGTAATCAAAATACAGTCAAATCTCTGTACAGCGGATTGAAAAAGACAAAAAAATCGTTTTAGCGTGGTTTTGTTGCAAGGAGGTTGGGACTTCAGAAGTTTTTTTTATAGACATTTTTTATTCCACTTCAAGTCTAAAAACTCACTTTTTTGAGCTTTACAATCATGAGATGTTGCCGTCTGCAAAGTTATGGAATTCTTATTCTTGTCGATTTTTCTAGTCGTTGACATTTTCTTTTGATACTTAAATTTCCATTCAAAGATTACTGGTTTTCCTGTTTGTAAGAAAGATCAAGCACAAGTGAGAGAATCGCTCGTTGGCGTCTGCAACGAAAGTAAATTTAGTGCTTCAAGAGAATTAAATTTTTTTTAAAACTTTTTTTCGGATTTTGTCACAGAAATATTTTTGGGCCACGCATCTCATTCCTAAAGGTCTTTGTGAACGCTATCATTGTTGGAACGTATTTTACATTAGGTCTAAAAATTTTTGAAAGAAAAAGTGACTTTTTTGGCTACATATATTATATTAGACACATCAAACAAATTTCAAAAAATTCTGCCACAAACTTTTTATGATAAATCAGCTTCAGCCCTACAAAAAAAGCATCTCCGGAAAAGATGTTGGCCAAAAAATAAGGCCGCTCCCTTCTTTCTTTCTTAATTTTTATCTGCGAGTTGATCTTGGCGTTAGAAGCGATTCTTTCCAATTTCTTTTGAATAATTCGATTAAAACATGTGTTTTTCCTCGGCAAAAAAAATTTTTTTTGCGATACAAAAATCGCAGAAATTGGATTTTTGAAAATTTATTTATTGCAACAACATCAGATAACAAATGAAAAATAGAATTTCGAGATTTTTTGGCCAAGAAATCAGACCATTTGATTATAAAAATCTGCGGAACCTGTGTAGCAGCTTGTGGTGTAAGAAACCATGGGATCTCTGGAGTTGAGATGAGCAGCCGCCACTTTGTCGATGGGATTGGTTGGACGACCTCTGACATCCTCGTCGCGCACACTTCCAATGATGATCTGAGCGCGACTGGCACGACTCAACGAGACCAACAATCGCTTGGCCTCGGGGTAGGCAGGCCATTGGGCGGCCCTTCCATTCATAAATCCATTGGAAGAGGTGCGGACCAAGTCAAGGATCACAAATTGCGCTTCGGTGGAGAGGGCGCGGTCGATTGTCTGGCCTCGCACGGAACCAGAGGGGCCGGATTTCCCGCGACGATGGTAGAAGAGGGATTCTTGCACTGAAATTTGCAGAATTTAGGGGTCAACTTTAAAAATGAAAACAAAAATTATTTTTGAGATTATTTTTAATGTAAAATATGAATTTTCAAACCAAAAAATTGAGAAAATTCACCCTGTAAAAAAAATTTTGGATTGAAATTTGAATATTTTGCGTTCAAAAAAATCGCAGAAACTGTTGCAAAACCGATTTTTTAGGAAAAAAATCAAATTTCTCGGCGGAAAAAAACAATTCAAAAAAATGGGTTCAACTAAAATTTAAGAGCGAAGGAATAAGAGCGAAAAAAATCTTCTGAAAAAAATGCTTCAGCCTCTTTCTTTTTTTGTCGAAAGAGTCTCGAGCAGATTCTCACCACTTGGGAAAGCGTCTGCCATCACACTCTTTCTTCTCTTCTGGAGGAAGCGTCTGCGAGCAGGCTCTTCCCGACGTTTATAAGCCCCGCCCCCTCGATTTTGAGCCAATCGCTGAGTTGGTGGTTTTCTTGCAGAAAACGGTTGTCTTGGGTGAAAATTTTTGCCTTTTCATTATTCCGGTGATTTGGGCACGTTTTTATTTGTTTTAGAACTGTGATCCGCCTAGCCTTACTATGGCTGTCATTTGAAGATTCAATTGAAAATCAGATACATTCCTGGTTAACACAAAGGTTAAGAAAATATTTACAGAACAAGTTTCACAGATATATTTATGTGCAACACAAGTAACATCGAGTTACATTTAGATGTAGAGGGCCGCGGCGGATTCTGCCCATGGGCATTCGTTTCCATATTCACGGTCTCCCTTTCTTCCCCGTTGTTACTGAGATTGGGAGTGCAATTTTGGGACATTGAGGCTGAATTTGGAAAAATTAGTAACTTTTCGAAAATTTTACATCTAAAATAACATCACAACTCCTCAAAACAACTCTCTCGGTCCTACTTATTATTGGCGCACCTGCAAACACTCACTAAACTGCACATTTTACCTTATTTTAGACAAAGATACCTGAAAATTTCAAAAAATCTCGGTTTTGACGTAGGCCTGCAAAAAATTTCAAAAATAGCAACTAAATCACTATTCATACTTTCTTTCTCCGTCTCCTAGGTATTTCATCACTCACAAAAAACTGCACAAACAAAAAATAATATTACTTTAGGTCCAATCCGCTGAAAACGCCTCAAAAATCCCTTTCTTCTCCCTCAAAAGTCTATGAAACTGTTACTTACTTTCCATTCAACAAGTGGTGAATATCCCTGTCATTGCTGGATCCAGCTTCATCAACTATCACGAGGACCTTATCCATGGAGACCAAATTCTTCTTGTCGCATTTATATCTAAAATGTTAAAAACAAAAAATTCTAACTTACAAAGTCGTCCGAATTCATCGCTGTAGCGATCACGTACTGTTGAAGTCGAACATCAAGTGGGCCTGAAAGGTGTAAAACAAGTTCAGATATGGAGTTCGCAGTTGGCCAAGTAGGAAAGATTAGGCCTAAAATTACGTAAACATGCTAGCAAAATGAGGCAACTTACATTTCGCCGCGTCGGTCCGCACTCCTTCGTCAAAATTCGCTATCATTCATCGATGAGCTAGGTTCACCTCCATCTATTGTTGTCGGCCACTTTTCTTCGGTCAAAACGACTGAAAATTGTTCGGGCGCAAGCTGCGGAACCTTTTTTTCGCTTGGGCTAGAGAAATGAAGTTTTACCAACAACTTTGATGCCAAAAAAGGACGACGAAGATTGATATGCGATTGATGAAGGCCTGGAAACACCGCCCATAAGAGGTTGAACTGGATCTACTGCAAATCATGGACTTATATTCGGCCTCCAATGTCTGGACTCGGAAAAGGTACGTAGAATGTTAAATTGTTGATAGTATTGGTAAGTTTAAGCCGAAATATCTCCGCGCATGTGCAGCGAGATGTTTCAATAGTTCAGGTGGAGGACAAGCATAATAATGATGCGGCTTACGAAGTAAATGAAGTCCCTCTTCATCGGCTTTAACCCTTTCCGGACGAGTCGGCACCTCCATGCAGAAATGAAAGAGGGTACCCTACTGAGTAACGGCATAATAGTGGTTCAGCCCATCGAAGCGTTATTTGGGACTTATGACAAAAAATGTCCTAAAAAGTACCCCCAGTTGACATAACCCTTATAAAATTTTGCTAACGACCTGTAAATTAGAAACTACCCCTAAGTTAAAGTCTAAGACTCCAACTACTGTTACATCCAAGAACTGTCCAAATCGGACCACTACAGGATTAGTTGTCGACTTTTGGAAATTGAATTTTAAATTTCGACCAATTTTTGGCCCAAAATTGAGTATATCTTCCGCCGGAATCAACCATTTCGGTCCAAATGTGGTTTTTCTGAATCTACATTGATGCTAGCTTCTTCCTAGAATGTTTCCTGAAAAAACCTATAGAGCACTTTTCTGTAAAAAGCGAAAAAGTCGAAAACGCAAAGGTTTCACCGTATAAAATGTCGCCGCAAGCCGCGAAGGGTCGGGCGCAGCTCGAAAGGCTAAAATAATATTTTTTCTTCGAAAAATATTATTTTAGTGTCGACAAGCTGAATTCAGATGAAATACAGACAGACAGAGCACGCAAACATTAACTCAATGTCATTTTAATATTTTTAATGCGTTTTCAGGCAATTTCATTGGATTTTGCTTTAGTTTCGCACTAAAATAGTATTTCTCAAAAAAATATATATTATTTTAGCCTTTCGAGCTGCGCCCGACCCTTCGCGGCTTGCGGCGACATTTTATACGGTGAAACCTTTGCGTTTTCGACTTTTTCGCTTTTTACAGAAAAGTGCTCTATAGGTTTTTTCAGGAAACATTCTAGGAAGAAGCTAGCATCAATGTAGATTCAGAAAAACCACATTTGGACCGAAATGGTTGATTCCGGCGGAAGATATACTCAATTTTGGGCCAAAAATTGGTCGAAATTTAAAATTCAATTTCCAAAAGTCGATAACTAATCCTGTAGTGGTCCGATTTGGACAGTTCTTGGATGTAACAGTAGTTGGAGTCTTAGACTTTAACTTAGGGGTAGTTTCTAATTTACAGGTGGTTAGCAAAATTTTATAAGGGTTATGTCAACTGGGGGTACTTTTTAGGACATTTTTTGTCATAAGTCCCAAATAACGCTTCGATGGGCTGAACCACTATTATGCCGTTACTCAGTAGGGTACCCTCTTTCATTTCTGCATGGAGGTGCCGACTCGTCCGGAAAGGGTTAAAGATGGTAAGTTCTTTTCTTCTGTTTTGCGTTGTTGATTTAGGAAATATTCAACCACCACACCGTCTTCATCAATCCGATTACAGATGTGGGCTACAAATGAGAAACACGTGATCTTCTGGACCCCTCCTATTCGCAAGACTGTTTGCTCCCGGCGACTAAACCCAAATGTAAGGAGTACAACAAATTCTGGATAAGCTAGCTCCACCGAATGCATTCGCAGCCAGCCGTTCAACAACCCCATAGGTACGCGAAAAAGTGCACAACTTTCCGGCTATTATTCCTATTACAATTCAGCCACCATGGTTTATTATCTCTGTTACCTGAATTACATTTTTGTCACCTTCTTTATATCAGATTTATATATTATATCTGATTTCTCCGATATCTGTTTCTTAGACGCTTTTATTTATTGTTATTAAAGATTAGTTATTCATTTATTTTATAGAAAATGAAAAGAGTGTTAGATTGTACTGTCCAAACTTTGTTGTCAAAGAAAAAATGTAAAAAACATCGTATATTTGAAAAGAACAGTGCTTTATTTACTAAATGGCAACATTTCAATTCGCCATTTTTCCCCAAAATAGAAGTGGGCGGAGCCAATAGGCGGAAAGAGTCTCGACCCACACTCTTCCCCCACCTTGATGGCGGGAGCGTCTGCTCGAGACTCTTTCCGTCTCTCAGATTCTTTCCCAAATGGGAAGAGTTCGTAAACACACTCTTCCGAACGAAAAGGAAAGAGGCTGAAGCATTTTTTTCAGAAGATTTTTTCCACTCTTATTCCTTCACTCTTATTTGTATCCAAAAAATCGAAAAATCATCAAATTTAGAAAAAAATCCAAATTTAACAACAAAAAAATCAAAAATAAAATTGATTTTTGAAATAATTTTTTATATAACAAATGAATTTTCAAACCAAAAAATTGAGAAAATTCACCCTGAAAAAAATTTAGATTGAAATTTGCATATCTTGGGTTCAAAAAATAATAAAGGAAAACTGTTGAAAATATTAAAATACTAATTTTTTAATGAAATTTTTATATAAAAAATAAAATTCCCGGCGAAAAAAAATAATTCAAAAAATGGGTTCAACTAAAATTTGTATCCAAAAAAACGAAAAATCATCAAATTAAAAAAAAAATCCAAAAATTAAATTTTAAAAAACTTAAAATTAAAAACCAATCCAATAGCCTACCTCTATATGGAGTCAAGTACAGACAATCCTTGCTGGAAATGTCCGGATTGTGCATCAAAATCGAATCCAGAATCTGCGAAGCGACATAAACATTGCGTCGGTTGGTGAGGCAAAGTTTTCGCTCAGTCATTGGAGGGCGGCGTTTACGGAAGAGATATAGTCCTCTATGTTGGGCCGCATAGTCATCCGCGTCGCAAAAGTGTTCCGAATTGCGGTCGGTGGCCGGCAAATTGACGAAAATCGACAAGAATTTTTTCTCTGGAAGACTGCCAAAACTGAAGTACGGCAGATTGAGAGGCCGCGCTGGTGGTGAATAATTGGTGGAGAGGGGGAAATCGCTGAAATAACGAGAAATTTTTCGAGCAAAACCCGCTAAAATAAGGTAAACCAATATAATTTTTGGCCTTAGCTTGGGTGGAAAGAAAATAAATTCTATTATTTTCCCACTAATTGACTTAGTTTCACCTTAGGGCGCGCTAAAATTAAAATATTCCAATTTATGCAAATTAAAATTTGAATATTCAAATTTTCTGAAAATTTTAATATTGGCTTTCTGAGCTCAAAAACGATAAAATAAAGCTCTAAAAAGGACTCACTAAAAAGGCTGGACAATTTTGCTCAAAGCCCTGGGCGCTTTGGCAATCTCTTTCATCTGGGTGTACGGTAGTTTGCACTTCAAAAGTTGGACCAAAGCCGACTCATCAAAGCCCGATTCTTGCTCGTCCTCGTCGCTGAGGAACGTCTCTTTCGAAAATCGAGCACTCAATTGAAACTGATCACCTGCAACATCAAATTTTTCTTCATGATGACAAACAAGTCATGTGTAATATAAAAAATTGCCCATTTCTTACCGAACATGCTCAAATGTCGTGGAAGATGGGACCGATTCTCGTTCAACATGACCAAAAGAGTGTAAAACGTCAATGTGGAGGCGGACGACGCCTCATCCAAGAGGACAAAATCGGCCTTGAACTGGAGGAGAAGATCGGATGTTGGGAGGACCGCCACGAGAAGAGCGATCCACGCGGGAACCTCCTGACTCACCGAACACACCGCCGCAATCTCCGGCTCTCTGGGCTCCAGCGCCGAGTCCTTCTCCAGCTTCCACCAGATGAATTGGCGCCCATTGTCCAGACAACTGAACTGCGGGAGTTGAAGGAGAAATTTGGACATTCGAACGAGTCGCAGAGTGATTTCCTTGGCTGCTGCTCGACGCGTGGTGAGCATAAGAGTCCTTCTTCTCATTACAAAAAAGTTGTAGATGGCCAGGAAGCAAACAATCGTCGTTTTTCCACTTCCAGATGGTCCCTGGAGATGAACAAGGTAAAAAATTGCCAGGGGGACTTCAGATTTAGCTTGAGGCCGCCCTAAAGCTCACCGTAAGCCCAATAAACCACATCAAAATATTAATTTTGAAATAAAATTGATAGAATTTCCAAAAAAATGTAATCAAAAATAATATAAATTTGTGGTATAACATGTCGAAAAAATGATAAATTACCCCTTATTTCGTCTTAAAAATTAATATCGAGCCTTTACAAACTAATCACGATCTTCAGTCGTCCAGAAAACACCAAAAAATGAAAAGTAAAATCATCATCCAAGTACAATATCGAAAATCCCCTCCAAATTGTCCAAAACTCACCAAAACCGCGTGCATTTCGTACTCGTAGGCGGTCATGGCATTCTCCATCTGCTCCGGCAACAATCGATAGGGACTTGGAAGGAGATCATTGAATTTTTCGAGGTTATGTCTCTTCAAATAGCCGAATTCCTTTTCCGTTTCCATTGTGGGGTTATAAAAGTTGCTGACCATTTCCTTCAGGTTCTTGGGGAAGGTCGGTCTGGGCTTCGACGAGTCCACGAACTGTTTTATCTTCTTGGTTTCTTCGCGCATTCGATCGGAACGATGATTGAAGGCGAGAAAGATCTTTCCACGCGCAATAACCCTGCCAAGATAGGGCTCGAGGTCTCGGAGAGGGTCGACGTAAAGGGCTGAAATGATTGCACAATTGTTTCGAACGCCCAGGACACGATTTTCGGCAATGGGTCAAGTGTTTCCCTCAGATAATTTTTTGGGTCAAGTCTTTTTTTTAGAGGAATTTCATTAAAAACGGGTGGGACTACAACATAACCGCAAAAAATTTGATTTTCCGCATGAAAAAGACAAAAAAAACAGCAAAAAAGGTTTCTATCTGCCCATCTCTCCTCATTTTCCATATTTTCTCGCAAAAAAGGGCATTGAATGTCTCGGAAACGTAAGGAAATGTTCACCTGGAATTCTCAGAAATTAAAGTGTCGCCCGGCCAAAAAATTTCGAGAAAATTTTAAGAAAATTGGAGCATCATACATACACATAATGGTGCAGTTTCAAAGTAGTCCAATTTTGTCCATGTAGGCCAAAATAAAAAATCCCGAAACGGCCTAGGTCAAAATAATTTTTTTGGACTACGTGTCGCTTCTTTACACAGGCCAAGGGTATTTCGAAAAAGGCAAAAAAATTTTTTTTGGCATGGTCCAATTTTGTCCATATAGGCCAAAAACAAAAAAAACCCGAAAACGGCCTAGGCCAAAAAATATTTTTTTTTGGACCACGTTACGCTTATTTACATAGGCCAAGCATATTTTGAAGTAGGCTAAAAAATTTTTTTGGCCTAGTCCAATTTTATTCATGTAGGCCAAAATCGAAAAGCTTTTTCCCCGAAAATGGCCTACTTGACATTTTCTATTTACGTATGCTGCCATTAATTTGAAGTAGGCCAAAAAGCAATCTAGGCCGAAAATGAAGTAACTATTCAAAGCTGAATTTTCCATGGGCAGAAAAAGCCAACTCACTGCACACTTGTCCACCGTTTGGCGGACAACATTTATAGACGGTGGCATTCACGCGGATGTTCGAGATCTTCTTCCGCGGGATGTTATCCGGCCACTGTTCGTCCACTTCCTGATCACAGACACTGGTCGACCGTTCGCGGACACAAATGAAGATCGGAAATCCATAAACTCCATTGTAATTCAGGTTTCCTGAACAAATATATTGCAAATACACTGCAATTGGCCTACTTTTGAGGTAGGATTGGCCACTGAAGAGGGGCTTTTTGTCGACTTCTTCGTCTCTGATCGTGAAAGAAAGCTCAAATGGGCGAATGCTATGGCTTCCGAGGTCCACAGAGAAGTTGGCTCGCTCAATGGAGAGGTGGAAAAGCTCGAGTTCGAAGGCTTCGGTCACACTCAGCTTCCGCCAAAGCAAATCATAGGCCACAACCAGCGATCTTCCTGAACAAACGACCCCAATAATTGACAAGGGAGGTGCCTCAGGTGAGACGCTCAGATTTTCTTTAAATTTGGCACACATGTCAGACATTGGCCACATACTAGTCGCGACATAAAGTCCGTAGAACTAGGGCTCGAGACTAACGCAGCCTGCGGCTGCTACCGTCTCTCGGGCAGCCATGCGCATAAAGGCAACTTTGCGCCCGGTTTCCCTGCTTTGCGCGCGATTTGGGCAACATTCCAGGTCCAAATGTGATGTAAAGCTCGCCAACGCTTTGCCGACGGCCTCCGGCCGCGGCAGAAAAACGCTACGCGTTAGACTGAACCTAGTAGCAACTTGTGGCGCTCGGAACGCTGAGCCGACCTTGTTTTAGTTAAGATCGCCAAGCTTACCCTAATCGCTAAGCCCGGCTAAAGAGCCCGCCGGCATGAGGCGACGGCCTACGGCCGCCGCGAGACTGCGTTTCGTTACCTAAAATAATTTCCCTTCCCCAAAAGTTGATCAGAAACACTTTCGATAACCAAAAATCAACCAAAAAAATATTAAAAAATGGTCTCAGCACTCAAAAGTATCCTAAGACAATATTTTTCCCGAAATTCCCATCAAATTTGGCCCTAAAACGGCCAAATCCCGAGAATCCAGGACAAAAAAAATAATTTTACAAAAATTTCTCGAAAAAATCCAGAAAACCCCGTCATGATGACCGGTTCCTCACCACCCTCCTCATTCTCAGCACTCTCTCCGTCTTATCTCTGACCGGAATCGAAAGAGAAAACCTTTGTCTAAGCACCCTCTACCCCTTTCCCACTCTCTCTTTTCTGCCGCCAAACGAAGAAGGAAGCGGTTGTCTGCCCGCTCTCTCTCTTCGCCGCGCTCTTTTTTTGTGTTTTCGTCCGTGGAAGTGGGCGTTTTTTCAAAACTGGCACTTGTTGCACTAAAAATACCGGGGAAAAAGGTACTACCGTATCCAAAATCATGCGGAGATTCCGAATATGTAGCTTTTAGACGAATTTTAGTTGGAAATTTTGGAGATTTGACGACTTTTCCGATTCAGGATTTTTTGGGACCGCCGCTTCAAACACGATTTCTGATCATATCTCTCGGAATCGTATCCCAGCTTCTGGTTGTAGAATCCATACTAAATTGTCTATCATGTGACGGGCGGGATTTTTGAATTTCGACCTTGTTCCCGAGCTATAGTAACTTTCGCCAAAGTAGGTAAAATCCAAAAATTCCGAAATTTCAACACTGCCTTTTCACCTTGTCCGTATTTTAGGAGTGGATAGCCGTTTCTACATCAGTTTGCCGCGCTGAATACGATGGTCAAAATTAAAATCCGAAAAAATTCAATTCCAAGCCCTCAGGGCCGAATATTGGCCGAAATTTCAAAATTTTTTTTTGACCGCACGGTGCGCACGGAATATTTCAGGTAGAAAGCTGAAACTTGGCATGACGGTAGTTCATTTTGTGTCCAATAGCACCCATATGATCAATTTGTTCAACTCCGCTTGTTGCCCTGAGGGCGATTTTTTTCGCACAGTGCACCAAAAATCGACCGAAATTTCCGGCCGCTCTGTCGGCCGTAATTTTAAAGATATGCGAAAGATGTAAGCGGGTAGATTGTAGAGCTCTTTGAGCTCTACAATCTATAGTTGGTCCTTTTTGACATCGTTGTTGTACATCAAGGAGAAAATTTTGAAAAAGTCAAAATTTTGAAAATTACGAAAAATTTCGTTTTCCGTCGGGAGATTCTATCGAGGACATGGCTACGTAGAATGTTCTGAAAAAATTTTGGAACGATCTTCGAGAACAAAGAAATCGATTAGCGAGCCGTTTTTTCGAATTTCGACCTGGAAGCCGAGAACGAATTTTTTGAAATTTGCACTGTGCAAATCGTATTTTTTACAGTATGCCAGAGCTAAAATACGAAGGCGAGTACGGGAATGAAAGACACGTACTAATAGGAAGTCGGACATGCAGAATTCAATGGAATCGAAAAAATCCAGAAAATCCGTCATCACGACGGGATTTTCTGGAAGTGTAACTTTGTACATGGCCGCATCTACACATACATCAAGATATATCTTAGTTATGAATTTGCTTTCCCGATATGGACCTGTAGAAGCTTGCATTTCAATAAAGCTGGACGCGTCGAACGTTTACGAAAAAAGGTCATTTTTTGAGATTTTTTTCGTAAATTTTGAAATTTCGAAAAAATCTCGACAGTGATTGTCCCATTATGTACCATACGCGACGAAACCAAAAATCAAGTCGGTAGCTGTAAAACAGAGCGAGATACAGAGACTCAAAGTTTCGACCTTTCATGACGTCATAGGTCACTCAAAATTGAAAATTTCGAAATTTTTTTTCAAATACTCAAAGAGAGCGTCTAAAAGAACCACCACGCAAAAAATCAAGTCAATCGGGGCAAAACAAAAGTATAACCATGAACGCTACGAATACTTGTATTTTTTTTTAGATTTTTCGCGGCCCCCAAATTCCGTCGCGCTCCGAAATGTTGATTTGTCGCTGCGAAAAACGGGAATCGCGCGCGACAATAAGGCAAAATCAACAAAATTGCACAGTGCAAAATGTGTTTTCGGGTGAATGCACAGTGCAAAATGCTTTTTCGGGTTTATGCACAGTGCAGAAAATTCTACGGACTTTATGTCGCGACTAGTATCAATTTCCGAAAGTTTTATCTCTCGCTTTTCAGGAACGGCCGAGAAATTCAACAATTTTTGCAGCCGAGAGAACACGCGAAACGCGGAGAGCGGTCGCAGAGAAAACCATTTTTTGCCCATAACTTTGCCAGTTTCGCATGGAAAAAATCGATTATTTGTGGAAACATTACCCTCTACAGTAGAAAACGGTATGAAACTTTCCGTGTCAAAACTCGAAAAAAAAGTGTTGCATTATGCCAAATTTTGATATAAAAATCTCGGTTGTTTCTGCAAAGTGCGAGCTGGGAGTCTCGCATATGATATACAGCGGCGGGCCTGATCCATTGGCCAAAAACGTACCATTTTGCATCCAGGGAAGTAGCAAAAATGCAGCAAAATACCTCCCTCTCCAAGTGAAAAAACACGATCAGATTTCAAAAGCGCGCCCTTGTGAGAGAAAGGAGGACTTCAAAACGGAGTTTTCTTAGTTTGAGAGGGAGGGATTTTGCCACATTTTTGATATTTCCCGGATGCAAATTGAGAAGTTTTTGGTCACTGGATCAGGTCCATCACTGTAGAAAAATTAATCTAAATTTGTGCAAAGTTTCATCAAAATCTGAGCGTCGCACTTGAGGTACTCTCCCTGATAGTTTATACGTCTGTCGGGAAAATAATGTGGACTTGTCGCAGCGAAATTTAATTTTAATGACGCCAAATCCTTTCAAATCCTAGCACAAAATCAAAGCGATGACAAGCATTTCCAAAACACGACGAATTCACATTATTTTCCCAACAAACTGATATCATCATCAACCCACCTCCGAAATTTCCAAAGTCATCAAGATGGCGGAAGATACGATCGAAATCCGACCCAAATCTGTACTCATTGTCGGCGGTCAATTCTCCAAGAAGCTTATAAAATTCGCGCAACCTGACTCGGGGCATCTTCTGATATTTCTCATGCTTCTTGTTGACGTAGAACTTTGTCTTCCTTATTTCAAAGCATCCCTTCATAAAGCCGGTGAGAGCGGCCTTGCAAAAATATGGATGGATTTCCTGGTCTTTGCTCCAATCAGTGAACTCGGCGCGACATTTGAAGCAGCGTTTGAGGGGGCATTCCACAATGCAATGAAGATCTGATAAACAGTTGGAACATCTTTCTGGGCGCATTATTTTCTAAAAATTCGGCAATTTCAGCATGTATGAGTGGTGCTTTGTATTCTTCCACAAAGTTCCAAAATTACTTGATTTTCGGCCTACATCATTTTTCGTGGCCTACTTCAAAATAACGTCCGCCTACGTGTACCAAGCGACTCCTCACATTTTTTTTGGCAAAAAAAAAGCCATTTGATTTTTGCACAGTGCAGCAAAATTAAAAAAAAATTGCACGGCGCAGTCTTGACATAGTTTCTTCTTGCACTGTGCAATCGAAATGTCTGTAGACGTTCAATTCTAGGCACAGTGCAGTCAAAAAATGGTTCTTATTGGACAGTGCGAAACATCATCAAATTTTGGTTTTTTACCGTGCGATTCGACTTTTGCGACATGCAAAAAACGCACTGTGCACTCATCTTCCAGTCATTTTTGCACGGTGCGATCGAAACTTTCTTTTTTTAAGTTTGTCCGCACAGTGCAGTTAACAAATAACTTTTTTGCGCACTGTGCATTTGAAATATCGCTGCGAAGTAAGCTTTTCTCAACTGCGCCGCTGTGCCTTTGCTCAAAAATGTGCACAGTGCAATCGGCTTTTTTGAGGTTCGCACGGTGCGCAAAGGCAAAAATCCACGGTGCGTTGGCGACAGAGCAAAAAAAATTTTTGATATTAGCACCCATGGACTAGGCCAATAAAGAATTTTCCATGGATCGCATACTTCGAATAAAATCAGAAAAATGTAGGCCAAAAATGAAGTGATTTTGTAACTGCTTGGAAGACTATGAAGCACAACTCATACGTCGTTGCGCAACAAAACTAAAAAATAATAGTGCCTACCTTTTCAACTAAGACTTCAGTGGCATCCTCAACGACCGGTGCGCCATTGGCATCGGCTTCATTTGGATTTCTCTTCAGCCTTTGTCCAAATAAAACTGGATCATCCACGTCGTTGTCATCACCGATGTTAGTATCATCCTCGGATTGCTGCGTTATGGTGTCGGAGCTATCGTCTTTACAAAACCCGTCGTCCCACACTCCATCAACATCTTCGGTCGGGCTAATTGACCCATTTCCCTCGCTTCCTCTTTCTCCGGCCTCGAATTTCTCGGATCCATTAATCTTCCCGGCCCCAGCACCTTCAACCCCACTTTGATAAAGACAAACAACCCCACCTTTGACGGTACCCCAACTTTCTATAGTCACACCCGACGAAACACTTGACCCACTGGGTGTAGATTTGTCCACTCCAGGCCAAGTGCTCTCTCTTCCGAGGCCATCATTTGTTCCGATTTCTACGTTGCTGCGGCCATCCGAAGGAATGGAGTCCACGGAATGGTAGGAAAGTTCGCTTTCCGAACGACCTGCGCGAGCATTGGAGTTACCAGTCCGTTCGCAAAGTCGCTGGAGTAATTTCTGCGATATGCACTGCGAGAAAAAACAAAAGTGCAGCTTGCACCGTGCAAATAATTTTTTCGGCTGCACTGTGCAAATTTTTTTTACTTTGCACAGTGCATTTTTCGACTTTTTGCACCGTGAAATAAGCTTTCTTTTGTCGCTCGCACCCCGATTTTTTTTGCACAGTGCAAAAATCAAAAATCACTGCGAGAAAAGACAAAGGCGCACTTGCACTGTGCAATTTTCGACTTTTTGCACTGTGCAAGTAATTTTTTCGGCTGCACTGTGCAATTTCTACCTTTTTGCACGGTGCAAGCTTTTTTGGGCTTTCGCACGCACCCTGACTTTTTTGCACCGTGAAAACATAAAAAATTACTCGGAGAAAAAAGTACACCTTGCATGGTGCAATTTGTTGCTTTTGCACTGTGCAAGTAATTTTTTCGGCTGCACTGTGCAAAAAATTTTTTACTTTGCACTGTGCAATTTCTTCATTTTTGCACCGTGCAATAAGCTTTCTTGAGCTGTCGCTCGCACCCTGATTTTTTTGCACAGCGCAAACGTCAAAAAACACCCCAGCGGCTTTGCGAACGGACTGGTATGAGAATATGCCAATGGATCAAGGTTTGAAGCCATGCCTGGTTGTTGAGGAGAATGCGTGTTGATGGGAAAGGTCACTGAAGCTAAGACTAAATCAAAAGTCGTGCACAAAACTTACAATCACAACGTCGGGAGCCCAATTCCACTGTTTTAATCCACTCTCGGAGAAAGCTGGCGGGAGCAGAATCAACCGCAATGAGGGCCTTCAGACATTCCAGACATACCGCTTCTACAACATAATACTAGTCGCGACATAAAGTCCTGACACATTTTGCACCGTGCGAAAGTTCGGGGTTTGGACGTCGCGCCCCCAAATTCGTGTTTGTCGCGCGCGAAAGTGCACGTCGCTAGTGCAAAAACGGGGAATCGCGGCGACAAATGCGAAAAGATGCACAGTGCGGATGAAATGAAAGAAGAATGCACGGTGCAAAATGTGTCAGGACTTTATGTCACGACTAGTATTCCCAGAGTCAATACCTACTTTTATCCATGCCACAGTCTCCGCATTTTTTGGGAACTTTGTCGAGGCTCCGGTCGATTTTTGGAGGGGTCGAAGGGCGCATTTCGTCGGGAAAACTGTCTGGAGGCTTCTCGCTTCGTGTCCCCCGTGATGACATGGGTTGTGGTGTGGGGAACGGTTATAACGATCGCTCGGTTGAATAATCTGCAAAACAAGTCGCAAAAAATTATATAACTTTATATAAACGCTATAATCCCCGAAAACTAGCCCACCACAACTCCTTCGACAAGAACTTGTCCAACGAAACGATTGGCGCCAAAATTCTTACCGTGTTCGGCCGAAGGAAATAATTATTTTTTTTTCGTGTAAGGACCCAAAACCAAGTAGGCGGAGGCGGCCATGGCCCAGACCACCTTCACAGGGAACTCAAAATCACTTATAAAAACTTTTATTTACTTATAAAAACTTCAAGTTTTTATAAGTAAATAAAAGTTCTTATAAGTGATTTTCAAATCACTTATAGGTAATTTTTATTTTCGGTGCCCGGGAAATTCACTTATAGGTAATTATAAATACTTATAGGTAACAGAAAATTATGCACAGTGCAGGATAGATAAAAATTTATTCAAACAAAGTAAAAAACAACTTGACTCTGATATATTACCGGTTACACATGTGGTTAGCGCATCTTCTGTGTCCTGACGGGGCTAATTTGCTTCTGTGCGGATTTTCTATGGGTACTCCTGCGGCTAGATGCACTGAAAATAGTCAAAGATAAAGAAAAAGTGAATAAAATTTTCGGAGATAGTTTATTATGAGATCTCATTGAACTCATTTTTTGTGCTTTTCCATCCCAAAAATTAGTTTGAGGTTCAGAAATTTAGCAATGAGATTTCGAGACATCAAGTTTTTCATGTTGTACTAGGTCCAGGTGAATATTATCAACATACCTGAGGCATCCGAGAGTCATTTTTTCCAGACACTGTGTGCACGTTGCCCATTTACTTCCTCCACGAACATTTTGTGATTATCTGAAATAGTGGGTTCACCTGGACCTAGTACAACATAAGAAAACTATGTCTTGAAAAGTTTCTGGCCTTCTGATATGTGGAAGCAGTTTAAAAAACCTACCAAAATCGAGGAAAGAGTTCTTCATCCAAATTCTTGATTGATCATGCTTGTTCCTAGATCTTCCCAGGCTGTCTGCTCTTCCATTTTGACATGTTTCCTAATCGGGAAGTTTCTCATGTTCCGGATTTTTCATCTACCCACTGTTTACAGTCCTGTAAAAGAAAAAAACTCACTAGAAACCCCTTACCTTGTTCCATCCAACGTTTAAATACCCTCTTTGACCAGTACTGCTACGAAAAACTTATTATTAGGGTGAACCAAAAGTTTTTGCCGTTTTTTCATGAAAACTTTAAACATGATTTTACAACAAATGAAAACCAGTTAAGTTTCAAAGTAAAGGCCATTTGAATCTATGGCTTGAACCCATCTATAGGCAAGTTGTTCGATCCCGCTGCGGTACCACTCCTTTTTCTTAGAAGCGAAAAACTCGCGGCATCCGTCTTCGACATCGTCCAGATCATTGAAGCTACGACCACGCAAAAAGTGTGCCATGGAGCGGAAAAGGTGATAGTCGTATGACACAATGTGCAGACTATTCGCTGGATGTGAAAGAAGTTCAATGGCGTCGAGAGTTTTGATCTTTTCCTTCGTTTGTTTGGCGGTGCGAGGTTTTGCGCTGTCTTGTTGCAGGGGTACGCGGGTTCGATTGATCAAATCGGGATATTTTTTGCCAATCGCTGCATACATTCGATTGAGTGGAGCGTAGTAGAGGTCTGCGTCGCTAGTCCGACCATTTGGAACCAACTCGAAGTTAATTACGCCTTCAAAATTGTTTTTTAAGATGTCTTGCCCTCGAGGTCCGTGTCGTCGTCGTTGAATCGTTTGAACCAATCGCGCAGTACGATCTGAGACCACATTGTAGCCTTCAACTTCGCTTATCTTCTTTACTGCTGCAGTTGCGTTGAAGCCTTGTTTTCGATAATAACGTAAAAAAACACGAATTTCGGATTTTTCCATGTTTTTTCTACAGGTTAAAAGATTTTAAATAAAAGACCAATTAAAAGTTTTAATATATATTATGATAAAGCAGTTCACGACCTTTAAAAAATATATATAACACATTCATATAAAAATATTTATTTCGTAAAAAAACAATTGGACAAAAAGAGACCTAAAAAACGGCAAAAACTTTTCACGAAGGACGGAAAGGTCCGCCGTGCGGAAAGGTCCGCTGGACGGAAAGGTCCGCTGTGCGGAATGGTCCGCTGCGGAATGGTCCGCTAAAAAAAGGAAAAGGGGGGGGAGGTTTTCGATGGCGCGGGTTTCAAAAATCGTATCCATTTTTTCTGAATTTTACAATTTTGCTTAGGCAGTAGTGTTAATTAGTAATTTTTTAAAAATTGTTTTGAATAATGGATTTAGGGGTTTTCGAGGGTGCTGATCTCAAAAATCGTATCCATTTTTTCTGAATTTTACAATTTTGCTTAGGCAGTAGTGTTAGTCAGTAATTTTTTAAAAATTGTTTTGAATAATGGATTTATTTAGGGGTTTTCGATGGCGCTTATGCGAGATAACAATGATTGATTTTTCTTTCTTTGGGTTTTTCCGATGACACTTCGCCGATTTTCTTAAATGCTACATTTTGGAAAAAAAAGGTGTTCTTAATTGACCTTTCAATGCCTTCCCAACGTTTAGAAAAATTATTTTGATGAAAAAAGTTTCACACGTAGCGACGTAGTCAGGCTACATCCCAACGCAGCTTGTATCTAAATTACAACATCAAATAAGTAAATGGAAAACACCCGCATTTACTAAAGTTAAAACCACCGTTACAATAAGCACAAAATAATTCATATTTCACAAGGCTGGTAGCCGATATTTTCTAACAAAATGATCTTTTCCAGCTGTATACAGAAGATGTTCGTTGACTGCAAAGTCATAAACGGGTTGCAGATAGGCCTCTGTAAAAAGGCAGACTGGCTTTAGAGTTTGCGGCTCCCTCTTGCAAAGAATGACTGACCCTTAGCTGAAATTGATAGGTTTGTAGCAAGTGTAATATAAATTATATGTCATAATAAATAAAAGGAATTGCCACGTCACTTACCAAAAGAAAGCAGCAGGCCTTCGCAATAGATTTGAATTTAGTGAACTCTACCTCTATTTGTCGATCGATAGAACTTCCCTAAAGCAAGATAAAACATTTAAAAAAACTTACTTTGATCTCGATGGTCAATGTCGAGCCATTAAAGACAGCAGCCGCAGTAATTCCTTGATCTTGGTCAAATGATACCTAAAATAAGATAAATTACTATATAAAGCAAATTTTTGATGCCTGAACAAAATAAAAAGCATTGACTTACAACCTCCTCGAATTCAGCGGATACTAGTGTGATTTGGCCTTTATTGGAAGTTATCAGCCGGACTTAATCCTTTTCATGTCAACTTAGACTTCTCAGCTCTGAATATTCGTGAACAATCTGCCCAACGGACTTTCCAACCGCACAGTTCCACTTATTCAACGATCCATCAGCTCGAGAGACAGAACTTCAGCTCCTTTATCGATAAATTCGAGACCAGTCACACCTAAAAATGAAAACACCAAGTAGAGTATAACTTACGTCTTTTATGACCAATCATTGTTATCTCGCATAAGCGCCATCGAAAACCCCTAAACAAATTCATAACTCGAAACATTTTTTTTTAAAATTACTAACTAACATTACTGCCTAAGCAAAATTGTAAAATTCAGAAAAAATGGATACGATTTTTGAGATCAGCACCCTCGAAAATCCCTAAATCCATTATTCAAAACAATTTTTAAAAAATTACTAATTAACACTACTGCCTAAGCAAAATTGTAAAATTCAGAAAAAATGGATACGATTTTTGAAACCCGCGCCATCGAAAACCTCCCCCCCCTTTTCCTTTTTTAGCGGACCATTCCGCAGCGGACCATTCCGCACAGCGGACCTTTCCGTCCAGCGGACCTTTCCGCACGGCGGACCTTTCCGTACTCAATCAAAACTTTTGGTTCACCCTAATAGAATTTCTAAGTCTCGCCATGCGTTCAAAAAGCCAAAAGCGTCTTTGGCGCTCAACTGTTTTCTTTTCGGAGTCCTTATTGGTAATTATAAGTAAATAAAAGTTCTTATAAGTAAATAAAATTTCTTATAAGTAAATGAAAATAGGCTCCGCCTTTTTTTAACTTATAAGTGAATTTTTGGGAAATATTTTTACCTATAAGTAAATAAAAGTTTTTATAAGTAAAAACGAATCCCCTGTGTTGAAGAACGAAGATGGCCTACATTGTCCGAGGAAGGAGTTGGACGATTTGGGGAAACCTAAAAGTGTTATTCGATACAAGTGTCGAAATTAGGATAATCGATGGTGCTGATTTTGAAAATCTTATTCATTTTTTTTGATTTGAAAGCAGCACCATCGAAAACCCTCTAATCGAGTATTTATGAAAAAAATCAAAAAATTACTAGTTTACTGTACTACTTAAGGAAAAAAGTAAGAATCAAAAAAAAATGAATGTGATTTCGAAAATCAGCACCCTCGAATATCCTAATTTCGACACTTGCATCGAAGAAAAGTACTTTTCGGTTTCCCCAGACGTCCCAGTCCGAGGAAACAGAACCGGAGAGGAGAGGTCATCCCGAAGTACAGGGCATTCTCGTCCGTTCGTAAAGTCGCTGGGATTGATTTCGGCGACAAGCACTGCTAAAAAAATCAGGGTGCGAGCGACAGCACAAAAAAGGCATTTGCACGGAAGCAACAAATTGCACAGTGCACGTTCGTTGTCTCACAGTGCATGCCACAAAAATCACCCCAGCCACTTTGCGAACGGACATAGAAATGTGTGTAGGACATAGGAAAAAAAATTTTTTGTTTTCAAAAGGTGAGCTATCACTGTGTCGCGACATTTAGGAAAAATAATGTGGATTTGCCGCGCCTTGGGATCTCCTTTCGTCGCTATACGACGGACAGCGGGGATTTGGGACGAGGCGAGACATCTTACCACGATAAATTCACATCATTTTCCCTACGTGTCGCGATACAGTAAAAGCGTGAGATAGGTCACCCTTTTGAAAACAAAAAAAGATTTTTCCTTATGTCCACTCCTGACGCTGTGAGCTGAAAATCGTCGCTCAAAAGCGAGGTCTCAATTCTTTGCCCCCTATTCCCCTGCATGAGATGCCATCAGACTGGTAGTATTATGATTTTTATTCATCCGAATAACGCGAGTGCAATATAAAAATTAACAAAAGCATATTAAATTCCAATATTAGAGATTAAAAAGAGTATGAAAACGTATTACATTATTAAAAACTATGAGATATTATAATAACAATATAAAATTTAGCTATAACATTGGGTCAAAAATCTATAAATTCTTCTCTGGAAACGTTAGAACTGTGAATATCCACAAAGGAAACCAAGGGATCGCTCGAATTCAGATGATACGCGGCCAATTTCTCGATAGGATTTGTGGGATTCGTCTTGATTTTCTGCGTTTCCACACTTCCAATGATGAGTTGGGCTCGGGTGGTTCGGCTGAGGGCGACCAAAAGTCTCTGGGAGTTGTCATAAGCGGGCCATTCCTCCGGTTTTCCATTCATAAATCCATTGGAAGAGGTGCGAACCAGGTCAAGGAGCACAAATCGGGCTTCGGTGGAGACGGCGCGGTCGATTGTTTGGCCGCGGATGGAGCCAGTGGCGCCGGGTTTGGTGCGACGATGGTGGAATTCGGATTCCTGGACTGAAATTTGCGCACTTTAGAGACAAAATTTTTAGAAAAACAGGCAAAAATTTGCCAAAAAAATTAATACTTTTTGATAAAAAATTTCAATTTTTTATCTGAATCACATTGTAGCGCCCCCATTTTTTGGAGGCGGATAGATGAAATTGAGGGTTGATCATGGATTTTATGAAAGAATAGGGATCGGAGAGCGAATATTAGGGGAGAATTTGGTGGGTTATGTTAGTTTTGGAACTTTTTTGACTTGAAAATCGAATTTCATGGTATAAAATGGGGAAAATTTTAATTTTTGGAAATTGTTGTGGATTTATTTGAATTTGAAGGGTAGATATACGATTTTTATTTGATTTTGAAGCTACAATACGGAACTGGCACGATTGGCGAAACCGAAAAGTATTATTTTTCTTCGATGGAAATGTCGAAATTGGGATAATCGAGGTTGCTGATTTCGAAAATGACATTAATTTTTTCATCTTTAATTTTTTCCTCAAGTAGTACTGTAAAGTAGTAACTTTTTGAATTTTTCTTTATGAATACTAGATTTGGGGGGTTTCGATGGTGCTGATTTCGAAAATCTTATTCATTTTTTTTTTTTTTTTTTGATTTGAAAGCAGCACCATCGAAAACCCCCAAATCGATTATTCATGGAGAAAATTCAAAAAATTACTACTTTACAGTACTACTTAAGGAAAACAGTAAAGATCAAAAAAATGAATTTCATTTTCGAAATCACCACCCTCTATTATCCTAATTTCACATTTGCATCGAAGAAAAATAATACTTTTCAGTTTCCCCAACCGTCCCAATTCCGTATTGTAGCCTTAAAATCAAATAAAAATCCCTTATCTACCCTTCAAATTCAAATAAATCCGGATTTATTTGATTAATCCACAAAAATTTCCAAAAACTAAAATTTTCCCCATTTATACCAAGAAATTCCATTTTCAGGTCAAAAAAAAGTTCCAAAACTACCATAACCCACCAAAGTCTCCCCTAATATTCGCTCTCCGATCCCTATTCTTTCATAAAATCCATGATCAAACCTCAATTTCATCTGTCCACGCCCAAAAAAACCAAAAATTATCTTCCCCTACCTCTATATGGAGTCAAATACAGGCAATTTTCGGCGGTGACCTCCGGATTCTGCCTCATAATTGCGTCAAAAATGCAAGTGGCGTAGTAAATGTTGCGTTGATTGACCAGGCCCATTTTATTCTTCCCATATCGATCATCGCCAGGGCAAAAATGTCGTCCATTCACGTCTTTCGGCGGTAAATTCAAGAACAATGAGAGGAATTCTCGACTTGGGACTGTTGACAGCTCACTCTGCATACCGTAACATCCATCAAAATTGAGTAAAAGCGGCTCTTCCGGCGGGGATTCATCAGTTTTGAGGGGGAAATCGCTGAAATTGAGAGAAATCGTCATGGATAATATAAAAATCCCAAATTTTTCTTCGAATACTAAAAATATTATAAAATTTTCTACTCTCAAACTTACTAATAAGGCTGGATCAGCTTGATCAGAGCTTTTGGAGACCTGACAATCTGCCTCATTTGGGTATACGGTAATTTGCACTTCAAAAGTTGGACCAACGCCGATTCATCGAATCCAAAATCGGCTTCATCGGTGATGTTGAGGAAGGATTCTTTCGAAAATCGAGCGCCCAGTTGGAATTGATCACCTGAAAACTCAAAAAAAAAATCACTTTTTTCTCCCAAAACCTCATGTATAATATAGTCCCAAATCTTACCAAAAATCGTCAAATTCTTCGGTAAATTGCATCTATTCTCGTTGAGGATGACTAGTAATGTATAAAAATCCAAAGCAGAGACCGATGAGGCCTCATCCAAGAGGACAAAATCGGGTTTCAATTGATGGACCACCTCCGAAGCGATGGAATTGATGACAGTCACCAAAATTGTGGTATTTTCCGGAATTTCATAGCTGAACGAGCAGAAATCTTTGATCTCAGAGTCTCTCTTCTCCATCAGACTGTCCTTTTCCATATTATAATAGATAAATTTTTGGTTATTCTTTAGATTTTTGAATTGGGGGAGTTCAAGGAGAAATTTGGACATTCGAACGACCCGTAGGGTGATTTCAGAGGCTGCGCCTCGGCGAGTAGTCAGGAGAAGAGTCCTTTTCCGCAGTTTGAACCAGTTGTAGATGGCGAGGAAACAAAAAATCGTCGTTTTTCCACTTCCAGATGGTCCCTGGAGATGAATAAGGTAATATTAGGTGGAAATTCATGTAAACCCTCATTCGCATTGACATATTTATCACACCAATACCTCTAAATTTCTCTACAACCAAAATTCATTTCACTTTTCAACCAAATTTCGACAAAAAACGTCAAAAACTTAAAATTTGACCTCAAAAATCAAGTATAATATAAAAAATCCTCAAAAATTCCCTTAAACTCACCAAAACTGCATGCATTTCATTCCTTATCGCTCTAATCACTGTCTCCATTTGTTCTGGCAACAATTTGAAAGGGCTTGGAAGGAGTCCATTGAAATTTTCGAGGTCTTCTCTGGTCCGCAACCTTGAATCAGTTTGAATCTCCATCCTCGGATTGAAAAAGTTCCTGATTATGCTGTTCAGATTCCTCGGAAATGTCTCTTGATCCACGGAGTGGTCAATGAATTTCTTCAACTTTTCCGTTTCCTCGCGTACTCGATGGGAATGATGATTGAAACCGAGGAAAACAGTATTTTCTGGGACAACGCCGTCGCCAACGTAGCGGTCCAGCATATGGAGATTGTCAATGATGAGCTCTAAAATGACTCAAACTTACAATGATTTCAAAAATATTTGAAATTGCCAAATTTAAAAAATTTTGGGTCAAGTGTTTCCCTCGATAAAAACAACAGTAACTGCAGCAAAACAAAACTTCCAAGCCTTCAAAAAACGACAATCTGATCCAAAAAAGTAATAATTCTAATCCTAAAACTAATTTTTTGGACGAATGGACTCTTTAAAAAAACCTTCGGTCAAGTGTTTCCCTCGGTAAATAGAACAGTAAATGCAGCAAAACAATGCTTACAATCTTTCAAAAAACAAAAATCTTATCCAAATAGGTACTAATTCTAACCTTTCCGGTACATTTTTGGACGAATTGACACTTTAAACACCCTTGGGTCAAGTGTTTCCCTCGGAACAGTAAAAAATAACTTCCAATCTTTCAAAAACAAAAATCTGATCCAAATAGGTCGTACCGGTACTAATTCTAATCTTTCCATTATATTTTTGGACGAATGGACTCTTTGAAAAACCCTTGGGTCAAGTGTTTCCCTCGTTGCATTTTACCGTAATCAAGACTCATTCATAAAAATTCAAGACCAAAAAACCAGACAGATATTATCAAAAACCCATTTACACTCCCAAAACTTACTACATCTCCCTGCTGCCGTCGGCGGCTGACATCTATAGACCGTAACCTTCTTTCTGGTCCTGGAAACCTGTTTTCTCTGGATGTGAGCGGGCCATTCTTTGTCGTATTCATGATCCTTCACACTGGTGACTTGATCTCTGAGACAAACAAACATCGGGAATCCATAGACTCCATTGTGCTTCAATTTAGCTGAAATTTTATCTTATACTGGCCTTAAAATCAAAAAATTATATTTGGACCACGTACTTCTCAGATAGCGCTGTGCATTTCGTCCCTCCTCCGGGTCATTCGGGCCATCTTTGATTTTGAAACGAAGTTCAAAAGGCTTGAAGGGGCCGTTCTCGCCTTGAACATAGAAGTGGGCTTCCTCGACGTTTAGGTCCAACAAAGGAAATTCGAAGGATTCGGTGACGCTGAGCATCTTCCAGAGAAGTCGGTAGGCAACGACCAACGACCTTCCTAAAAAAATGAAATTTTAGGTAACAACTGGAAAATAATATAAGAAAAGCAAAATTTTTGGGGAATTTAGCACCGCCATTCGCAGCAAATCCGTCTAGCTTCATTTCCCGGCCAGCAGTACAAATCAAAACTTTCTCCAAAAAATTTTATGACCAAATCTCTCAAAATTCCTTGTCGTTGACAAAAAAATTTGCTCAAACTAAAAACTAGAAGCCATTGAGAGCTTCTAAACTTCTTTTTATACTTCATAACACCTGAATTATCCTCTAGAAGTACCAAAAATCAATATTGAGACATCAAAGTTGATCATTATTACCTAAAATCAGAAAACAAAATCAAAATTCCTTACCTCCATAATTTCCAAAGTTGAGTGTCAACCTCAATACTTCATGAAACTGATCGCCAAAACTCTCATCTCCACTTGGTTCCAATTCACTGAGGATTCTGTAAAACCTCTCCATGGCCTCCGGGGGCAATTCTTGGTAGGCTTGGAACAGATCTCTTGAGTAAAATCGGGTCTTCTTGGCCTCGAATCTTCTCTTCATAAATCCTTTGAAAGCATCTTGACATAAAATTGGATGGATCTCCGCAGCCACCAACCAATTTGAGATCTTCGCTCGACATTTGAAGCAATATTTCTCCAAACATTGACGAGTTTGGTGGTTCTGGCAACAATTTAGACATCCATTGTCTCGATTTGTGAGCTGAAAGTGTATACGACTTCATGAAAATTCCTAAACACTCCAAGCCCCATCAAAAATAAACTTTTTTTCAAAAACCATCAACTTATTACCTAAAATAATATAATTTTGATCAAAAACTCCGGGTTTTTCTTAAAAAATAATCAAGAATGACAAAATACATCATAAACATTCCTCAACACTCAAAAAACATCAAAATTCCATCAAAAAAGAATAATTTTTGCAAAAACATTAAATTATTACCTAAAATAATGTAATTTTGATCAAAAACTCCAATTTCCCTTCAAAAAAATTTAAATTCATGACCCACCGGATTTGCTCTAAGTCTCTCCACATCTTCAGACAAGTTTTGAGAGTCCAAATGCTCTGCATTTTCCACAATTTGACTTGATATTGCACTTGCCCTTGGATTCTCTTGTTCCAAGTCAAAATCCGACATTATTCGATGTTCACTTCCGTCCTCTGTCATTTGATCCTCATCTCTGTTCACAATAAACCCTTCTTCATCAATTTCGTACATTTTTCCAGCGATATTATGGTCTCCGACTTCATTTTCATCCCCAATATTGTTGTTTCCTCCAAATCTGCCAAAATTTCCATCATGAGGTCTTCCACGAGCGGAACCACGGGCATTCGATCGAAATCCACCTCGAGTTATTCCATTTCCTCCTCGATACAACTCATTTCCATCCGTATTTTGGTCAAATTCGCCTTCATTTTCACCAAAATCGTCGTTACTTCCACCAGGTCTTCCGGGATGGTGAAAAAATCCTCTTGAAGCTTCATTAATTCCACTGTAACTTGATGCAAATCCCTCGTAGAGGCTTGACGGAGCTTCGGGACCTTCTTCACGGCAGCTTATGCGACTTCGACCCACATCTTGTCCAAAAACCCCTCCATTTCCTCCAAATCCCGATGTTGTACTCCTCACACTTACAAATCCAGCATTATCGCTGGCGCATCTGAAGCTTCTGTCGCGACCAGCCCTCGTATTCTTTTCTTGGTTTCTTCTGAGCTCTCCGATCGAGTTGTAATATCGAATGAGTCGCTTCCTGTGCTCGCTGATCTCATCTCTCAGCCGTTCCGGGCCCGGTTCGCGCACACTTCGGATGGGTGGATCCGGCGGTTCGACATTTTTGTATCCGTAGAATCCGTTGATCGGGCCCGTAGAGTCCGTGGCCAATGAGGAGAAACTTGTGTTCAGACCAGGGTCATCTTTCCCGAAGCCAATTCTTTCACCATAGTTAGTAAATGCACTCGACTCAGATCCAAGTTCACTTGAAGGACCTCGTTGAGTAGGACGGCCATTTGATGGCAGGAACTTTCTTCGGTAAGTGAGACCTAAAAGGAAAAAAAAATAAAAAAAAATTTTTTTTGCGAGCTGCTTCGCAAATTTTTTTATTTTTTCAACTAAAAAAATTGATTTTTCTAAATTTCAAACCTCCAGAAGTTCAAATCGAGACTTCCCCAAAAAAATTCTCACCTCTCACCGTTTCCCAGCTCTCGATTGTAATGTCGCTCGTATCACAGGATTCACTTTGTGTATCGGAACAACTTGAAAGACCACCGTCATCTTCAAACATGTTAACGTTTGACGTCGAATTGCAGCATTGCGAACGGCTCGATGAAGTGGCGGAGGTCGCGCAAGAACACTCGTGTCTATCCGAAACATCGTGAACCCAAGAGCCATTCGAAAAGGTCTCACTATGCGCATGGTTAGTGTTGTTCAGATCAGGAGACATGCCTGAAGCTAAAATTACAGGGTTACTTGAATAAAATTACAATATTACTTCAATAACACTCTTAACTTACTGGTTGGAAAGGTGGAAAAGATGTCTGAATGCACAAAAGAATCGGCAGTGAAATGGCCGCTGTCGATCGAGATGGATGGACCATGTCCCAATGTACAAAGGCAAATTCCGTCGTCTGAAACACTCTAGTTCACCGTTTCGGGAAGTGTCTGCACCTCCGGATAGAAATGAAAGAGTTTACGTTAGCGGGTAACAATGTCATAGAGGTTTTAACCATCAAAGCGTTATTTGGGACTTGCAAAAAACTCCTAAAAAGTACCCCATTATGACGTTCGTTTTTTGGTGTTTTGTGGTGTACACAAAGAGCTAAAACTAAAAAAATTGGGAGGTCCTATCAGTGTTACATTCAAGAACGGTTCAAATCAGACCACTATGGGACTTTTCATCGATATAAAATCGGTGATTTTTGAGAGGGTTTCATGAAAACCCTATAGCAGTCAGATTTGGACCATTCTTGGATGTAACAGTTATTGGACCTTTAAATTTTTTTAGTTTTAGTTCTTTGTGTACACCACAAAATACCATAAAACGTACGTTAACTTGGGGTACTTTTTACAAGGAAAGTACTTTTATGGGGGCTCCTACTTTTTGACGGGACATATTTCAAAAAATCAGAAAAAATTTGCTGATCAAGGATATATAAATCTTAGCTGCCCATTTTAGGTTTTTAGGGGTGAAAATGCCCAAAAACTGGCTTAATTTCCCTACAAAAGGCGCAGGCATTCGAAACGATAAAAAGCGCAGTCTTTTTCTTCCTTCGGAAGAGAGCGGTGTGGCCGAGTGGCTAGTGCCGTAGTCTAGGAATCAAGAGGGGGAATGCCGCACGGGTTCGACATCCCTTTTGGGCTGAATCAACTTTTTTGAAGCTGAAGGTCGGAAAAATAAATTTTTGTGCCAAGACTGATTTATAACGTCTTAGAAACCCAATAAACATCATTTTAAGACAAAATAAAAATTGTAAACCTGTGAAAAACTAAGCAAAAAGGGGTTCATATAGGACTTTAAGTCAACTTCCGATTGAATTTTCCCCCCTAAAAACCTAAAATGGGCAGCTAGGATTTATATATCCTTGATCAGCACATTTTTTCTGATTTTTTGAGATATGTCCCGTCAAAAAGTAGGAGCCCCCATAAAAGTACTTTCCTTGTTAAGAATTTCTTTTCGTAAGTCCCAAATAACGCTTCCGATGGTTGAAACCTCTATGAAATTGTTACGCACTTCGTAAACTCTCTTATTCCTCTCCCGAGGTATTGACACGCCCGGAAAGGGTTTCAGCGCGATTGACTTACGAAAAACAGCGCAACACCGATCACAAACCAGATTAGTTGCTCCACCGCTATTTGAAAAAGTCGCACGTGACAAAGCACCGTCTACAGAGTTAGTATCGGAGCAACCAAATCCGGCATTCCTGGACATCTGTAGAAAAGGGAGACCTTTAAATTTACATAATTGCACGAAGAAAGGCTTGCGACTTGCAAACTAAGAAAGTGTACAAACTCATATCGCGAAATAAGAAGTGACATACAAAGGTGGTCATAAAACGACAGTCATATAATATAAGTCGTTAAATTTTTCCCCCCAAATCGCGATTTTCGGTGCAAAAAAATTTAAATCCTGGCTATCAGCATCAACAAAAAAAAACAGTGATCAGAAAAGTTATTTTTCGCGGGTGTTGCTAAAAGCCAAATTGATTTAATGTAAGCGCGAAGGAACAAGAATTCTTTCTCAGCTCAAGAATTTTTGCTGGATTCCCTACCAATTTCAAAAAGTAGCGAAACGATCGATATGCGAAGTCGTCTCGGTAGCGAATCCTTCTTTTCGCGACCTCCGATCAAAGTCGGCCGCGAATCGGCGTTTTCCCATCTCCGAGAGTAGGTAGCAAATCGGCCATTTCGTAACGACGCGTCGCGACGCAAAATTGGGAGGTAGCAAATCCAGGAATTTGCTACCTCATAGATGTTGTTTCCGAAAATGCCAAGAGCTACCGATCCAAGCGCTGATCCACGTCAATCCATAATAGAAAAAAAATTTCCCGCCCCTTTTTGGTGATTCGTTCAAAACGAAATGTAACTATCCGATAAAAAGCATTTTCTTACCTTTCTTCTTCCCTTTCGAGAAAAAGCAATTATTTCGGTCAAGAAAAAGTGCCGATAACTTGGCGACATTTCGTCTCTCTTTCAAACCAATGAAAACGACACGAAGTTTCGGTTCAGGAAATGCGCTGGATTGACGTGTGATCCTTCTTTACAAATGGAGGTGTTGTGTCCCGAAACAGGAACTACGATAACATTGGCATTCAGTTTCATTCGAAGCTTCTCGAAGCTTGGAAGAGAAATAGGATTTCAGTGGTTATTTTCATTCATTGAATGTTTCGTCTTGTGCTACGTATTGTTGCTTTTATATGATAATAAACTTATGCTTATTCTACATCTGGCTGACTCCATATCTTCACCACCAGTCAAGATACAACAACTGGCGCGTGAAGGATACAACAATTGGCGCAGTCGACACGAATATAACAAGTGTAGACAACAATTGACGCAGTCTACACGACCAGAAGAAATTACGACGTGGAACCAGCTCAGATCACTTCTACAGAAGCCGTTCAGCTCCCCCACTACCAAATGTTTCCTCGCGGAAAACAGAATTTCTACACCCCCCCCCCACGCAAGGATCTGCTATACTGGTTGACAAAATTTTCTTTCCACCTCGTATCTCGGGAACCGATGGGCCTAGAACCTCCAAATTCGGCATAGAAACATCCTAGGACAGTCTAACACTATGCCCAAAAAATCATATCATTTGATGCACTTTACATGCCCTTTTTCCAAAAAAGGCAAAAACCCGGATGACAAAATTTTCTTTCCACCTTGGAAAAAACGTTTGTACCTCATAAGCCAGAGGGTTTTAAGGCATGGTTGTGGTATCGTTGTGTTTGCGAAGAAGTCCTCTCTCGATTGGTGTCACAACCTTACGGGGGTTTTAGTTTCTTCGCCCTTGGGCGTCGGCTCATCGTTGCCTTGTCCATTTTCAGCCAAATTCGTGGCCAGAGGAGCTCGCATAACGCATAAGGAGATGAAAATCCCTTTAAAAAGTCTGGCATTCATTTTTACAACATCGTTTCCTCCGGCAGTAGAATTCGATTTAATTTAAGTGCGTCGCAGGGGAAAATGAGCGTTGCCTGGGTCCGTAAAACCGAAGAATCACTTCTGTACAGAATGGAAACGTCCAAATTACATCCATTTGCTATACATACGGCGTATTTTAGGGCTTATACGACAGCATGTGTTGAAGTTTACCAGCTTATCTTACCCCTCTCTGGTCTATGTCGTCTCAAGTAACGCAGGTTGTTGCACTAGGCCTTAGCATTACTTAAGCTTGGTATATTGGGACTTTTGGCTACCAGACTACTTTAATACATTGACCTTGACAGGCCTTCAACGTTTTTTCCACGACGAATAGCTTGCGCAGGAAGCTTAGAGTCGCAAATTTTGTACATGGGGCGTTTGGAACCTTTCTTCTGCTCACATCTAAGCGCGACATCAGTGATTAAAATCGGCACTATTTTTTAACTCTGTAGTATCATAGAGAATATATAAGGAGGAAAAGTTACTTGAATTATCTGCAGTGTTCCCATAATAGCGTAATTTTCTGGTAACGAGAACCCTGGAAGCGCGCGTTTTCCCCTGCAACGCACTTAAATTAAATCGAATTCTTCTGCCGGAGGAAACAATGTTGCAAACATGAATGCCAGATTTTTTAAAGGCATTTTCATCTCCTTGTGCCTTATGCGAGCTCCTCTGGCCACGAATTTGGCTGAAAATGGACAAGGCAACGATGAGCCGACGCCCAAGGGCGAAGAAACTAAAGCCCCCGTAAGGTTGTGACACCAATCGAGAGAGGACTTCTTCGCGAACACAATGATACCACAACCATGCCTTAAAACCCTCTGGCTTATGAGTTACAAACGTTTTTTCCAAGGTGGAAAGAAAATTTTGTCATCCGGGTTTTTGTCTTTTTTGGAAAAAGGGCATGTAAAGTGCATCAAATGATATGATTTTTTGGGCATGGTGTTAGACTGTCCTAGGATGTTTCTATGCCGAATTTGGAGGTTCTAGGCCCAGTGGTTCCCGAGATACGAGGTGGAAAGAAAATTTTGTCAACCAGTATAGAAAACGGATTTTTCGACCCCTACAATCCTCGTTCAACCCCTTACAAGGATAATTTTTGCTTTCTCTGTCAAGAATTATATTACACTGGACATCAGAACCAAGAATTCCCCCAATCAGGACTTTTCACTCGAAATACCCTTACAAGGACCTAAAATTGGAGCGGCATGGAAAACTTACCGGATGTGTTGGTAAAAATGGGCGAAGCCATCAAGAACTTAGCAGAAAAGATGGAACGAGCATGAAAACAACTTCCAATGACCGAACCACCGCTCTCACTCATACAATGTCTCTCCTTGGTTAGTTCAACTATGATCCAGACCACGATTACACATTCAACGAATGGTATTGACAGAATGAGAGCATCCTCACAGACAATTGCAAAGACGATTCGGGAAGGAAGAAAATCGTACTCAATGCCCTTGGAAAAGAAGAATACGTTCAATTAAAAGGAAGAACCTCACCCCGTACACCGGAATCCATGGAAAATAAGGAATTATTACGCACATTGAAGGAAATCTTTGGCCCAACCAAGTCCCTCCGTCGTCGCAGGCACGAAACGCTACCACATTTCAAGTACGAAAACGAGTACGCGAAGGCTACGAAGAGATGATTGTTTGAAGATAACGCGGATTCTTATTTTCAGGCAGAAATTCAAAAGTAACCTCTAGATGTAAATACATATAAGCAATGAATCTCTTTATCATTCTATTTTCCAATTTGTCAAACGCAATAATACGATTTAAAGTTTACTTTAAAGAAACATAGACAAAATTTATACCCCTGTTTACACAAGGAGCCAGTATGAATTTGTGGAAGGGTAGATTTACTATGGATGAGGGGAGGACGTTCGAGCCGTTGGGGTGGAAGCTGTACACAAGGCTTCTTGAGTGTCGGTAAAGGTCGACGAGGAGGGCACCGATGGGATTTTAGTGGGCAATGAAATCTGCTTCTGGACGATTTTGCGTTTGGGCGACGCTGTTGTTCCAATCTAAACCGAGACAAAGAAATAAACATGATAATTGTTGTCTTACCTTCTTCATTGATTTCTGAACGATTGAACTTCTCCTGGTTTTCCACAAGATCGGTGTGGACGAGGTCATCCGTGCTAGAAGAGGAGGCCATGCGACCAGCTGCTCCAAATCTTCTGTCACGAGCTTCTTGCCGTTCTTGTGGTGTTGATACCACATCCTTTGTTGTTATTGTGTTCCTAAACAATTCAAAATAACTCAACTTCACTCACCTCATAATTGAACAAGTAGACATACGGGTTGTTGCTGTTCCTGGCGTAGAAGTTGAGGAAGTCGATGCCATTGCGTAGCCTAGTAATTCCTACTGCAAAAATCGGTCGAAGTCGTCGTAGGACAATGCACGTAATCGATGAATTCGTTGTTGAATGGGAGATTGTTGCCCAAATCCATCACGATCTTGAAGTTTACACGTAGGAAATGACGTGCAGCCCCTTCATTTAGCAGTGATGATAGCTTGAATTTTAAATGGCCCATGGAGTAATCAAATGATTCCCAAAATAGCAGCTTTTTGTTAATGAGAGAGATCGTGGACTACAAGTTGAACACTAAAACATTTGAAAAAATCATGATTACTTACAATTGGTGTTCAAGCAAGTAGGAGGCGAAAAAGTTGGAGGTTCCAATGGTGAGCCAACTGCACATGTGTTCTGTGCAGTACAACGTCCGAATGGATTGTAACAAGAAGACTTATTTATCCCAGGCCCGAGCCCAATGAAGTAAACTCCTTCGCGTCCATGTAGAATGAAAGGAACCTTCTCAGCCTTGATGCGGGCGACTCTTCACGAGACTGATGTGCACTTTGCAAATCGGTTGGTTTTTAAAGTAATGGATCTTCACGCTTCTTTTCCTTTTTACATTCATTAAATTGTATTTACAGTCTTTAATGCCGACGAAGTAACATCCTGAATTGTGGGAAGCAAACACAGTTGGAATATCTTTGACCATACGGATTTTCTTTTTATAACCGCGTAATCTATGACCTTCGATGTTGCTGTAGTGGATGACGTAACTTTCTTGTTTCCTCTGATTCCAGTTCAATTTCTACATGCGGTGTTAGCCATCTCTTTTCCAATTTATAGTTGTTCTTCTTCAAGAGAGTTGCTAATCCTTGCCACAAACCCCGTTCACGTTTTCTTTACAGGAAAGGAGGATGTGTGGAGGTTACCTTCTATCTTTCTGATCTCCTGGAATACTATTTCACTGTAATCCTCGAACTAAAAACCAATAAAAATTCATTCTTAAACAACATACCTAAGAGGTGTCGACGAAGATGGAAGAATCCTTCGTATCGGCTTCTCTGAGGTGGTCCAAAGTCTTGCACAAGAGGAAAGCTCTGGAGTGTCGACGATAATAAAGAGACGAGCTTTGTTATCGTCGACACATGCCAAAATCATTTGTCCTCTCTTCGCCCTGCTCATCCCCATCAGAAGTATCCTCACATCAGGATAACAAGGCCATTCTGTATCAGATTGTAGAATGAATCCTTGGTCTCTGGTTCTGACGAAGTCGACGATCACGAGCTCCGCTTTCAGGCTGATGCTTCCGTCGAAATTATTATGTTCGTAAAGACCCAAACCTCCTTTCTAAAAAGGCAGATTCCACATTAAAAAATTTTTTTAAAAAACTTACATTTTGATCATGAGAAATATCTGCTGACTCTCAAGAAGCCGATGATTTCGACCCATTTATGGATCGCTAAGACAAATACCGTTCATGTTAATTTTAAATTGTATAAAAACATAATAGAACGAGATGTAAACACTAAAAATGTTGTCTAAAAAACACAAAATTTCACCTAAAACCCTAAAAGTTATTGCTATACTTTTGCCAACTCTTCTACACTACTTGGTCTGATAACTATGATACTACATTCTAAAATAGGAAAAAAAAAATCCTCTAAAGAAGGTGAAACTTACTCCGTTTGTGCCTACTACAATACAATTTTACTCTAAGAAATTGGAAAATGCGGGAGCTGGACAACAAACTAGACATTAGTGCCTAATACAATATAGAAATTTCCCTAAAAATTCGGGCGTTCACCCTGAACGTCGGCATACAAAACTGTCTATAGGGGATTTGAAGAAGACCTTGGCCTTGACGTCGGAATTCTTTCCGAATCATCGAGCTGAGGCGACGTTGCCAACGTGGTGCAAGCTTCCCAGGCCTTGTTCCCCGTAGAGCAACCACGAAATGTGACGAAATCGGCAACGTGGCCTTCAAGGAGATGCAACTTTTTTATCGCACGAAGTCCACTGTGTCTCCATGCGTTTGACAGCAGAAGAATGTACCGTTCAATGCTGTTTCATGTTCAAGCCTAGCTCGTCTATATTCTTTCTCTTCGTTGGCGAGTTCAGGGCCGACGCGCTTTCGGCCCTCTCCAACTTCTTCTCCAACTCGCTGTTCCGCAGACGCAACTGCGTATTTTCCTGCGTAAGTTGAACAAGTTGTTTCTTGAGGACTTCAACTTCAGACGGCTGAGGAAGAACTGGAGGAGTTGGAGATTCGGGTGGGCTTGGTCTGGCAAGACGTCGCTGTCTTGCAATTTTCCACCTGCTCTCTGCTAACTTTATCTTCCTTTGTTTCCTCTGCTCCAGCTTTGCTCGCGCTTTCTCCAGCCCTTTCTTGCGTTTCTCCCTCAATTCCTGCAAAACGATGCAATAATAAATTTACAAGCGCCTTTTGCTATTGTGAAATTTCCAGATTTCTTCTTCACAGCGCCCGCTAGGATGTTCCACACAAACACCACATAACGATGGACCCCTAAAACTTAAGGACAAAGAGAAAAACTTACATTTTCTTTAGACACTTCGATAGATGGAGAATCAGTGTTTGGGTCACAGCGCGATGGGCCGGGCTCCATGGACTCATCCATTATATTCAACACTTGAAACTGAAAACAACGTAATTTTAAAGATAATATACATCTCCAAAATATCCCAGGCGTAACAAACGATTAGCGGCACAAAAACGTTTTCGCAACACGTAACTTTATAGTCCAAAAACATAATAAGAAAAATCTTATTCATGCTCGTCGTGATCCATCAGATCTTATTGGTTGCCTCGACTTCGTCGTCGAACCCTGTGTTACTACCGTTGGTTCTTTGTGGGCTACATTACCTGGTCGGCATCACATTTTCTCGGAGCGACTGTAAAACTTGCACAGACCGTGTTTTTGACCGATTTCTTCAATTTCGGCACTAAATCATAAATACGGTTTCAGAAAGGCTTACCTGTCCAGAACTTCGTCGCATCTTTTGAGAGATTCATGGTTTCCAGCTTCCCCTTCTTCGACACCATTACTCTGCTCTTCGCTGAAGGTGCTATGAAGGTTTGGGTGTATCTTGAAATTGCCGGCATCTTGTCTTAGCCGCGCAGAATTTGGGACAGAGCTCTTAACGAACTTTGGGCGCAAGTGTAATGTGTGTTTAGTAGTCCGATCTCTGGACTAACATCAGCGCCAATTTAGGTTAATTTTGGCAAGGAGCAACTCTAGGGCGAATGGAACGACCTAAAATGATAAAACCGGTGGAAGAAAAAACTCACATCTCGGTTCACATAACAAGCTGACATTGTTGATGGAAGCATGCGGGTCTGAAAGACGGGTAGGTGGGAAGACTAAAACGTTTCCGCTCCCTGGTGTTGATTTGGATGGAAGCTGCTGAAGGAATTTCTCCGACCTCGCATTGTACAGGTTGGCCGACAATCAAGTGACTAGAGAGTTCGATAACGCTCTACACTCTCCGTAAAAAGACGCCCCAAAATTGAGAAAAACTCCTACAGCAATATCAAGATTCCTTGCAACATGAGCAGGTTCAAGAAGCCAGATCTTGCGCAGACAGAGTTCCGTCATTCGTTTGATGTCTAAAGTAGTATAATAATATCCAGACAAATCCTAACTTACCAAGATGCAACACTTGAGCACGAACTTCCTGCTGTAGTTACAGACCGGTCACTGTAAACGGTATGAGAAACCCCTTGAGGAAAACCGGTCGACGCTACAGCAGGTACGGGACGTAGGTCATCGGTATGCTGGACGGACATGCTTGTGTGAGAGAAAGTTCGAATGTGTAAGGAGGAGCATCTGAAATCGACAACTCAAAGACTAAAAAAATAGGGAGAAACAGTCAATTTTATCTTGCCTTCGGTACTTTTCCCTGTTTTCGTGCCGAAACCCGCAGTCCGAAAGTAAAATATCAAATATCTCGATGTAAATGTCATAGGATTATGTTTTCTACAATGTTTCACGGTGTAAAGAACTCCACAGAGCGTGTAGGAATCAAACTGCACATGAGAAATACCACTACCACCAAAAAATTAAATATTTTAGGTGTAACAACATAGATAAACTCGGAAAATTCCCTGTAAAACTTATACATCCACAAATTCCTATTCATAAAGTGCCCTTACAACTCCAATTTCCACAAAATCTAACGAAAATGCGACAAAAATTTGTTTTGAGGAATCTTTTTTGGAACATCCAGGAAATGCGTTATAATGACGAAATTTCCAAATTTATCGGTGAAAACAAAATCCTGGCAATTCTTGACAGCCTCTTCCAATGAACGGTTGCTATCAACTGTCATGAATCTTTCTCATGTCCTAAAATTTCTGGTCGGATTGGCTTTCATCTCGACCCTCGGATTCGTCACCTGGTTTTTGCTGCGTTATAGTGATGTAAGTGTAGTTTTCATTGGTGTTTTGAATTTTTAGGCGGTAAGATATTGCGTGAAGTGATGAATGATACGCTTTTTATTGCTGTTTTATCTGAAAATTGGCTAATGGTTTTGCCCCGACATTATTCTTGATGGGACAGACGGTTTAGCGATTTTAATGGGTTGTTCCTGGCGGAAACTAAAGATTTTTTGCGTATTGAGAATGCAGACAGCACGAGCTTGCCTTTGAGTAGCATTTTTACGCTGGCAATACACAAATTTATAAATTTATTACACAATCTTCTTCTAGGATACTGGCATTTCCAAGAGTTTGCCGTTGATCCGGAATCCAGACATTATCCCGGCACCTTTGCCAAATATGGATCATAACGACAAGGAGGATGTCACGCAGAAACTTTCCGAGGTTTTAAAGATCACTGAACCAGAGCTTGATCCTCTCCCTCCAACAGTTGACCCTATCAAGGAGAACGTCGCTAAAGTTGAAGAAAAAGCCGAGGAACCAGCGGATCAAGTGGAAAAGTCGGTTGACGAGGTCGAAAAGGATGAACTGCCTGACGTAAGAAGCCATAATAATTTTTTTTGGCAGTTTTTATTGTTTTGGTCGAGCGTTGTGACTAAAGTTATATAATTTTTCTCGGTTGCAATGTAAATACGAATATTTTCAGCCCGATAGACCTCCATCTGTTCATATATTTTACTACCCATGGTATGGCGATGTGAAAAATGATGGAAAATATTATCATTGGGATCATCGAGTCTTCTACAATCGGGAGCCCAGAGAAGGCGAAAAGGGTAATTTTTTGTTATATTTTTTGTGATTTAGGTACTCAGTTGTCTTGTCAGATAGGTTTTCATCCGCCTGTCATTGATTTTTTTAAAATAAGTAACAAAAAATAGTTTTGAGATATTGCACTAGGTGAGGACGAAAAAGTTGCTTTCCAAAACGAATTTGTTTGTTCAATTTTCCAGATATTATTATTTCCAGAATGTGTAATGTCTATTTCAGTGAACCATCTTGCTCCCGGCGACATCGCATCCGTTTATTACCCTCAACTCGGCGCTTATAGCAGTAAAGATACCTATATAATTGACAAGCATTTCAAATGGATGAAATATGCCAAAATTGATGTTGTTGTGGTCTCCTGGTATCCAGTTGGAGCTCTCAGTAAGTTTTTTCTTACTTTTTTGTTCTGTTTTTTAGGAAGTGTAGCTGATTTTGATGATATTTCTTCAGAGTACCCATGGGAAGATTTGATGCCAATTTTCCTTGATTCTTGCGCCAAATATCACATGAAATTGGCATTCCATATGGAACCATACACAAATCGGAGTGCTCTGAGTGTTAGAGACGATCTCCAGTACTTGGTGAAGACCTACGGAGATCATCCCGCATTTTATCGGACAAAACCAAAAGTGGGCATCAAATTGTTGCCCGCAGTTTATGTTTATGACTCATACCTGGTAAAAGACAACGAATGGAAGGAGATAACCACCCCTGGAAAAGAGAATACGATTCGCGGAACGTGGTTCGATGCGATGTTGATTGGTAAGATGGGTTATATTATACATGAATAATATTGCGAAAATTTTATGACAAATAGTCATCAAAGCAGAAGAAGGAAGCTCTCGGCCCAAGTAGTATAGTGGTTAGTACTCCACGTTGTGGCCGTGGCGACACAGGTTCGATTCCTGTCTTGGGCATTTTTGGGGTTTTTCAAAATTTTGCTGACTTTTTTTTACAAGGAAAGCCCTTCTATGGGGTATGGAGTTACAGGTCGTGACATATATCAAAAAATTCGCAAATTTTTTCTGGTTCAGAATATGAAAAATTAGCTACCCAATTTTGGTTTGCAAGGGCGAAAAAACCCTCGGAACTTTTCTCGCAACACCACGCAAATGCCTTTTGACCAAGTTTTTTACCAATTCAAAAGCTTTGTTTTGAGCTAAAGTGAACTCTGGCATCTTCTTGACAAGCCTTATAATATCAAATTTAATTTATACTACACCTTAATTTTATGGTTACAATGTAAAAAAAGGGGCATTTACGTGGTGTTGCGAGAAAAGTTCTGAGGGGTTTTTCACCCTTACAAAATTGGGCAGCTAATTTTTACATACTTTGAATCAGAAAAATTTTGTGGTTTTTTTGTTATATATCTCGACCTGTAACTCCATACCCCATAGAAGTACTTTCCTTGTAAAAAAATCAAAGTCAGCAAAATTTTGAAAAATCTCAAAAATGCCCAAGAGAGGAATCGAACCTGTCTCGCCACGGCCACAACGTGGAGTACTAACCACTATACGACTTGGGCCGACAGCTTCTTTCTTATACCTTGATGACTATACATTTGCCATTTTCGCAATATTATTCATGTACTAGCCACTATTATTTCTTTTAAATTTTTTCTATTTTTTCAGGCCTCGCTCTTCAACCACGCGATGTAGCATCGCTGAAGGCAGCTGGATTCGACGGAATCTACACTTATTTTGCCGCTGATGGCTTCACCGGAGCCTCATCGAAACGGAATTGGAAGGACATTGCGAAGCTCTGCAGAGAACATGAGATGCTGTTTGATTTGTCGATTGGCCCGGGATATGACGACTCGAGAGTCCGACCATGGAATGGGGCCAATACGAGGACGAGAAATGATGGAAAATACTATGTGGAACACTTTGAAGCGGCGTATCAAGCTAAGGTAAGATGCTACACATAAGAAATGGGAAGGGATAGAGTGGAAATGAGGCGAGGAATCTTGATAAGTCGTTTGGAAGGAGGTTGGACGTTTGTAAAATACGGTTGTCCTACTTCTAGCTTCTTATAATTAAGCATAAAAGGAAGAGTAGAGTTGCAGACAAGGAAAGTACTTCTACGGGATACAGAGTTACAGGTCGAGATATACATCAAAAAAATCGCAAAATGATGTGGGATTCAGAATATGTAAAAATTAGCTGCTCAATTTTGGTTTGTAAGGGTGAAAAAAAAACTCAGAACTTTTCTTGCAACACCACGCAAATGCCCCTCTTTTACATTGGAACTACTAATTAAGGTGTAGTATTAATCAAATTTGATATTGTAAGGCTTGTCAAGAAGATGCCAGAGTTTACTTTAGCTCAAAACAAAGCTTTTGATTTGGTAAAAACTTGGTCAAAAAGGCATTTGCGTGGTGTTTCGAGAAAAGTTCCGAGGGTTTTTCGCCCTTACAAACCAAAACTGGGCCGCTAATTTTTACATATTCTGAATCAGGAACATTTTGCGATTTTTTGATGAATGTTTCGACCTGTAACTCCATACCCCGTAGAAGTACTTTCCTTGTGAAAAAATTAAATGAATCGCTTGTCTAGGTTTGTTTATTCTTCAATTTTAGCCCGACATCCTCTCGATCACCTCCTTCAACGAATGGCACGAAGGAACGCAAATCGAGCCAGCTGTCCCTTTCACCGACAAATTGACCAATTTCTCGTATCCTCCCTATGAAAACGGCACGGACACGTATCTAAGACTGACCAAAGAGATGATTGAAAAATATTTTAGTCAACATCAGAGATTTATTCGAGAGGGACCTTGAGATTGTGATAAAAATTAACGATCAAGTCTGATAAAGTCATGTATTTTTGGAATTTTGATTTTTTATACCCGAATTTGGGAAAAATAGGGCTGAATTAGGAATATAAGGGAAGATTATGACATGATCTTACTTGTTATAACACTCGCTGAAAGGTTTTGTTATAATGGAGAGGGGAAGTATAGATTTATATTGTACATGATACAGATGAAAAGGAAGATGTTTATGAAACATGTTATATGAATGTGTGAACGAATAGACTAAAGAAGAAGATTAGCAGCCTCAGAATTGCTGATTCACGACCGTCTCAGTCTTCACCGTGGGAAAGGCGGAACATCGGAAGTTTAGAATAGCATGGAGAAGATGGTCGGACGTGAGGATGAAGAGTGTTACGTTTTTTACTACGCAATCGTCGTATCAGAGGTTTGGGTTTGCCCAAGATTTATTGACTTGGCATTTCGCAGCACATAATATTTGTTTTTCAACAAAGAACACCTTGCGTTCGGTTTGGACAGCGTCGAGCTGCGCCCTAGGTTTACTTTTGTAGTTTGTAAATTGGATTTGCAACAGTAAAATTTTTTCTACAACGTAATTTTCGTATACTACAGGTGTTTCAAGCATGACTAGTTGCTATATTTCCAAAAAATTTGAGAAATTCCCACAATTCATCTTTCTGATATTGCACTAGCTAAACCCATGATTTTTTATATTTTCCGTTTTTGCATATTTGACGTTAATGGTCTTTGAAAATCTTTTTAAAACCATGACGATTACAATAAAGTGCTTTTTACTTGTCATTATCTATTTGTCTCGCGAAAAACCCCGCTTTTTTATGAATGACACAGGGCGCAGCTTGCGCAATTTCCTTCCGACTCAAACCAATTCTTTCCAACTCCGAAAAAAATTATTTGTTCATTAGAGAGAAAACGGGTCGAAGGGGCGATAATAACTTGCTTCTAGTCTTCACATTCCCCCTGCTCACTTCTATCGACTCATTTTCTATGTTTAATATCCAAAATCGGGCAAGATGAATGTGATGCACTTGCTGAAGACGTTGATCGCCTTCACCTTCGTGGCCAGCTTCATTATCGGCGCCATCTTCATGATCCGATCGGCAGACGACGATGAGGTGTGTTTGCATTTCAATTATTTGTTTGTTTGATTTTTAGGCGTTTCCGAGAATATTATACTAGGTGTGGCTGTTGAAAAGAATGTGGTTTAATGGAAATTAGAGAAAATTGAATGGATTTAACTTTTATTTATACATACATCACATGAGCTCTATAAAACATGCAAATTCAGGACAGTTTAATGGCGTTTGAAGCTGGAATTTTACACTAGATAACATCTGGAAGATACGATCACTCAGTTAATTTAAGATTTCTTGTACCAAAGTTTGTTGATAAATCAAGTTCAGGTCATAACAAAGCTGTTAACTCCTCAAATTACACGAAAATAGTTGTTTTAAATAAGCGTCGATAGTTTTTTTACAATTTTTAATACCTAAAAATTAAAATTACCTGAATTATTTTCCAGTTCCGTCAGCAATTGAAGAGTCAGATAATGGAAAAGCAACTGCGAAGGTTGCAGGACGAAAAGAAAGAAACAACAGAAGCTGAAGTCCCACATGAGCGGGGGAATTTACCAAAGATTAATGAGAGGTTGTCAGATCCGAATGGCCCTATTACCCAGAAGCCAGAAGATGTCAACAGCCTAAAGGAGGTATGGTTTGATTTGTTTTTGCTGCTTTTTGCGTTTAGGATCTTAAATTGGAAGTTTTTGTTGCATGTTTTGACTAGTATAAGGTCAATTATTCGAAAATGGCGAATTTTAGCGGATTTTTACCGATTTTTGATAGACTTTTTGCTTTGCTGGGTAAAATATACTGTTTTCTTATTGAATATATTTATTTCAGCCATCTCGAACCCCATCTGTTCACATTTTTTATTATCCATGGTATGGGAATCCGGAATTCGACCATGGAAAATACTACCATTGGGATCATCCTCTCCTCCTTCGGACTAAACCCAAAAAGTCGTTTGAACAAAGTGAGTTCTTTTTTTTTGAGTTTCGAATTTTAGATATTTTCATCTTATATTATTCTTCTGATGTCATGAAGAATATAAAAATCTTCAAGGTGATACCCAAAAATGTATCGTTCTTATGTTTGCAGCCCGTCACAAGCCTCCAGGAGATATTGCCTGCGTTTCGTATCCACAGTTGGGACCTTACAGTAGTCGAGATCCAGCAGTTATTGATAGGCATTTCAAGTGGATCAGTTCGGCTGGAATTGATGTGGTGGCAGTGTCGTGGTACCCCAAAGGGAAGGCTGATGACAATGGTGAGCATTTTCATTTTGTTTTCTTGAATTTTTAGGCGATCCTCGAAGTTGCTCAAAAAAAATTTTTTTTTTCGAAAGTCCTGGAAAACTATTGAAAAATTTTTCCAGGATATCCATGGGAAGACCTCATGCCTCAACTCCTTAATGTCAGCTCCCAATATAAACTCAAATTGGCCTTCCATTTGGAGCCTTATGACAAAAGAACGGCTCTTTCGGTCAGAGAAGACATCGAATACATTGTAAAAACGTATGGAAATCACCCCGCATTCTACAAAACAAAGCCCAAGAAAGGCGACAGTTTGATGCCAGTGGTTTATATTTACGATTCTTATCGAGTGAACAACAAGGAATGGGAAAAAATTGCTCTTCCTGGAGGCGAAAACACGATTCGAGGGACGAGTTTTGACACTTTGTTGATTGGTAAGGCTTTATTAATCTTTTTTACTATCTAAACAGTGAATTTGAAGCGCTTTTGTTTCACTTTGATATGTTTTTTCACCAAAAATATCAATTTTTGGTCATGGATAATATAAATTTTTTTATTTTTTCCAATTTTCAGGACTGGCATTAAAATTGACTGACCTAAATGGAATGAAAGCGGCTGGATTTGACGGAGTATACACTTATTTCGCCGCCGATGGCTTCACCGAAGCCGCTTCTATGGCTAATTGGCAGAAGCTTTCAAAGCTCTGCACAGAGAATGAAATGCTGTTTGTGCCCTCAATTGGGCCGGGATACGACGACTCGAGGGTCAGACCCTGGAATGGAGTGAATACACGGCTCAGGGAGACGGGGAAATATTATGTGGACCACTTTGAAGCCGCGCATACGGCGAAGGTAGGCATGGGGAATTTAAGGATAAAAGGGGGATTTTGAGAAGGTGAATGTGGATTTTGAGGGGTTACAGAGGTAGAATAGACCATAGAAAAGGGTTTGAGGGTGTTATGGAGGGATTGGTTTCGATTTATTTCCTGTTTTTAATTGATTTTGCGGTTAGAGTTAGTCATGGATAATATAATGGATAGAAGGATGAAGTTTCTGGAAGAAATGGGGATTTTATTACATAAATTTAGCAGCAGAAGCTTTGAGGAGAAGATTTAAACACGAAAAGCGGCATTTGACTTTGATTTATCATTTCATTTTGTCCGATCTTTCATCAGATGTCATGAATAATATAATTTGATAAATAGATGGGACTTTTGGAAGAAATTGGAGAGTTATGGATGCTTTGTAGATGTGAAAAGGTCTAGAGAAGATAATAGAAATAAAAAATTGACCGTAGATGTTGATTTACCATCCAATTTTTAGCCCGACATTGTGTCCATCACCTCTTTCAACGAATGGCACGAGGGGACTCAGATCGAACCTGCGGTTCCATTCACGGATAAACCCAACAACTTCACCTACCAAGAGTACGAAAAGGGCCCAGAGATGTATCTCCAGCTCACGAACGAGATGATCCGCAAGTATTTTGTCCCCCATCACGAGAACATCCCCATGGACATTGCTAAAATTGTCTGATTTCGGCCGTTCCACCCGGATTAGAGCCCCAAATTCCGCTCAAAACTATCGAAAATAAAAATGGAGCTTATGGGCAACACTTTGGCCCCGAGACTGGTGCTACGTGGCCATCCACTTCTGACATTGTTTTACATTTATTCAAAGTTCCGGTGCATTTTTCTCCCTTTTTTCTACCGTTTTTTCTACTTTTTTTGATGAAATTAGAGTTGTTTCGTCTTTGAGACGTCTGTATATATAATGTTATTGTGAGATGTTACGAAAATTGTGATTTTTTTTTGATTTTTTTCACCTGATTTTGATGAGAAATTGGTGATGTTAGATATTTATGTGTATGTTTTGGTCAGTTCTATTGTCTTGAAAAGACGTTCGCATAAAGTACTTACTGGTTTTGTAATGACTGTAATGAGTTTGGATGTCGCAAGGGGAAATTTGAAGGTTTTGGGTTTGGCAGACTGCGCCCTAGGATGTTGAAACTAAAGTAATGTTTAGAGTTGGGATAAGTATTCAAAATGGAGACTATGTATCGAAATGCTCATTTGTGATGTAAAATACGATTACAGGTTTATGGAAAAACAACCCTGGGGCAAAGAAAGAAATACGGAAATTTCTGCAGCCTGCGTATTTTTTGGCGCGCGAAAAGTCGTTCAAAAAATTATTTTTTTCTTTTTTTCGGAAATTTTTTTCTCGGAAATTACTCTCCCAAAGATGGACTACGACGAGTATGGAGATTATGACGACGAAAATGACTTCATGGACGTTGAGGAGGCCATTGAAGTTCCGGATAAAAAAGCAAAGAAATGTGAGTTTAGATGTCTAGTGTAATATAATTTTTTCTTTTATTTTCGACGAGCTAAAAGGTCTGTCTACTGCAATTATTGTCTAATTATCTCGTTTTAGCTGATGTCGTCGACATTTTGAATGATTTGGCCGATGGCGAGGGGAAGGACGGGTTGAAGAAAGGCCGAGTTGAGCCGAAGGTCAGAAAACCCATGGGAAGTCGAATTTTCTTGACTGAACGAAGACTGACTGCTCCAACTGGCATCCGAGCGTTGATCAACAGCTTTAAGGGCTATAAACCACGAACTGGAGGAAAGAATCCGGTAAGTCTTTAATTTCTTGTTGTCTTCGAAGTTTAGGTACCTCCTGATAATTAATGTCCAAAATATTTTTTGGAGTTGCAGCGCATTTGAACAGGTGGTGTATCTGTAAAGTAGAGGACAGATTTTCCCGTAATGGAGATTTTTTCAATGCGTTTGTAAATTTTCGCAAAATTTTTTATCAGACGGCTAGTGCAATGTAAGAATTGGATCTCTGGCTAAGTAGGAGCAACGTTTTTACGTCGCTTAGAATTTTTCGAGCTAGTTTTGATAAGGTTCTAAATTTTTTGACTCTTTCGGCCATTTTTTCAAAGATTTTTTTGCAGTTTTGAATTAAATTCTTTTATCTTACCTACTTCAATATCCATCCTTAAATTTCTTCTTTCAGTACGCCGATCTCAAGGATATCATGAAGAAAATGGAGTTGTGGGCCCACAGTGTTGCTCCGAATATGGAATTCAACGATTTTATCGCGAGGGCTCAGACGCTGGGACGGAAAAGAGCGGTGACGGTATGGATAATACAGGGTGGGGCATCTTTGTGGCCCGATTTGAATTGGCTATAACTTCTTTAGTTTTTGGCCAAATTTTAAAATTCTTTTTTTCCCTGAATCGTCAGCCAACCCCATTTTGTTTGATACCAAATACGTTATACATAGGTAAGTGTCATCTACAGTTATTGGATTTATTCTTGGAGTTCATTTTTTTGGTCGTTTTTCGGTTGTTTTTTCGGTCTTTCCCGGTGTGTCCGAAAATGGAGTCCGGTGCGGAAGAAAAAGCTTGGTCTGTGGTTTGGTATAGCAAGTACGGTTCGGCAATAAATTTTCAAACGGGGATACCGCATGAAATACGGACGTAATGCCTAACCTCCAGATTGCAAGACAATTCGACGTTCGTGGTATAAGTTCCTTGAGACTGGCAGCGTTAACAGGAAACAAAAAAAGCAGGAAACATGAGTTCGAACGGAGCTGAAAATTTAAGAAGTTTTGTCAAAATTCCGAAAAACCCCGCATATCAGTACACGAAGCTTGGCCAGAACCGAGGGAATGCCTTCAGAAAGGACCATTCGACGAACTCTGGAGGTTGATCTTCACTTTTTGTTCTTATTCTCATCGTCGATTTTCGGGAGGGGAAATTCCACCGTATTTTTCTTCCGCACCGTACTCCATTTCCGGACACACCGGGAAAGACCGAAAAAACAACCGAAAAACGACCGAAAAAATGAACTCCGAAAATAAATCCAATAACTGTAGATATACACTTACTATGTATAACATATTTGGTATCAAACAAAATGGGGTTGGCTGACGATTCAGGGAAAAAAAGAATTTTAAAATTTGGCCAAAAACTAAAGAAGTTATAGCCAATTCAAATCGGGCCACAAAGATGCCCCACCCTGTATAATTTTTTCATAAAAAAATCAATCTGTCTAATTTCTTTTTTATTTTCAGACTCACATGCTTAAAATACGAAATGGTATGGAATACTTTGAGGAGGACGAGGAATCCGAAAAAAATGATAATGATGAGGGCGGAAAGGAGAAAGTCAGCAAGCCCAAAGCCAAGAAAGATGCCGGTGAACCTATTCATTTCTGTTGAGAATGCTTTATATAGCCTCTACTCTTCCTTTTTATCTCAAAATTTCCCATATTATCTATCGCTTCTCAATTTTTTGATGAAATTTCTCCGGGTAGCCATGTATAATATCAATTTTAAATACAAACCACTTTATTACCCTTGTAAATTGAAATTTAAAATCATTTTTTGATATCAATCGAGTATAAACGGATGATAAATTTACATCAATTTAGATAGTTCCACATCGCCGAAAAAATTTTGAAATTTGTTCCGATTGATTCTAGGTTTGTTCGACCTCAGCGCACACCCCGAAACTCCGTCGTATTAGGGGATTCTGGAGGGCGGCGGTGTTGGGACGGGGTCGGATTAGAAAGGGTCGGATCCCTTGGCGGAAAACAACCTAAAATATTTTAAAACTTTAAAAAAAACATCAGGAATTAATAATACAGTCTAATTTATTAATTTTCGGTTGGATAACACCGCTGGTTTCGTATTTTACCACCAAATTATCGATTTTGAGGGTGTCACGACTTCGCGTGCGAATTTGCATATTCCCACGGAATGACCGACAAATTGCTATAAAAGGAAGAGAAATCGCCAATTATTATTGTATTTTATTTTGTGTCTGTTCTTTCCCGGTTGTGTTGTATCCAATAAACTGTCATATTTCTACTGTCTATTGTCTGGAGTCAAGCCTGTGAGTTCATTTATGAAGTTGTTGCCTAGGGCATAGTTAGTTGTATTGTCGCTAGTTTGTCATAGTATTGTTAGTCGTTTGTCGTCGTGCGTTGTTTAGTATTATTTGGGCTTGGGATCATAAACAGCAACTAGATTAGGGACTTTATACACGTGTTCTCAGTGAGCTCGTGACATGGCGACCACCTTTCCGAACCTTCGGTCATCCCATCTAGGTTCACGTATTTTTGATCCAGCGTCCCTTATTCTCGGTGCTACAAGTCCTGTAGACCGAAATTCCCCCGTTTTATCGCCTCGTGTTGTTCCCGGTAGCTCCACTCAGATTAGGAGAGAGATTACCCGTCGACTCAATCAGCTCAATGAGGAGTTGCCTGAGATTTTGACTTGTATTGGAGCCTTGGAAGTTATTGATTGTTCACCTGAAGTTTTATTCTCCCCCGATTCCCCAGTGTTGGAATATTCTGGTTTTCCCCATGACATTTGTATTTTTGAAGACAAAACGAAGATTATTGAATCCGAGTTAGTCAAATGGGATAGAGTTATCCACCATCTTTCGTTGTCAGATTGTAACGCTTCTTTGGCTGAATTGGAGATTCAGACCAAGTATTTCAGAGAGAAAGATTTGTTAAATAAGCTTAGAGAGTTTCGAAGAGCTATTTTTATTGGTTTCATCCATTCTGAACGGCTGCAATTGATTGAGCCTAGTGTTGTGAACTCCCTAGAAACTTGTATTGCGGGTAGTTTATCACAGAATTCTCGTGTATTGTCCCCTCAGCCTCGGTTTCAACCCGAATCCCATCAGATTTATTCCGATCCCCCTCAGATTTCTCCCTACTTGAGTGATTTCAGACCAACCGGTCAAGTTTTAGTTGAAAATGAGAATCGATTTGTCCATCCATCTCAGGCTCCCGCTAGAAATCCGTTTTTGAATCGTCCATTTCCTGTTCGTCCATCCCCTCCAGAGAATTCGTATAGTGTTCCGTATCAGAAACTTCCGAAGTTCGATGAAATTCCCTTGTTTAGTGGTGACCTCACTGCCTTCAAGCCATTTTGGGATTATTTTGAGCCAAGAATTCATCTCGTTCCTGCCCCCGCCTATGAGAAAATGATTCGGCTTCAGCATGCTTTGAAAGGAGGTTCTGCCGCCTATATTGTTGAGAATCGTGCTCGCACCCTTGAAGATTATGAGTCTGTTATTACCATCTTGACTACTCGATATCTTGATCAGTCGAAAATTGAAGATTTCCTCGAATTCGAATTGTTGGCCATTTCTCCTCCAATTCATGATGATTCTCGGTCGTTGCTCGAATTTGCAGATAAAATTGATACATTCAAGTCTCGATTCAGACATAATCGTAGTGAAATTCCTAGAAACGTAGTCAAGAAGTTGTTCTATAAGCTAGACACTGAGACTAGACGTCATGCTACTTTGAGAAGTTCAGTCAAAGGATATGACTTGAACAATGTAGATGATTTTCTCAAGTTTTTGTATGAGTTGGCTGCGGAAACAGAGAAATGGTTTTTCGCGCCAGGAAAGGAGAACGTGAAACCTCAGACTCGTTCCAATCCCGTTGTCACTCCAAAGAATCACTTTCGTATTCATGGTAGCGTAGATACTCCTTCTGGTTGTCCTTTTTGTTCCGAAAATCACAAGGCCAGTGATTGTTCCAAGGTGAAATCGTATGATGCTCGAATGCAGTCGTTGAAAGTCCAAAGGAAATGTTATCGTTGTTTCGATTCAAATCATTTGTCCTCAGCTTGTGAGAAAGATTTTTCTTGTAGAAAGTGTGGAAAGAATCACCAGACTTTCATGTGCCCTCCTCGAAGAGATCCTCCCGTTATCATTCCTAGTAATTCAGTCCCAGTCGGCGACTCAGAGTCGAATGCTTTGTGCTTTACTATTGTGAGTAAAAGCGAGCCACCTCCAGTGTTTCCAAGCAAGGTCGGCACCAAATTTTGTATGCTATCGGTTAACTGTCAGTGTTCTAAGTCCGTCCCTCCGAATCCAGTGAATTTGTTTGTGGATTGCGGTTCGGACATCAATTTTATGAAGAAATCCGCTGTGATCTCGGATATCCCCCTTGTATTTGATCGAAATTTAACTGTTTCAAGTTTCCATGGATCAGTTAGAGTCAAGTCTTCTCGTTTGAATGTTATTTTTACTCCGAATCAGAATCAGAGATTCAAATTTGTTCCCGATGTTCCCCCTAACCAAGTTGTTTTTCCTGTTCATGTTGTAGATGATAGTTTCTTTGACCGTTTGAAAGGTTCTAAGTTCTCGAGAGATGTCGATGTTCTTCTTGGAGTTGACGCCATGATGGCACTCCAATTTACGGTGACCGAGTCTCGAAGTGATGCTGGTTATCAGCTTGTAAAGACAAGCCTTGGATATTTTGAAGCTGGAGCTCGTTCTCCTTATACTCAGTTGCACCCCACCAATATTGTTCCCCCTCCGGTGTGTCCAACCAGAAAGTGCGATGGTACCGATGGCAAGCAGAGAAGATCATGCCCGGCCCCGGAGATCGCATCAGGCCAGCTGATGGAGAAGAGCAAGTGGCCCCCGGAGTGTCACGACTTCGCGTGCGAATTTGCATATTCCCACGGAATGACCGACAAATTGCTATAAAAGGAAGAGAAATCGCCAATTATTATTGTATTTTATTTTGTGTCTGTTCTTTCCCGGTTGTGTTGTATCCAATAAACTGTCATATTTCTACTGTCTATTGTCTGGAGTCAAGCCTGTGAGTTCATTTATGAAGTTGTTGCCTAGGGCATAGTTAGTTGTATTGTCGCTAGTTTGTCATAGTATTGTTAGTCGTTTGTCGTCGTGCGTTGTTTAGTATTATTTGGGCTTGGGATCATAAACAGCAACTAGATTAGGGACTTTATACACGTGTTCTCAGTGAGCTCGTGACAAGGGGTTGTTGCAGAATGCCAAATTTGGCGAGAAAATTTTAATTCAAAATTTTGCGATAAAAATGGTGAAAATTCGCAGTATACAGTGACGGACTTGATCCAGTGGCAAAAAACGTACCATTTTGCATCCGGGGAGTATCAAAAAATGTCGCAAAATGCCTCCCTCTCCAAGTGAAAAAACTCCTCTTTTTGAATTGCCTTTCTGTCACAGAAAAGAACGGTTTTGAAATCGGAGATTTTTCACTTGGAGAGGGAGGCATTTTGCTACATTTTTTGATACTTCCCGGATGCCAAACGGTACGTTTTTTGCCACTGGATCGGGTCCGTCACTGTATATTGGGAATTTTCACCATTTTTATCGCAAACTTTTGAATAAAATTTTCCTGCCAAATTTGGCATTCTGCAACAACCCTTAAAATTGATAAAGCCATCCAAAAATGACTTTGTCAAAAACGACCCGCGTATTTTACCCCCATTTTTTGCACCTTCACCTTGTTCCACTTACATATTTGATGGCCTGATCAATATCCTCATCCCAGATGGTCTTCGACCCTCTCATAATGGCCAAGCTCGCGGCTCGTCGACAAACACAATACAGGGCCTTTACGACATGCCCGTTGAGCCGTTTTACCAGGCTTTCCACTCGAATCGCCTCTTCGAAGGCCAAGTCGGCGGTGAACTTTCGAAGAATGTAAAGTCGCTCTTTGTGCGGTTTGAAGGGGATGTGTTGGACGTTGACTAGGAATTCTGGAAAATTATAAATTTTTTTCAGGCCGTATTTCACATAAAAAATCAAAAAAAAAAACTTTTTGAATTAACTTTTAATTTTTTTTTGATTTTTTGTTGAAAATTCATAACTATATTTGATAAACTCGTATTTTAAAACCCCATATTTTCTACTCCATTTTCATTTATATCCAAAAAATGCCAAAATTTCAAAAGATTTTCCAAAAAATCCTAATTTCAACCCAAAAAAACTTACGATGAAACTCTGTTCTGAACAGCGTAAGCTCGTTTGACGTCAAGATAATCCTGAGTTGTTTGATTTTCTGGACCGATGTCAACAAATCCGCGAATTTTCCTTTTTGCAAAAACCATTCGTCCGCTGAAAAAAGACAAAAAATGTCGTGTTCAAATTGTAAAAAAATCACAAAACTAGCTCCAAGAATTACTCAAATACTCACCATTCATCGATTTGTATTCAAAAATCAGCTTGTCCGCGTCATCAATGATCAAAATGCAAGGGGTGTTGCTTCTAAAATAAGGCCAAAAACTGCGTATTTTACCAATAAAAATCTGTTTAAAAAAGTGAATTCTTATTTCGATTCTTCAATTTACCGCTATTAAAATGCCTTTTTCTTCAAAAAAAAACAGCAAAATTTTGACAAAAACACCAATTTTTCACCTAAAGTAATATAATTTTTCCCAATTTTTCGTCATAAATATCTCAAATATCACAAATAAAGCCTTTTTCTAGCTATAAGAGACCTATTTTAAAGTTAAAATTCAATCCAAAACCATAAATTTCTTGCAAAAAAATTTTTAAAATTTCCTAAAAATCCAAAAAAAATTCTTTCCAAAACCCCCAAAAACTCCTCCAAAATCCTTACAAAGCCTCCTTGAACACCGACAACAGCCTGTTCCGATCAGGGGCGATTGACAATGCCGTTGCAGGCATATAAACAACATGGTAATCCTTTGAATACTGTCTGGCGATTGCTTTCAAAAGAAAAGTTGTTCCATTTCCACTGGTCCCGTGCAAAAAGAAGACATTCTTCTCTACCCTCGGATCAGGTCGTTCTAGAAATTCTCTGAGGCTAGTATAATCTGGGTTATTCAGCCAGGAATATGGGGAAGATGGCTCTGGAAGATAGCGCTCTTCATCCTCTTGGACCAGGGTTGCCAGGCCTTTCAGGGTCTTGGAGGTTGTTGGAATGGTCGGCTGAAACAATAAAATTTAATTTCTCAAAAATTTTAATTTCTAATTTCGTTGCACAGTGCAAAATTCTACTTGAATTTTCGCACGGTGCAATCAAATTTTATTTTTTGCACTGTGCGGTGAAAAAAATTTTTTTAAAATACGGTTTGCGCAGTGCAACAAAAAAATCTCAAAATTAGATAGATGCCTTGAGGGTAATAAAACGCAAAACACAAAAAAAAATTTTAAAATATTTTTGCACTGTGCCAAAATAATAAATCTTTTTCTCCGCACAGTGCAATGACAAAAAAAACCTTTCGAATGACCACTGCACTGTGCAAAAGCAATAAATTTGAATTTAATAAAATACCCCGAGGGCAGACAATCTCCAAAATCGTTAAACAAACTTTAAAATTCATCGGCACAATGTAAAATTTGCCAATCTTTTTTTCCCGCACAGTGCAACGTTCAGAAAAGCCTTCGAATGCCCCCGGCACCGTGCAAAACCTCTCAAAACTTGCTTACCATATCCTTGAGAAGTCCAAAGTCGAGTCGTCGCTTTTGGATGGTCCAACTTCGATGTTGGAGGACGGTTTGGACCAAATAATTCCATTTTTTACTGACTAGACGTAGACGAAAGAGGAAGGTGGGGTCGTTGAAGGTGACAAGGTCACTGAAAATTTAACAAACGTATTGTAAAATAGGCTCCTCACTAAAAAATCCATCAAAATTCCTAAAATACGACGATCATTTTTTTTTAAAAAAATGATTCGTGAGTTTGTAAAATACGTTCTTGTCACATTCTATTATATTTCTAAAGATAATTCCTAAAAATCAAAGCAAAAAAGATTAAAACTCCACTTACACGACCTGTCTTCTGAATAGGAATGGCAAATCATCGATGGAAAGTCGGCCATTCATTCGAAGAATCGGGGTTTGGGGCCCGATTCAATTTTGTTTCGAATACCCTGAAGACAAATCATTTCAATTTTATTGCTTTTCCGAAAAAAAATATTTTTTTTCCGCATAAGGCAAAGCCAACAGAAAAAGATTTTCGCACAGTGCAGTGATCAAAAAGCGCAAAAAATCTGCACTGTGCGAAACAAAATTTACCGCAAAAACAATTTTTTTTCATCGTGGAAACAAAAACTTTTTTCGCACTGTGCAATTTCAAAAAAGTCGTTTGCACTGTGCGCTCAACAACGATTTTCTAAACTCTGCACCGTGCAAACCAAAGCTAAAAATTTCGCACAGTGCAGTCCTTAAAAAATTGCAAAAAAAAATCTGCACTGTGCGAAATGCAATTTGTCGCAAAAACAATTTTTTCATCGGGGAAACAAACACTTTTTTGCAGTGCAATTTCAAAAAAACTCGTTTGCACTGTGCGCTCAACAGCAATAATCAAAAATCCGCACCGTGCAAACCAAAAACAAAAATTCCGCACAAAAATAAAACAAAAACTTTTTCTCCACTGTCGCAAAATATAAAACTGTGATGAACAGTGAACCCAAGGCCCAATCCAACCGTATTTTACATAATTTATTTGACAATATAAACAAGATTTTTATAAGATCACCGGTAGAAAGACCAGAAATTCGAAGAAAAGGCACATGGCGGAGAAATAGACGGTCCAGAATAATCGAAAATGACAGTGAATCAAACATAATGACGATAAAAGCGTTTTCAACAGATCCTATTGCAAATTACAATCGTTATAACCGAATATTGAGATATAATAACAACCTGGGCTGGGGCCTAGTGTAATATATGCATAAGTGGAAACGGTGTAGATACAATTCCCCTATAAATCTAATTTCTAATCCTAATTCACTTTTCTGAGCAAGTCGCAAGCCATTTCGTAGAAGAGAAAAGAGCATCCCGAGTTGGCTCCGGCCTTGATCATCGATGGGGCCAGGCCTTTGAACAGGCCCAGGGCACCCTCTCGTTTCACCACTCCGAGCAGCGATCTAATCATTCCTTTGTGGACGGAAGTCTTGCCAAATCCTTGTCGAAGAGCGGCCGTTACCTAAATATTCAAAAATCAAACTCATTTTACAAAAAAAATACAAAAAAAAATTCAAATTAATATCTAAAACAACATAAACCCCCACCTGTAGCCTGTGTCGGATCAAATCCAATGGATATAGGACAGTTTTGGCCAGTGTCCCGGCTGCAGCGCCACAAAATAATGCTCCAGTGGCTTCTGGAAGAAAAAAAGTTATTGCACAGTGCAAAAAAAAACGATTTCTCAATGCACAGTGCGGAAAAATAAAGATTAACTTTTGCACCGTGCAATCAAAAAGTCGCAAGAAAATGAGAATCCGCAGAGCAAAAACGAAACAAAAGATTCAAGTTTCAGCGCACCGTGCAAAACAAAACAAAAAACTGCACGGTGCAAGATGAAGAGAAATTTGCGACAAAAAAAAATTGGTCGCAAAAATTCAAAGGTGCAACATCCTTTGCGACTCCACTCGCACCGTGCAGAGGGGTTCAACTCTGGCCGCACTGTGCAAAAAACAAAAGCCCGAGTTCTGTCGCACCGTGCAAAAACAAACTCCAAACGAAACTGCACCGTGCAAACTTCCAAAAAGCCTCTTTTCGCACCGTGCAAAAAGAGATTCCAAATTCAATTGCACCGTGCATATTTTCTTTCTGCTTTTTTCGCACCGTGCAAAGGGGCTCAACTCTGGCCGCACAGTGCAAAAAAACCCCGAATTCTGCTGCACCGTGCAAAATTCATTTCGCTTTTTTTTGCACCGTGCAAATTTCAAAAAAGCCTCTTTTCGCACCCTAAACCCTCCAAAATTCCCCCAAAAACCCACCATGTCCAACATATTTGTTCCAAATCCTATTAAAAAAGTTGTACCAAGCAAACTGCAGTCCCGTATAGGGTGCCACTTGCGCCAAGGACGGCACAATTCCCCTAAAAAACCCGGGGATTTTCTCGGATTTCCATATTTTTACGGCTGCATCCAGTGTTGAGTGATAAACTTTGGGCTTTCCCTGCGCCACCAGCCGCGTTCTGATCACATCCAAGGGCATGGCGGAGGTCATGGCGGCGCAGCCGGCTAGGGCGCCGCAGATGAAGTCGTTGGTCTTTTTATTGTTCTTGATGCTCTCCAATTGGGAGGCCTTTTTGGTGAGGACCTCGAAGGTCGCGAATTGCATGAGTCCATAGACGGCGGAGAGGCCTTGGGCCGGGATGTGGCCTGCAAAATTTAGGGGTAAAATACGGGATACATTCTTATGCTATGACTTCAAAAAAATTTCTCAAAATAAAAATAAAAAATTTCTATCAAATTGCCTTAGGGAATATAACAAAAAAATGTCTGAAAATCACTTTCAAAACGCATGATTAAATTTTTTTTGGTAAAAATCAAGATTTTCAGCTAAATCCCCTAAGGGCATACACCCCAAAAAGTGTCTACAGTAAACAAAAAAAAATATTTTAAAATACGGGGTACATTCGAACAATTTGACTTTTAGAAAAAAATTACTCAAAAAATAAAAAATTTCTATCAAATTGCCTTACAAGGGATCGGCAAATAGTTGCAGCCTGCTTTCTTAACAAAACCTATATCATTTGAAAGAGCGTTAAAAATAGTACACAGCGCAAAAAAAATTAGCTGCCCAATATATGTTTGGGCAAAGTTATGGCCAAAATACAGATTTTAGCCTAATTTCCGCCTCACTTTATAAGGCTCTTCGAATTACAACGAAGTTGTGTCCAGTTGGCCGAGTGGTAGTGAGCCTACTTCCGGCGCAACAAGTCGTGGTTTCGAATCCGGGCTCCGTTACTTTTTTGCATTTCGTTTCTTATGTACCACAAAACCATGGTATGTTGACATTTTTAAACAATTTTTGTTCCTTCACAGACAAAATCCATATTTACGGAATTTTTGGGAGTTTTTGGCTTTTTTTGAAACGACCACAAATTTGATGGTGATGAGAGTGGGGTTGCCACTATCGCATTATTACAATGGTGTCATGCCAGTAGCCTGACCGATTATAATTACTGGGCGATAATTCAATTTACAAGGACATATAAATAAATTTTTTCGAAAAAATACCAAGAGAAAATTGCAAAATCGGCTAAAAACGCTATTGTTGACATAGTGGACTAATCGTTGGTAAGGCTAGGACATACAAAATTTTTGATTTTGAGATTTTTGTTTGTGAATGACCACGGTGATGATATGAATGTATTTCCAAAGCTTTTTGCTCCAATTTTCCCATTAACCTAGTTTTATTTACAATTTTTTGTAACTAGCAGTAATGTCTAATAACTCATAACCGAGGAATGGTAAATCCATAAAACGTCCGTGATAGACGTTTTGGGATGCTAAGAAATCAATGGAAACGATTTCAGACCGCTAGGATTACTGTAATATAAGCAACCGGCGTTTTGGCAGCATACGACCCCTTTAATAAAACGGCCATAACTTTGCCCAAACATATATTGGGCAGCTAATTTTTTCTGCTTTGTACACTATTTTTAATGCTCTTTCAAATGATATATGTTTCGTTAAGAAAGCAGGGTGCAACTATTTGCCGATCCCTTGTTAGGGCATATAACAAAAAAATGTCTGAAAATCACTTTCAAAACAGAAGATTTAATCCGTAGCCAAAAAATTTCAAATTTTACGTTTTTAAGGACAAAAATCAAGATTTTCAGTTAAATCCCCTAAGGGAATATACCCAAAAAGTGTCTGCGGTCCACAAAAAATATTTTAAATTGATTTCAAAGCCATTTTCACTTGCTTTCCATCACAGATAACATTGTACAAATCGCCTAAAGCCAAATTTCCCACAAAAATTAACTTTAAATTGTTCTCAATTAATTTTGGATGTACTCAAACCGCACTTTCAGTCAAAACTCTTATCAACTTCGGTCGTACAAGGCCGTGTTTGAGGGGAAAAGCGCTGATCAGGGGGAAATTTATATTACACTAGACTCAGCTCATCACAAGGTCATCTTTACACAAAAAACGTTGTTATCATTGTTCATAACAAAATTTCTGAGAAAACTTGAGTTGTAAAATACGCCGTACTTTTCTACAAACGTATCAAAAAATGTAGCCAAGTTCTCAAAATCGGATCAAAATTCAAATTTTTTGAACGATTCCAGGAGAAACTCGACTTAAAATATGATTTTCCAGCGGAATAGAACAATTATGGCCATGTTTTGGGCCATTTGCTACTCGAGGCTGGTAATTGTGACCAAAATATTGTGAATCTCACCTTTCCAAAACGCTGTTCCTCCTTCTTCCTTCCATATTAGCCGGACCGATTGGAAGACGGTGTTGTATTTTCCCTTCTGATGGCCTCTCATGGGCTCTTCTTGAAGCTGGAATAGAAAATCGGTAAGTTTTGAGAGAAAATTATATTATCCATGAGGTATGTGAATCTTTTTTGACGATAGAAAGGTGAAAACTCTGCAATCTAGTATGAAAAACAGTTGGAGATCTCAGCGGAATTTCAAAACTTGTAACAGTAAATAATAATTTATATTTTCTTAGATCAAATACAGGGTGACCCAAAATAACGGAGACAAATTTTGGAAGGGCCCACCGCGAAACACAGGCGTTATAGAAACACAAGCGACAGTGGGTAATATTCCATAAGACTTTCTCTATAATCCACGAAAATTTGGCGGAGTCGTCATGTCGCAGGAAAAAGTTACAGCTTAACAAAAATGCCTTGCGCCATTTTTTGGCCCTCAATTTTGGTTCCTTTGTATTGTGTAGAGCATGGCTGTACTACAGCTGCAGAAATGGCAAGTTCATTTGTTTTGCTAGACTACTACGTCTCTAAGCAAGCAGTTATGTAGGTTTCTGGGCTACGGTTTTTATTTCTGCGGTGGTACCAATCTCAACATTGAAGATCGCCATTTTTTCCAAATTTTTTCGATAAAAAATTCAGTTTTTTTAGAATAAAGCTAAAACCGCTAGAACGTATTCTATTCATAAATACAATAATTCTGGAAAAAGCTGTGATTGCTTGCTGGTTGCAACAGATTTTCCTTGACAAGTTTCTCGCCCAGAACTACCCATGGCACGCGGCTTTGAGAAAGATGGGTTATCGATAACAAAATGACAAGATAGATAAAAACGGCGCATTCTGCTCTTGTACACTTATGAATACGACTCTTGAGAATCGGCCTAGGGCACTTTCGGTCTTTATGTGTGACCGGCTCGACTGGTATTCCGCCTAAGGCAAAAATAAAGCACAATTCTAGTGATTACCAAATAACATTCCGTAGCAGTTACAAAATGTTTCTCTTTTGGTTCTATGGTGTTCCTTTAATCATGTTCTAGTAACTCATATTACATTTTGCCTTATCTAACATTTAAACTCCTTTTTACCGATACATTTTCAAAAAAGGCCGATTTTTGCACTTCAACTCCCTGAAAATACTCGGCTGTAACTTTTGAACCATCGATAGTTGAGCTTAGTATGATGGCTCGTTTTAAAGGCCATATTGTGATAATTAAGGACAGCAAATCTCAAACTATTCCGAATTTTCTTTTTTGAGTAAGGCAGCTTTCTTGCAAAAAGACCCCACGGGCAGAAAGGTCCGAGTCAATCGGATATATTGATGTGGTTCAAGGCACAAGAGCGTCGTACAACAAAACTTCCGGTATATAAAACTACACTAACGTGGTACTGTAGCATAAATAAGGAATCACTCATGAATCTTCATAGGCCGCAGAAAAAACGGGAAATCTTTTGTCTCCGTTATTTTGGGTCACCCTGTATTGTCTATGTCACCTAGATTAACAAAAATGGACCGAAACAGAGACACACATCAAGAAAAACAACTTCTAATACCTCAGGCACCTTTCTAAGTAACCTAGAAGCAACCTGGGTTCTTAAGGCCGTCAAATTTATATTCTCCATGGCCATCAATTTCAAGATCATAAAACTGTTGTGAAATTTGTTTTCAATTCCACGTCCATATTGTCAACAAAAATAAGAGGAAAAACTACAGCTAACAAAGCCAAAAATCTCCTATTCTCCCTCCATCTTCATCACAATCTCGCCAATATTCTTCATCATGCACCTAAATATCGAAAACCAACAAAAAGTTGCAAAACCTCACCTGAAACCGGATCTTCAGCACGTCCAACGGCTGAATGATGGCCCGAGTCATGAGGCCCGAGATGACGCCGGCTTCGCTGTACTCGTACGCGGAGAGTTCGCGCCCATTGATGGGCTCCGGATGCATTCCAACCACCATTTTCGCACGTCTTGCATTGAGATCGGGGCGCCCAACGAACGACGGGTCCTGTTACAGTTTGTTTGTTGGAAGGCACAGTTCGAACGGAGATCAGTGATCAGGCGAGCCCATCCAGCTCCCTGGAATTCATCATGTTTGATAAGAGCACAAAAAAGGAGGAAAATAGCGAAAACAAAGGGAAAATCGACCAGTCGATAAAAGAAAAATTAAAATATTGTAAAATACGCAATGCCTCCTTCCTATTTCCCCAAAAATTCCGGTTAGAAAACATGCAAAAATTAAAAATTAATACCTAAAATAAGGTCAACATACAAACTGATGCCCAAAAAACTGTTTACCTTAAAACAAAATTATTTACAGCCTAAAACACACAATTTCATTACCAATCACAAGTTTCCCCTGATTTCCACAAGAATTTTTTTCTCGAAAAAAGAATAAAATATTCTTTCAGTCTCTGGCCCAAAATATTTTCGTGGTGGGACTCAAAAAGAGATTTGACAATCAAATTTTGTAAATTCAACTCGCCAAAATTAGGGTTTATGATCTAGAAAAATGGCTAAAAATTTTTTTTCGCACAGTGCAGCTAGCAAAGCTCTGATTTCGCACTGTGCATCAAAATTTGTATATTGCTAACGGGCATTCAAATAAAAATTCAGGAATTTGAATATCAGAAATGTTGTATCGAGGCATTTTGAATAAATTCAGTAAAATTTTACTTATTTATCCACAATTCTTTACGGTAAATTACAACTCTTTTTCCCTTGCACTGTGCACTCTTTCATTTTACTTGGTTGCACTGTGCAGTCAAAATCATTTGATTGATAATGGATAATGAAATAGAAAATTGGCCAATTTGAATAACTCTGATGATTTTACAAGTTAAATCAAGTAAATTAATAAAAAATCTTTTGATTTTAGATTTCTGCACTGCGCAAAAATCGAATTTCTTTTTTCCCGCACAGTGCATCTCTTCCATTTTTCCGATTGCACAGTGCAATTTGTCCCATTTCGTTCAAATCGCCGCACTGTGCATTGTCTTTCGGTTTAAGCCCCTCGAGCGCCATTATATGCAAATTTCGGGCGGAGTGCTCTCGAAATACGCAACAAATTTGCGTCTTGCGCACGCGGCGCTTCATCGCCATGGAAACGGATTGTTTGCGCGGAAGGGGGTCACGTCGGGGGCGCTTGGAAAGGCCAGGTAACGCGCCTCAGGCGCTGATTCACTTCTAACGGAGAGGGTGCAGCTCTCGCACAGACCGGTCATTCGGAGAGCCGAGAAGCGAAAAAGGGGTCCCGAAAGTGGTGGCAATAGCATTTTTACTCGAAAATGGACGGTTCACCATGACTTATGGGATATGCTGATTATATTTGACCTTTGTCAGTACCTATATGACTCGTATTTTACATATTTATTCTTATTTTTCCATTGTTTCATTTCGCACGGTGCAATGAAATTTTTAAAATTTTCGCACAGTGCAATTTTTAATTCCCTTTTTTTTGCACTGTGCAGATTAGAATTTTCCTTTGCACCGTGCAGAAAACCTTTTCTCAATTTCTCCAATTTGTCGCAGTCCAATCGTTTTGTCGCAACCGCACAGTGCAAACTGAAATGTGCACGGTGCAAAACGCCTCTTTTTGTCGCTGCTCGAAATCTTTGCACAGTGCAATCTTTTTTTCAAAAAAAAATTTTTTTGTTCGCACAGTGCGGTGCAAACAAAAATTTCGTCTCTGCACTGTGCAGTTTTAAAATTTTTCAGTTCAAAATTTGATTATAAAATAAATAATAAAAAATAATAATGTTACTGTTAATTACGTGAGGAATCTCTCTGTTTACCTTCCAAAAAATGCTTTATTTACAAGTCGGGAGAGGGAAAGCGCCTCAGGGCAATGGACTGATAAGGCTGGCCATCTGCATTTCAAATATTTTTATCACACAGCCCTTTCTTTTCGGTCTTTTTCTCCTCTCTCTAAATATGGAAGAAGAAGGGCGATGACACATACGACGGGAATGATCTCTTGGCCATTTTTGTGGGAAAATGAAAGGAATTAGTAATGTTCCGTCTGCGATTGACCTTAATCGGATAAGCACTTTTAAAAGCGATTCATTTCACGGATCTTTACCGTTTTCTTTACTGCACAGTGCTGATTTTTCAACTTTTGTTTTTTGCACGGTGCGAAAATAAAATTAAAAATTTTGCACTGTGCGATGGGTAAATTTGAAAAATTTCTTGTAGTTATCCCTTATCGGAACGTATTTTACCATGTTATTTACTTCAAGTTTAAATTTACATACCGCTCGGAATTTTTTTGCACTGTGCAAAAATAAAAATTAAAGTTTTTGCATTATGCGATTTAAAAATTTCGAAATCAAATAAATACCCTTGTACAAATTTGTTGTTTTTTACACTGTGAAATTTTTTAGTCCTCGTATTTTACTGCACAGTATATCTTTGCAAATTTCAATTTTCGCACAGTGCGTTTTTTTATTTTTTTTTTTCTGCACTGTGCGATTGAAAAATCATGTAGATTTATATGCCTACGATGTCAAAAGGCGTCGTATTATTTACGTTATTCGTATTTTACCCGAAATTTTTCTTTTTACAACCATTTTTTATCCGCATTTTTTTCGCACAGTGCAAAAACCAAACAGCCAAAAGCTCCTTCCCAAAAGTTGATGATGCACCGGTAACCTTGTTCTAGTGCCCGCCAATGTTTACACAGCCAATTTCACTGTCCGTTGCTCTCTTTTATTCCTATTTTCTCTCGCTTTTCTTCGAAAAATCTTGGAATTTCGATAAAAAACCCAATTTTTTGACCGGAAAAGGATAAAAAATTGATTTTGGTTTCAATTAAAAATTCATTTTATTTTCGTATTTTACCCTAAATTTTTATTAGAATTTTTAAAAAAAACCCCAATTTTTTCCGATTTTCCCTCAAAGTCGCATCTTTTTTGTGCATCACAGCTCAAAATGTCATCAAAAGAGCGAAAATACCGCGAAGATCGGGGAGAGCCCCCAAATTTTGCGAATACCATCAAAAGCCCGAGCGCAAACACAAAAGTTTAAAACGATTTCGTATGTTTGACGGGTAAACCGATACGCAAACCGGCCGAAATCTGAATGAGGCTCGAGGTGAAGGTCAATCAAGACGCCGGGCGAGGTGACAAGGGTTGGCGGTCACGTTTGGCTGAATATTTTTGTTATAAAAAGTGAGATTTAGGGATTTTTTAGGGAAAAAATCAGATTTTGGCTGATTTTTTGGGAATTTTGCACTGTGCAGCCAAAGTTTGAGACTCAAAAAATGCAGAAAACAGTTTGCGATGATCCACAAATTTTTTAAATTCCAAAACTCCCTTTTTTATTTTCTTTGCACAGTGAAATGAATGAAAATTTGCTGCTCTTTTTGCACTGTGCAGCTAATTTTTTCGTTTTTTCACCCTTTTGTCTTTTCTGTCGCACAGTGCAAAAAAATAAAAGTTTTTGTTCTTTTCTTGGATCGATTTTCGCACTGTGAGAAGAACATTTCGAGTCCGTCGCGCTTTTTGCACGGTGCATAAACATTTGCTTTTCCGTTGCACAGTGCAATGAATGAAAATTTGCTGCTCATTTTGCACTGTGCAGCCAATTTTTTCGTTCTGCACCCCTTTGAATCGCACAGTGCAAAAAAATTTTTGATTTGTTTTCGCACTGTGCAGCGAAAATTCCGAGTTCGTCGCGCTTTTTGCACGGTGCATAAGCATTTGCCTTTCCGTTGCACAGTGCAATGAATGAAAATTTGCTGCTCATTTTGCACTGTGCAGCCAATTTTTTCGTTCTGCACCCCTTTGAATCGCACAGTGCAAAAAAATTTTTGATTTGTTTTCGCACTGTGCAGCGAAAATTCCGAGTTCGTCGCGCTTTTTGCACGGTGCATAAGCATTTGCCTTTCCGTTGCACAGTGCAATGAATGAAAATTTGCTGCCCTTTTTGCACCGTGCAGATTTCTTTTTGCGCTTTTTTTCTTTTTATACTCGCACAGTGCAAAAAAATAAGTTTTTTTTCTCTTCTTGGATCTGTTTTCGCACTGTGCAAAGGCAATTCTGAAGCCGTCGCGCCTTTTGCACAGTGCATAAGCTTTTGCTTTTCCGTTGCACAGTGCAATGACAATTTTTTGCACAGAGAATTTGTGGAATTAATTTTTTGCACTGAGCAAGGGGAATAAATGGAAAAATTGAATTTCTAAATTTATAGGGATGTAAAATACGTGTTTAAAAATGTAGTGCAAATTAGAAATTTTTTCTAACGTTTTTATATTTTTTGCACGGTGCATTTTTTAAAAATTGTAAAATACGGGCTCCTATTTATTGTATTTTTTTAAATGACAAAAAATAAATAGAATTTTTAACCGTTTATTTTTTCATACCGCTAAAAAAATCAAAAAAAATTAAGTTTTTTAAATTTTAAGTAAAAAATGTAAAATACGTTCTATTTAACGAAATTTATAAAAAAATCCACCTCAAAATTTAATTATTTTTTCCCATTTCCCTCGCCTTTATCTCGGCTTGAACCTGTAAACCTGGGTGTCGCGATGACTTTTATTTGCCTTTCCACAGTGACTCATATTGGATTGTTTGGTCAGGGCGAAGGGGCGCTGAGACGTCCAGTCTTGTCTCGAGCGTCTTTTTTTGCATAATTTAGGTAAATTCTTCTTCCAAATCTTTGCTTTCCACTTTTTTTAGAGCTACTTTTTACCATGTAAAACTTGTAAAATACGAATGATAATGTTCTTTCCATTACTTTTGAGAGATCAAAAGATGGTATCGGTATTCGAAAACCCGCACGATTGCCAATAAAATCGCCTAAAAAAGGCTGATATGACTCAACGATGAGAAATTTAATGTCTTCTCGTGGGGTTTTTCTTACTTTTTTGTCTGATTCAGGATATTTTTGATTGGGAAATGCATAATCTGAGGTGATTAGGTGATAACAGAGGTAATAATTGACCCTCTTCTCTGGTCACTTGATCTGCACTGTGCGAAAAAATAGATTATATTTTCTGCACAGTGCAATCATTTTAGTTATTTGGAACGGTATCATCTGAATCAATGATCGTTTTATACTTGATTAGTACGTAGTTAGTCGTTCACCCTTTTTGGACTTTATTTTACAAAGAATTTCCTAACTGCACTGTGCAAAAATTTCAGAAATCACTTTTTTTGGCACTAGCTGTTATAACATATAAAGTTAGGTATATGTACGTTGTCGCAACGAGCATTTTTCAATTGCCGTACTTATTTTTTTATAATTTTTTACCAGTCATTCAATTGATTCTAATAAAAATTTTGGAATGCACGGTGCAAAAATCAATGCTTGCAAAAATTGCACAGTGCGGACGATTTGATGGAATATCGTATTTTAAAAATATTTAATTTTTTTCTTTTTTAAAACCAGTATCCATCGTATTTTACAAAACATATTTAGCATTTTCGCACAGTGTGGAAATTTCATCTTTGATTGATCTCTGCAATTTATTGCAATTTTTACTCAAAAAAATTTAAGTCTTTTTTCGCCTTTTCGAGTAAAATCTGTAACTCATTGCTCGTATTTTGCAGTTATTTTTTATTTAATTTTTCTTTTTTAGGCCATTTTTTCCAAAATGTTGCCTCGGATCCCGGCCTTTATCTTGTCCAGTACGGCATTCCTGTCAATATGTAAGTGATTTTTCAATGAAACAAAAATATTTTTTTTTGTCCAAATATAAACGCATTTTTTAGTATATTCAAATTTCCAAAATATGCAAATTTAATTTTCACTATTCAAATTTCCTAATCCTTCCGATTCCAGTGAAATCCGTGGATTCCCAAGCCCTGAACGATCCGATTACACAATACATCGAGGGTCGTCTCGGGAATCGGCGGATATTTTGGTGTCCCTCAGGCTATGGCTACCTGGCCTACTGTCCCCAGCCCACGGATTGGGACAATTACAATTGGTGTTGCACTTGGCCTTATATGGGATCCTGGAAGCCCTCCTGTTGTCCGTTCGCCATTCCCACCGGCGCTGTGGTCGCTATCATCATTGGGAGCATTGTGCTTGTGGGGAGTGAGTTTAAGAATTTTTGGTGGTTTTTTTGAAAATTTAGGGAAAATTGAGAGGGAAAACTTGGGTAAATAAGGTAAAATACAAGGAATTCAAAGGTCATATACAAATTTGCACAAAAAATATTAAACTTTTGCTTTTCGAGCCATAGTTTTTTAGTAACACTGATAACGATCTATGGTAAAACAGGGAAGGAAAAAGACCGTGATTTTGAACAAAACCTTTCTAAAAACTTAATCAGATTTAGGGTAAAATACGACTGTAACGGGGTTACTTCCCCGCAGAAACAACACAAACCCGTGAAAAAGGGTCGTGTTAAAATGTTCACCTCTCTATGAATATAAATACCGTCATGAAAATAATTATAAAAGAATTGCGAAAGATTAATGAGGTATTTCTGTTCAAAAGAAGAGTAGCTGAATAGTCATCAAGGTGAAGAAACAAAGTCGCCGGCCCAAGTAGTATAGTGGTTAGTACTCCACGTTGTGGCCGTGGCGACACAGGTTCGATTCCTGTCTTGGGCAAGGTTCAGCTTTTTTAGAGTTTCATTTTGATTTTATATTCATAATGAAGAAAAGTCGAAATGTGTCGTATTTTACAATTTTGTAATCCTTAAAAACTGGCAAGGCTTAAAACACGATTTCTGACTCACTGAATCAGCCGTGTGCAAGGCCGGGACATAGGAAATTTTCGATTTTGAGATTTACAGCTGGATATGTCCGCACCCATCATATAAGTGTGTTCCTGAAGCCTTTTGCCCTAATTCTCCCGTTAACCTTGTTTTATTTACAATTTAAGCAATTTACAGTAACGTCAAATAACTCAAAATTGAGAAGATACTGAGCCGTAAAATTGTTACCATATATGTTTTTGGGCACTGGGAATCCAATGGAGGTGATTTCGGATCGAAAGGATTACTGTAACATAGCAAACTTACGCTTCGGCCGCACAAAATCGGCCGTAAAAAAGTTATTTCTAAAAACCCACAGCTGAATTTTTGATATGTTAATCAGCATAAAATTCTGCCCTAGAAACATTCAAAAAAAGTCCAAAAATCCGTGTTGCTATTTTCGTGGTATAGTGGATTTTGACAAAATCTACCAATCTGACGTCCCGGGTTCGAGTCCGGGTGGGCGCAAATCACTGAGAATTGATCGGGAATGACTTCAATGGAGAGAATATATAAGCTTGAGTTTATTTTAAGTGATTTTTATAAGATTCTGAAGAGTTTTCAGATTTTTTGGTGGAAAAAAGCCGAAAATACAACTTTTTGACAAATCGTATTTTACACTGTTTTTTTGTGTTCATGGCACAATAAAAACTTATATGTAACAATTTTAAGGGGTTCTTCGACAATCCCACCCGTTAAAAAATTTGTTTAATGTTGTACTTGACACCTGATAAGCAGGAAGTGGATAGATCTTCCAGATTGCACTTCCTTTTGCTCTGACTTGCCAAATTGTCCGTAAATGGTATAACTAGCATAAAATTTCAATTATTTGGCGGGTAACCATAAGAAATCTAGTTTGAAAATGAAATTTTCTCCGCGTTTCATCAATTGTTCTATAGAAGAAAATCACTTCAATAATGAACCGTTTTCTGAAAAAAATGTGAAGTATGGTCACAAAGCAGTGAATTACGCTGTCACTAGCCAAGATTATAGTTCCCACAGATGTCTGCATGAGGCAAGATTAACAGATACCAAGTATAATGTCCAAATACTCAGGAAATGGTTTCTACTTGTTGGAGACCCCTTAGAAACACTACATATACATTCTTATTGTGTCATGAACACAAAAAAGCAGTGTAAAATACGATTTGTCAAAAAGTTGTATTTTCGGCTTTTTTAGGCAAAAAAAAATCTTAAAACTGTCAGAATCTTATCAAAATCACCTAAAATAAACTCAAGCTTATATATTCCCTCCATTGAAGTCATTCCCGACCAATTCTCAGTGATTTGCGCCCACCCGGACTCGAACCCGGGACGTCAGATTGGTAGATTTTGTCAAAATCCACTATACCACGAAAATAGCAACACGGATTTTTGGACTTTTTTTGAATGTTTCTAGGGCAGAATTTTATGCTGATTAACATATCAAAAATTCAGCTGTGGGTTTTTAGAAACAACTTTTTTACGGCCGATTTTGTGCGGCCGAAGCGTAAGTTTGCTATGTTACAGTAATCCTTTCGATCCGAAATCACCTCCATTGGATTCCCAGTGCCCAAAAACACACATGGCCACACTTTTTCGGCTCTACGTCTTCTCAATTTTGAGCTATTTTACGTTACTGTAAATTTCTTAAATTGTAAATAAAACTAAGTTAACGGGAGAATTAGGGCAAAAGGCTTCAGGAACACACTTATATGATGGGTGCGGACATATTCAGCTGTAAATCTCAAAATCGAAAAATTCCTATGTCCACGGCTAATTCACCGAGTCAGAAATCGTGTTTTAATCTTTTTTTGCTTTCTTGTTCTTTATTTTTTTTATTTTTGCGGGGACTAACCCCGTGGGAATGGTATTTTACAATTTGCAGTAGGCGCAGTTGTAATATCAAAAATGTGTATATATAGTGTTTTTTCAAAAACAACCGCTTGAAAAGTAAACTATGCGATATTTTCGTGTAGTTTTTAACTGGAACTAAAACAAGAATTTTTATCCGGAGTATTTTTTTAACAAAAAATCGAAAAATCCCAATTTCCGCGGAAGTTCTAAACTCCATAAAAATTGAAATTCATAGTCTAAGAATCGAAAGTCGGGGTTTACACCCCACCAGCTTCGTATTTTACAATTAGAAAAAATAAAATCAGTATTGCTTTTGAAAGTGTAAATTTTGGCAAAACAATTACATATTTTTATCACTTCGATGGTGCAATTGTTAGGGAATTGCAAGTTCCGGTTACGTATTTTGTCCCAAAAAAGTTTTTACATTCACAAATTTTTATCTATATTTTTTCGATACCGAGTTAAATTGGCCGTATTTTACCTTCAAACCTTATAAAATTACATTTTGTTTTCTCTATTTTACCCTCTAATCTCCGCCTTTTTCAGCGCTCATTTTCCTCTCCTGTTGGTGCTGTTTCTGTTGTCCATTATACAAACAGCTGTACGAATACGAGGACGAAGAAGAGATACAGAATCCGAATCAGCAGAGATTCGCCTAAAATTCAAGTTTGAAGATAAAAAATATGTCATCATGACATGTTTTTTGGAAAATTTATAAGGATGACGTTTTTTTAGAAAATCGATTTTCAAGGAAAATGACGTCATTTAGAAGCAGGATTCAATCTTAAAAAAATACAAAAAATCCATCATTATGACGCATTTTTCGAAAAAATCCGTCATCCTGTCGAATTTTCCACCTCTTCAATTCGTTTTCAAAGATTTCTAGTACCTCTAATTGTAAATTCTAACTATCTTTACCCCTACCTAAAGTAATGTTGCTATTATTGTCTGAATTGTGTCACTTCCCCCAACAAAACATTATCCTTTTTCGTCTTCAGGGATATAAATGCAATTATGTTACAGTATGCCTGGTAAAACCATTGTTTTTTACATATTCACTTCATTTTTGGTCCATCTATTTTTGACTGTTATTCTACGCATTTCCATTTCCGTTTTTTTTTGTTCAGTAATTTTACTTTTTTCTTTGAAAAATACTGCCTCTATTTAAATACGAATTTTGTAATTATTTTTTTCTGATAATAAAGTTTGAAATTGTAAAATACGATCATTTAAAAATGTTTAGAAATCATTATTTTTGCTGCAAAAGTTTCCACTCTGCCCTAAATTTTCAAAAAGAAATTTTGAATGAGCACGAAGGAATTGACCAAACATCTCCTGGGAATTTCCCTGCACAACTTGTATATAGAACTGCAGCAAAGGCACGGACAATGAAAGCGTTCACAGAGAGAGTCTACCCAATTCAAGCCAAAGTGATTACAATTTATTTTTAAGCATCACCATTTCAGACATTACAATTTATGTTCAAGCATCAAAAACAAACGCAGGTAAACGCCAAAAAAAGGCACCTGCATCTCTGGCAGTCACTTCCGCACTGACCTACGCAATCCCCATTCCGGTTGCAGTCTGGCCACGCGTCTACTAGAAGAGCGCAAACAATTAAGAGCACAGCAATCAACAGATCCTTCATGATGTCCAACTTCCTGGGGGTTCACGCTGAAAACTTCGAGGAGCACAGGATATTACTTTTGATAAGAAATAAACAAGGAGACAGAAAGGAACCGACCGCAGCGAAATCTTCTCGAAGAGAAATGAGCCGAAACCTAAAAGACTCTGGGAGACTTCGAAGTATGTAAATTACATGCAAATTCTTGGGAAATCGTGCGATTTTCAAAATTCAAATAAAAATTAATGTGAATTTTCACATGTTTGAAAGCTTATTAAAAATAAAATCCTTGGCGATCATGAAATTACATATTTAATACACAGAATTTTCAGAAAAGAAAAGATTTGAATTTTCTGCCGATTTCAGCAAATAACGGCAGAAAAACTTTGAATCAAGTTCCAGCGTAAATAAAGCAGAAATTAAAAAAATCAAAAACTTACGCAACAAAATCAAGTAAAATAAGTGTACATAAAGGCGGAGGAAGGCAATTACAACTCATCAGTGTAGCTGATATCTTCTCGGAGGGTTATCGATGGATTTTCCAACGAATGGTGCTTCTATAGGTTTTTAGGGGACTTTTCTGAGTTTAAATCGTGGGTTGGGGATTTACTAATCTCTTAGTACATGTTATGACTTGATAAAACTTCACATCATTCTAGGTAGTTTTGAATTTATAAAATACGAAGATTTTTTGTGAATATACGTAGAATAAATAAACTTCTATGGTAAAAGTATTTTACTCCTTAAAATCAATTAAGTTTACACTTTTTCGTACAAGAAGGGACTATGTAGATACCGTTTTCGTTAGCATAAAAAATCATTTTTGTATTTTATACCAGTAATTCCGAAAATTTTATTAGTCACCACAATAAATTAAGTATGCCGTGTTTTAACGCTCTAAGCGTATTTTTAATCGCGCAAAATTATCTTAGCTTACCGTGAATCTCTTTCAGCTCATTTTTTCGCAATTAATCATGTTCCCAACTGTCTTCTCTGGCTACAACACCGTGACCTTGGTTCAGCCAGCTTTTCCAGCCCAGCCGCCTTTCCATCCAACATTTGTCCTCCTTCAGCCAATTCCCATAATTTTCGCGCCGATCCAGCTGCCAGTCCAGAAATTTTCGCCTCAAGGAATTTTGGATGACGTTTATGGAAGAATGGCCGAAAAAGAAGTCTACTTCGCCGATAACTCCAGGCTCAGTAACTTCTCCATGCTCCCGGTCGCCTTGCTCGAGCCAGGAATCGAGTTCTGGATACTCTTCCGAAGGTGAAAACGACATTAATGGTATAGTACAATATAACTTCCGAGAAGAGCCACCATTGCCCAAAAGACTGCCAATCTTTGAGCGAATCCACCGAAGAGGACTTATGGAGCGAATGAAGGCCCAAAAGCTGATGTCCAGAAAGTTCAAGACGTCGTTGTGCAAATTTTTTAGAGCTGGGAACTGTGACCGCAGGAGCAATTGCGCTTTTGCGCATGGAGTCGGTGAACTGAGAGTGCCCGAACTCCCTCCGAATTACAGAACTAGGCCTTGTGTCAATTATATGTTGAGAAAATATTGCCGTTTGGGCAAAAGATGCGATTTTGTCCACGAAATGTAACTGGATTTTTTAATAATAATATTATGTTTTCTCAACTGTAAATTTAAAGTTGAACAATAAATAATTGAATTTTGATTATTATTTAATTTAATCATCTTTTATTTTCTGTGTTTTTACGGGATAAATTTGGTCAAAAAGCTAGGTTTTTTCAAAAACGAAAGCGCAAAAAAATAATTTTATTCCGCACAGTGCAGAAAGTATGATAAAAAATTGCACAGTGCAGGAAAAGGTTGAGTTTTCGGCGTAGTGCAAAGATATTGGAAATCGCATCGTCGCTGTGCGATCAAAGGTAGTTGACAAAAAACAAAAATGATCAACACAGTGCCGATTTAAAAAAAAATCACAATTTATCTACAATTCATAACGTCAGTTGTACAAAAACGAAAGATTTTATTTTTGCGTATAACTTTGCCGTTTGCTTTTCCTTTGGTTCCAGTGCCTCGCACAGGCCAGCGAATAGTCATGGAACATTTTCCTCAGCGTGAACCACTTGAAAACACACAAAACAAACAAAATCGACTCAAAAGTCCCGACTTGGACCCAAAAATCGTCCGTTCTCACTATAACCCCCAAATCTGCATAGGGTTCACCATGCGCGACAAGGAGAATGTCCATAAAGAGAAGGCTGACCAGCAAGAAAGTAAGCATAATCAGGGTCATTGATGTGTACATGTAGGCAAAAACGTATAAATGAGGTAGTCGAATGCGATTTCCGATGATCAGGATGACATAAAATACGAAACCGGCGAGAAAATAGGCCATGAGAACGTAGTGGTCGGAGTACAAAAATGCGATGAAAACGGCGATGGCAAGATGAGATAGGCACCAGAAAGTCGAGAGGATCAGGTTTAGGAGCTGAAATTTTAAGTTTTATATTTCTAGTTGCAAATTATTTTTTTATATTTTTTTGCCTCTGGCCCAGTTCATTTTGGCTTTTTCTGGATGTAAAAAGAATGACGACTTTCTCCGATGTCTCCAAAATCCTCAAATAGTATCCAATTCCCTCAAAAATTCGTCATCCTTTTTGCCACCTACCCTTACCGGCGTCGGGATCCATGGATTCCTCTTTTCCGGATGCTTATAATCACTCTCTCCACTGTCACTGCTCTCCTGATGACGGATCTTTTTCGGGTTGGGCTTCTTGGTCGAGGAGATGCTCGAGGTCTTTGTTGAGGTCGAGGTGACACTTCCATTGTTATAGCGGGACTTCATGTGCTTGGGCAAGGTGTGATTGAGAGAGGCGGAAAAGGAGGACTCGGCCTGGTCATCAATCACGACCACTTCGTCCGGGCCGGACCGGTTCGGCTGGATCGGCGGAGTGGAGTCGGAGACTCGCATTAAAACGGGATTTTCTGGAAAATTGGAGTGAATATTGATGTGAAATTTTGTATCAGAGATACAAATTTTAGATAAAGTAAACTGAAATAGAATTCGACATACGACAAATGATAATGTTTGTAAAATACGCCCTGCATGTAAAAATGCGCAAATTTATGTTTGAAGCGACATATCTTATGCCTTGCGGGTTTGAAAACAAAATCCCTTTGCACTTGCATGTAATAAGCTATAGCCATGACATACAAAAAAATTCAAGTTACACCGACGATTATTTTTCTAGTTACATCAATTTTTCCGCAAGTCTCTCTTTGCATTCTAATGTTATGGATACGGTCAAAAAAACCGATTAATAGAGGCAAACTGGCCAAAAAGACAATGCTAAAACGTATAGCACTTGAAACGCACTGCCTTGATAGCCAATTAAACTATAATCTAATTACGAACCCTAAGGGAAAAAGCCATCGAAACACAAAAAATTCAAAATGTCCCTTCAAAGGCCCAGTTGGATTAGAAAAGATAGAAAATCTGATAAAAAGCTTTACAAAAACCATTTCCCAAACAAAACAAAAGCGAAAGATCGCTGTTCCAATGTCAAAAAAATCGTTAGAGTCCCGCTGAACAAGGAGCTAAAGTCGTTGAAGTGAGACAAAATGAACAACGAGCCCCGAAAAGGGTTTGTTTTCGTTTTCATCTCCAAAAAAAGAAGTCCGAGGAGGTCGCTATTGAGAGGGCTCAATGTCAAAACGTGATTTATTTTATTATTCAACAGAAGGTTGCGCAATTTATCGCACGGTGCAAAATTTGCTTTCATTTGGGACATTTGCATTGTGCGACATTGGCGACCAGCTTTTGCGATGCGAAAACTGCGACAATGAATTTTTGCACTGTGCAGGGCAATCGAAATTTTTTTGCACTGTGCGAAAATCATGATTGATCTTGCACTGTGCAGACCATGCGAAAACTTTTATGCACTGTGCAATTCTTCTTTTCATTTGGACGTTTGCACTGTGCGACATTGGCGATAAGCTTTTGCGATGCGAAAACCGCGACAATGAATTTTTGCACTGTGCAGGTCATTCGGCATTTTTTTTGCACCGTGCGAAAATCATGATTGGTCTTGCACTGTGCAGAAATGCAAAAACTTTTACGCACAGTGCAATTTTTGCGACAAACTTGATAAATTTTTTTTGTTTCTTATTGTTAAAACCCAAAAAAATTCTATATGGCGTATTTTAAATTTATTTCACTCATAAAAATCTAATAAAATATTACAAAATAAAATCCATGGCACTGAAATTAAAGCTGAGGTAATTTGAGTTCATATTATTGCCCTTTCATCCATAAAAAGTAGTAAAAAACCACTTATACCACCACTCCCATCTCCTCGATCACATACACATTGGTCCTGTCGCAAATCACCTTCTCCGGATACAACGTATCATACAATTTTCCGGCCGCAAACATCTCAGCAATGTGCTCCTTGCCATGACTTTCGTAGAGCTCCACAAATCGCTGGATATAATGATAATCGCTGATCAACAGCATCAATTGCTTGTAGTAGAGATGAGCGACGAGAGCGCAGAGAATTTGGAAGAAAATGTAGGCAACCACAGCGATGTAATTGTCCAAAAGATCTTGGATTCCGTTGGAAGAGGTGTTCGAGTATTGGAAGAAAAATAAAACCGAAAGAGCCAATGATGCGAGGACCGTGGCCAGTGTGACGATGAAGAGAATCGCCTGGAAATTAATAGAATTGATTTTGAAATCAAAAAAATTTTTAAGTCATCAATTTTGCACAGTGCACTCGGATTGAGGACTTTCTTTCATTGCACTGTGCAAAAAAAATCTTTTTGCATTACAGATATTAGAAAAATAATGTTAAAAGACTGCCTCAGGGTATTTTAAACTCATTTTTATTTTACTCTTTGCACTGAGCCACAAAAATATCATTTTTATTTTTTGCACTGTGCAGAAAACAAAAAATGGGATTCTTGCACGGTGCGAGGATGCCCATAGGAAAAAAAATTTAAAAAAGGTGTACCTCGTATACTAAGCCACAAAGTTGTCTTTCCCACTTTTTTTACGCATTGCGTTTCAAAAAAACCCCATTTTTATTTACTGCACAGTGCGAAATTAAAAATCTTGAAATTTTGCACGGTGCGATAAAACAATTTTGTAAAAATCGACACATATAGATGGGATACGTATTTTACATTAATTTTCCTACAGCATACGTTATTTACACTCATTTTCAACATATTTTTATTTATTCCTTTCCACTGCACAGTGCAGCAAACTTTTTTCTTAAAATCCGTCGATTGCACTGTGCAAAAAAAATTTTTAAACTGACAAAATTCAAATTCCTCAAAAAATCACTTAACCCAGAAACCCCTACTTCCTGTAGCCCCCTGTTAACCCGGATCATAAACTGTTCCAGTTTTTGTTGTAACTTTCCCGTGTACTTCCGGTCATTACTCAAGGGCCGTCGGAAATGGAACGGAAATGGAGAGTTGAGCGGTTTTTTGAAGATGACAAACGGCGATGTTACCACACCTTTTCTCATCAACGCCGCTGTTCGATTTTGGTTTAATGAGTTTACAAGGTCATTCTTGCACGGTGCAAAAAATTTTGTCTGATGTGAATTAAAAATTCTGCGCGAAAATTTTAAATTGATTTTAGTGTAATGTGCAGACCAGAAGGAGGTAAAATTTTTGAACAACAAAATTTAACCTTCTGTTAGTTAGTCACCGCACAGTGCGATATGAAAAAATGACTGCACGGTGCAAAATTTCCACGTTATTTTAATTTTGCACAGTGCAATGGACAATATATCATTTTTCATCGTATCTAAAGAAATTTAGCCCAAAAATAAATGCTTGAACGATTTTCAAACCCTCAACGAATTGCAAGACGCAATTTGCAACCCAAAAATTCCACTGCACAGTGCATACAAAATAAAAAATCCAAATCCGCACAGTGCAATAAAAAATTTTCAAAAAAGTCAGATTTAAAACGGCGTATTTTACCCATCCAACATATATATGTATAATCAACCCACTTACCGAGCAGATAATAGCCGGGATATAGAGCCATTTTTTCATGAACAAATTTCCGATGACAAGCGCCAAAAAGCTGACAAAAATTAGAAAAGTGCTGATCATTGTGGGAAAAAGCCCGCTTTCTGGGAAGATTTGGGTGTAAATCGTGGTGAAACCCAATGGAAGGATGATTGTGACCGTGGTGATGACATATGTTAGAGCAATTAGGAAGGTCGCAAACTGAAAAAAAGATGATATTATACTTGATTTTTATGGTGGAAATGAACTTTTGAGCTGATAAAAAGAGCTAATAGGATAATGTAAGGCTAAAAAAACTTTTTGGCTTATGGAATTTAAATGGAAATTAAAATTATCACCAAAAAATCTTGTTTTATGCCAAAAATCATCAAAAAATCGCCGATTTTAGCCTATTAACCGTCTATAACATAACTAAAATACACTGTAAAATAACCACAAAACCTTGAAAACAATATTCAAACCTTTTTTCATCAAATTAAAAACCACTTCGACCCCAACTTACATGTTTTTTAGCCGTTTGCCAGGCAATTTCCCTCATTTCCACCATTTCCCAAACCCCGCATCTTCCGTCGCCGCTAAACGAGGACCCAGTCCCATAACGGGTGTAACCGAAATCCATTCTCAATTCAAAATTCTCCGGTTGTAATTTTGCGGACCGTTTTTATACCCGCGACCTCCAAAATCGAAGCAAGTGGGCGGAGCCGGGGGTGATTTATTATTTTCGCCCCGTCTTGCGGAGCAATCGGAATCCCTGCACGGTGTAAGATGTTCGAGCGAATCGGAAGTATGGTTTCGCGGTGTAAAGAGGGACGTGAAAACGCGAGGGTTCGGACCCTAAATCATCAAGGATCATGTAATTTTTTGCTCGGAAGTATGGGGGGTTTTCCATTTTGATGCATTTTATTATACCCTACAAATCTTTCGTGATGAGTTTATGAATCAAACATCATTGATTAAGAAGGCGTACAGCAGAAAATACCAAAATTTTTGAAAAAATTTCTAATTTTCAATATGATTTCAGTCCTCCGGGTGACGTATTTTACACTAAAATAGAATTTCAGACCTTCTTCTATCAGTCTAAATCAAACTCACAACATTTTACCTTCTTTACTGTACATAACAATCAAAAAATCAACAAATGTGCCTAGTGTAATATAAAAATCTCATCTTTTCTTCATTAATCCCAACGCCTTTACTGCATACATGAACACCGGTGAGTATGGAGCCTTGACCACCGAAAACCGACTTCCATTTCCTAGAGGAACGAGGGCTTCTGCGTGATGAATGAACATTGGCACTTTTCGAGCTTGAGTTTCGGGAAGACCGAGGTAATTCATGATCCTGGGGCCGAGTCTGACCGGGGTATTTGGATGTAAACCGTTGTATTTGGACTCTCCGATCAATGGACAGCCAATTCCATTGGATAAGTGGGTTCGGATCTGGAATATGAACGCTTTATCATCAATAAATTGAAAATTTTTTTGATACAACTCGAAGAAAGCCCAAAGAGGAGCTGGGCAGTATCGGCTTCCATTAGGGATAGCTGACGTTTACAAAAATTTGGTTTTTTCGTCGAATCTTTGGGCGGCGTTGGACGATTGGGGAAAGGTACGATTTGGGGAACCAAAAAGTATTATTTTTCTTCGATGCAAATGTGAAATTAGGACAGTCGAGGGTGCTGATTTCGAAAATGACATTCATTTTTTTTGATCTTTACTTTTTTTCCTTAAGTAGTACTGTAAAGTAGCAATTTTTTGAATTTTTTCCATGAATACTCGATTTGGGGGTTTTACGGTAGTGCTGCTTTAAAATCATAAAATGAATAAGATTTTCGAAAGCACCATCGAAAACCCCTAAATCGAGTATTTGAAAAAAATTCAAAAAATTGCTACTTTACAGTACTACTTAAGGAAAACAGTAAGAAAAATGAATGTCATTTTCGAAATCAGCGCCCTCGATTACCCTAATTTCACACTTGCATCGAAGAAAAATAATAAATTTCGGTTTCCCCAATCGTACATTTCCCCAATCGTCCGACTCCGCTCAAAGATTCGACGAAAAAAACCAAATTTTTATAAACTTCAGCTATCCCAAATGGAAGCAGATATTGCCAGCCACGTTTTGACCTCTTACTTGATGTAAATTCGTTCGATCTACCACCACATCCAACAAGGAAACATGATCCGCCCGGTTCTCATTCACAACCGAATATAAAGTCTTGCAATGGATAACTTCTTTTGTATTATCGACCGCCGGAAGCAATCTGACGTCCATTCCCTTTGAAACTTTCCTCAATGGAATGGTTATATTGGCTTTTTCTACGGTTGGAAGGCCCTTTACGATACATCGGAACCGATGTTGAACTCGGCCGTCTTTGATGGCTTCTTGAAGCTGCTTCTGACGATCCGCAGTTTTGGCAAAGAGCAACACACCACTGGCAGCACGATCTAGAGACTCGATAAGATGGAGGCGATCAATGTCAGGGGCTATCCTCTTCTTTAGGTCCTGAAATTATATTACACTTGATTGGCGAAAAACGAAACTTTAAAATTGTGCCCAAGCTGTACGATCATAAGAACTAATCCAGGAAAAACAACTGGTTATGTCTTCTATTTGAAAAAAAATAAGTTCTACTTCAGATATAAACAGTCAAAAAAGAAAAAGTATGTTGCACATAGCATCAAAACCCCATGTTTAAAAAAAATGAGATTCAAAGGTATTTCTTTATCTTAGAAGCTTCGTAGTGCCTTACTATACATGCAACATCGATTATCAATCCAATTCATACCTAAACTTCGAACAAAAAAAGCAAAATCTAATTCTTACCTGTAAAACCCTATCAATCTGAAGTCTCCCACTCTTAGATCCTGAATATGGGACCATCATTGGCTTATCAATAGCGATGAGGTCGTCTGCATTATAGATCACACGTTTCTCAAGGAAATCCACAAATTCTTCTGGTGTTAATTTAAAAATCCCTTGAATTGCCACAATCGGATTCTCTTGATCAAAAACAACCTTTGCTGAGCTGGGTAGCTGCTCGAATGTTGTGTCCATCATTCGTGCAAGGGCTAATTCACCAGAAAAACAGAATTCTGATAAATTTTGACAAAAATATTTTTTACACCTAGCTATTTATTTTCTCCCACAGCGAAAAAGTTCGCGGCAAAAATTGAAAATGTTTCTTGGCATTCTTTTGCAAGACTTCTTTCGGCAATCGTTTGATGTTTTCGCGGACTTTATCGTTTACTTTTCACGTGAATATTGCAAGATTGTTGATGTAAAGTCTATAAATGAGTATATTTGTCTTTTCTAGGGTATATTAACCAAAAATGGCCGAAGATTCGGGACCTGTCGATAATTTTAATGAAGATGGTGAGGACGTCGTTACTCTTGGTCAGTTGAAGGATGCGATTGAACAGAATGAGAGTGAAAGAGTTATGAATGGACCCAAATCGATGGTGTGCACTTATCCCGAGGTAATTTCTGAGTCCTTATTTTTGGTTTTTAGTGACTCATCATGGATAATATATTTTTTTTCCGGCTTTTGCTATTTCTTTCTAATAATTACACGAAATGGATTACTGTAGCCCGAGTCTAGCTTATGAAAGGGGTTGCAAGTTTTTATTCGTTCTATTTTTGCGATTTTTACTAGCTGGAATGGTTAACTTAATTTTTGCACCGTCGTCCCGTCAAATGTTTTTAGAAACTTGCATTGGGTTCGAAATTAAATTTTTGCTGCGTTTATCGTTGCTTATTTCCAGAACTACGTCCCTCGGCAATCTATTTTCTCATGTGTAACATGTCAAGAAGAATCAGAGGGAGAACTGGCTGGAATATGCTTTGCTTGCAGTGAAAATTGTCATGCTGGCCATGAGGTCCTTCAGCTGTATACTAAACGCAATTTCTGCTGTGATTGCGGAAATAGCAAGTTCAAGAACAATAAATGCACCTTGTTTGATGTAAGTTCGTTTTCATTCTATTTTTTAAATGTTTAGAGACGTGAAAGGCCTTTCGAACGTTACATTTCGTCTTCTTACAGGGTAAAATCCCCAAGAACCGCCGAAACAAGTACAATCATAACTTCAAAGGGCTATATTGTACATGCGACAAGCCTTATCCCCCGGCCCCAGATGATCCCATGTTCAAAGCCGAGATGTTCCAATGTTGTATATGTGAAGACTGGTTCCATGGGGAGCACATTGGAATACCGGATGATGTTTATCAGGACCTGGAACAGGAATTGGTCTGCAATTCTTGCTCCAACCAATACCCATGGCTGATCGTTTACAAGGCTGTGTTGGACAAAAAACTTGCTGAAGTGGTAAGAAATTGGGGGTTGCAGAGAAATTTAGACCTGTTTCTTCGGGTTTTTGACGTTGTGGGCAATAATTTTTTTCAAAAAATTTATATTATACAAGGTATTTTTAGGCAAATGTAACTCAAGAAACCAGTCCAACGACTTCTCAGGAGCCGCAACCGGCTACAGAAAAACAAGAACCCCCGAAAGAAGAGGTTCAGACGCCAGAATTTAATGGTTGTACCCTGGAAAATCCCGAATTTAAATCCTCACCAAACTCTAACGGATTTGTCTTCCCGTCGATAGAATGGCGCAAATTACTCTGTAAATGCGAGAAATGCAAGGTTAGTTGATTTTGATTATTTTTGGATTTGATTTTTAGAAAAAGGTCGGTATTTTTTCTCATGGATAATATAATTTCAATCTGAAATTGTATTTTTGCAGAGAATGTACGAAGATCTCGATATCGAATATCTTTTGGACGAAAATGACTCGGCTCTGAGGTATGTGGAGGGAAATTGGAAGGCCATGGAGGACAAGGACGGCGATATTTTCAATGAAATCGCTCAAACCACCTCGCATGAGGTCGCGTTGACTTTGAAAAATGGTATGAAAATAAGCGTATGGACATTTGTTGATTTGTTTTCAGGAGTAGCCAATTTGTCAAGCAAACTCAAAGAATTTCTGGACAAATCGGACCCCGGAAAAGTGATCACCAAAGAAGACATCGAAAATTTCTTTGATGGGGTGAACGCCAAGAAATTCAAACCCAATGAAGACTTGTAAATACAAAACGAAAATCTCCAGTGAAGTCCCATGGTAGATATGCGAGCTTGAATATAAATTTAATTTATCAGTTCTTCAAGTATGTTGGCAAATTTCCGCGGGGATTTGGGGGTTTTGGTATCGAAATTTCTACCGTATACGGCATGTTTTGCACTACGAAAGAGTTGATTTTATTTTGATATGCGTAAAAAATTCAAATTCTGGAAAATATTATTCGGTTCCAAATTAATTTATAAGGGGAACATCAAAAGATGACAAAAATAAAAATAGTTTTATCCCACATTCATGGTATATATCTATCATTCGGCGGACAACCGATGACAAATTTGGTATTTTCTGTGTTGCATATTTGAAAAGTTAATTAAAATCTTTGTTTCAATGAAGGAAACAATGGAATCCATTAACCATATGCACAGTAATCCTCTGTAAACGAATGAAAGAAGATCTATGGTATTTTAAAATTTTTTTTAGCTATTTTTTACAAACCTTGTGGCCGAAATTTTATCTGTTCCAACAGCTGGCCGACCTCAAAATCAAAAAAATGTCTCATAAAGACGGGATTATTATGATATCGGATATCAAAACTCAAAAGTAAAGCGAAGTGAGCTGTTATTTTTAGGGAACTCGGAAAGCTTGGCCTTGTTTTGGGCCAAGTTTTAAAGCTTTGTTGGGTCAAAGGTCAAAAAATTTTTAAAGCACTTATAATGATCGTATTTTACACTTTGTTGCAAAATTCACTTTTTTAAGGCACTTGTAGCTTACCTTCCTACGGCGATAATAAAAATTTTGTCTTTATGCCAAAGTATTCCAAAATTGTATTTTTCTTCTAAAAATTGCTGTGCACTTGTTGTATTTTCATTGTCTAAATGTCCCGCATGACACTATGTTACACTCTTGAAAGCTCGACTTCATTTTATTGAGAGGTCGACCAAGTTTTCGGAGCTTGCGGTTAGACTTTTTTATGGCTATTTAGACAGTTTTTACAGTACAAAAAAAAATAAATAATTTTTTTTATAAAGTCGTTGTAAAATACATACGAGATATATGAGGTAGATTTATGTAATAAGCCTATTACAGTTATTTTGGGCGGCTTGTCACGTATTTTATCCAATTTTTCGGTTGAACAAACTGACTTTTAGAACCGCAACATGACCAATAAAATTGACAATAAATAGGTAATTCTTGTTGGAAATGGAGTAGTTTTTTTGAGCGGGAGTACAAATACTGTGTATAGGTTTTATTTACAAAGTACGAACTGGGCGGGATTTCAACTTACAATAAGAAGCCACGCATAATAAAAAATAGATTTTAACTAAAATCTTTTAAAAATGTAAAATACGAAATCTAGAGGTATTAGCTGCATAGGAAAGAATAAAGTAATTCAACATTTAGAATCACAAGGGTAAACTACGTCATTTTAGACCAACAGGGATTGACAGAAGAAAGTGAGCTGAAGAAAAAAATTTTAGTCCAAAGTATTACATTTTTGATCACAACTGAAAGCAACCGGTGTTTGTCTTGACTGAAATTACACTAAAAAAGTCCTTAAAACGCGTTTTGCCACACTTTGGAGTTTAGCCTAACAGAGGGCGGACATTGTTAAAACCGGTATCTCAGAATTTAACCAAAATCGGTCAACTTGATCATCATGGCAGGTAAAACATTCGTTTTCTTTCTTTTTGCCCAAAATTACCGTATGACGGCATACTGTAACATTTTTTTTAAAAAAAGATATGGCCTAATCAAGAAAACGAAGCTCTATTTTAGCACAAATCGAGTTCAGGTGTATGTTTTCGACCATGTAGAACATTTTTGTAATTATGGCCAAAAGCTCAGAATTACGTCTAAGCAATGTTTCGCCTGCAGTAACATACCATTTCGGGCATAAAATTGGCTACTGTAACCAGATGCACTTTTAAATACGGTAAAAAGAAACTTCAACCTTCATCCAATAACCCATAAAAATTTCAAAAAAATCAAATATACAACTTTTGAGAAAATGGGCATTCAATATCTCATGTACAAGGTCATCAGAATGCCGAAAAAGTCTGGCATTCTTGGGATTCCAACGGGATGCACTTTTTCATAGTTTCTAATACATTCTGAGGATGAATAAAGATGATATGGCAAGTTTCAGGAGAAAAAATATACAACTTTCGAGAAATTGACCAAAATACCTTATTTTAGGTCATCAGAACGCCGAAAAAGTCTGGCATTCTTGGGATTCCAACGGGATGCACTTTTTCATAGTTTCTAATACATTCTGAGGATGAATAAAGATGATATGGCAAGTTTCAGGAGAAAAAAATATACAACTTTCGAGAAATTGACCAAAATACCTTATTTTAGGTCATCAGAACCCCGAAAAAACTGGCATTTTTGGGATTCCAGGTTGTAGCACTTTTTGATAGCCTCTAATACATTAGTAGCCTTGTAAACGATGATAATGAAAATTTCAGGCGAAAAAAATTCACAACTTTCGAGAAAATGACCAAAATACCTTATTTTAGGTCATTAGAACCCCGAAAAAACTGGCATTCTTGGGATTTGAGGTTGTAGCACTCTTTGATAGCCTCTAATCTTTATTCAGCCTCAGAATGTATTAGAAACTCTGAAAAAGTGCATCCCGTTGGAATCCCAAGAATGCCAGACTTTTTCGGCGTTCTGATGACCTAAAATAAGGTATTTTGGTCAATTTCTCGAAAGTTGTATATTTTTTTCTCCTGAAACTTGCCATATCATCTTTATTCATCCTCAGAATGTATTCGAAACTCTGAAAAAGTGCATCCCATTGGAATCCCAAGAATGCCAGACTTTTTCGGCGTTCTGATGACCTAAAATAAGGTATTTTGGTCAATTTCTCAAAAGTTGTATATTTTTTTCTCCTGAAACTTGCCATATCATCTTTATTCATCCTCAGAATGTATTAGAAACTCTGAAAAAGTGCATCCCGTTGGAATCCCAAGAATGCCAGACTTTTTCGGCGTTCTGATGACCTAAAATAATGTATTTTGGTCAATTTCTCAAAAGTTGTATATTTTTTTCTCCTGAAACTTGCCATATCATCTTTATTCATCCTCAGAATGTATTAGAAACTCTGAAAAAGTGCATCCCGTTGGAATCCCAAGAATGCCAGACTTTTTCGGCGTTCTGATGACCTAAAATAAGGTATTTTGGTCAATTTCTCGAAAGTTGTATATTTTTTTCTCCTGAAACTTGCCATATCATCTTTATTCAGCATCAGAATGTATTAGAAACTTTGAAAAAGTGCATCCCGTTGGAATCCCAAGAATGCCAGATTTTTTCGGGCCCAGATGACCTTGTACATGAGATATTGAATGCCCATTTTCTCAAAAGTTGTACATTTGATTTTTTTGAAATTTTTATGGGTTATTGGATGAAGGTTGAAGTTTCTTTTTACCGTATTTAAAAGTGCATCTGGTTACAGTAGCCAATTTTATGCCCGAAATGGTATGTTACTGCAGGCGAAACATTGCTTAGACGTAATTCTGAGCTTTTGGCCATAATTACAAAAATGTTCTACATGGTCGAAAACATAAAGTGGTGGTTTGGTCTCACTAAAATACCGCACCATATCTGCAGAAAAGGCAACTCTTTTCTCAGAAAGCAAGTTACAGTAATCCACCATATAACGACTATGGGCAAAAAAAAATCAAGCGATTGCTCCATACCGATTGATGATTCGGTTAACCAATTTTGGTTGAATTCTGAGACATCGACTCAACAATGTCCGGGCCAATCTACGATTTGTAGTAAAACGCGTTTTAACAAACCAAAAACCTGGTAAAATACGTCATCAAGGGGTTAGTTCCCCTTTGAAATTTTAATAAACTGAATAAAAAATATTTGATACAGCCTTGCGTTCAGAGAGGCCATAAATTCGTGTTTTAAAAAATAACGAGGAATTGGAAAATTGTTTGTGAAATACGATACTATGAGATTTCTTTCGAATATAAAATCAAAATGAATATCTAAAAAAGGTTGAGGTTTTCCCAAGACAGGAATCGAACCTGTGTCACTACGTCCACAGCGTGGAGTACGAACCACTACTATTTATTTGGGACGTGACTTTATTTCTTCACTTTCATCACTATTAACCTACTTTAATTTATGAATTCTAATACCTCATTAACTTCTCGAAATGATTTTGTAATGAACTTCCTGTGGTATTCGTATTCATAAAAAAGAGTAGGCGAATAGTCATCAAGGTGAAGAAACAAAGTCGGCCCAACTAAACAGTAGTGGTTAGTTCTCCACGTTGTGGCCGTGGCGACACAGGTTCGATTCCTGTCTTGGGCAAACCTCAGCCTTTTTTAGACATTCATTTTGATTTTATATTCGAAAGAAATATCATAGTATCGTATTTCACAACTTTGCAATTCCTCGTTATTTTTTAAAAACACCGATTTATGGGGCAAGCACGATTTATCTATGGTATTTTCTAATCAGAATCTGATCATGTTTTTGTGGCGTTTGGCCTAGATTAGACAAACAAATAATTCTAGCAGAGCTCTATGTCTAGTCTAGACGGGACGCATTTACCCTAAAATTCAACAATAGAATTCATTGTTTAGTTCTAGCTTTATTGTTTTTATAATCTTTGGAAGTGCTTCGATATTTCTTGAGATGTTTACTTAACTTACGGGGCCTAAGCCCCATGAATGGCGTATTTTACCCAATTTTGGTTGTGAGCTATTTTTGGTAATTTTGCTGGAGAAAAAATAAAGAGTTGAGATCCAAAATTAATTTGCATTATGTTTTACTAAAAAAATTGGAACGCTCGTATTCCTTCCCAAACATATTTTTTGCACTGAATTTTTTTTGTTTCCTTCACCCTTCAAAATTCCTCATTTCAAATTTTTTTCATCCATTTTAAATTGAAAACGGTAATTTCCTTCAAAAAATTCCAAATATTTATGTTTGAAAAGCCCAAAAACAGACAAGTTTTGTAATGTTGTTAAATTTATACTGCACTTTGT